CAACTGAAGATACGCACATACGTATGTAGTACAAGATGTATACAATCTTTGCAGAAGCATACCTTTCTTTCAGAAGGCCTGTCATGAAGGCAGGTGCTCGGGATCATGCTGAATTGGCTTGATTTGCTCATTGTGCCTTCTGTCTTTCACTCTGCTCAGAACCCGGGCGGATTCAAGCTCTCTCCCTCCCTGTCTGTCGACATCTGAGCATCTATCCATCTGTGCATATTGCATGTGTGCATCTCAAGCATAAACTGCACTTTAACTTTTGGTGCACGATTGCAAGGTAACATGTAAGTGAGTGAACGTGTATGGATACATATCTATATCTATATCTATATCTATATATATATATATATGTTTATTCCATGGCCTCCTGCTTTCAGGTCCAGTTGAATTCTCGGATGAAAATCTAATCGCTATTTTCCAACTTAGCAAAGCGTCGATTTACACTGCATGGTTCTGTACGAGTCCGGCTGATTGAGCTGTCCATACTGGTACTTGTACAGATCCACGAAGGCGCCTAGACTGTCTGTGTACACATGTGTGCACACTTACGGGGCAGTTCCAGAATCCTTTCTCCCGCCTCTCCTCTGGCTCTGGGCGGGAGCCACGACAAGTCGAAGACCGGCGCCCAAGCGCCGGCGCCAACCCTGCAGCAATGCACCCTGAAACTGTATGAGTGAGAAAGATTAGCCGCCGAACGCACTGCTGCATACGAGATGTGGCCCGGGAAACAAGTAGCCTGGGAAAATCTTGTTCCGAGGCTGAGGGCAATTGCTACACGAACCACCTGCTGCAGTTCCTATATGCCTCTGCCTAGGGATTCTACGACCGGAAGCTGCCTGAACATCCCAGTCCGTGATCGGCCAGGGACAGGGCACCACCTTGGTATCATGGCATTCAAGGTGGACATGCTATGTCGTGGCCAGATACGCACTCATTCAACATGTAACATGTGCTCAATGACATGTTTTCGGGCTGGAAAGCCCCTCGCGCATGGTCAGACAGTTTAGAACAGCCGTCCAAACTGCCAACCTGTGTGGCTTTGGCTTTCTCACCTCGGGCTTTCGGGGCCGCTTTGATTAGAAGGCCTCGGCCGGAGCTCCTCCATGGCCTTGGAGCTTTCCATGATGGCCGGTGGTTTTTCCAAGCCCATTGGCGAGGTAGGGGTGCTGACTTGAGGAGCCTTTATTTTGCTCATCAGCAATTGCCCACTTGGGTCTACTCCATTTCAGTGATTGGGGTGTCGTGCGGGGGTTTTGGCTGCAGCTACTTCTCTGTCTTTGCCTGGACCGCTTCTCAGGCTTGCTCTGGCTTGCCTTCTGCGTGACACATGGACAGATAGTACTGCATTGAGGGGGTCGTGGGCGAGATGACGCTTCGGGTGGTAGGGTTCTTCGACTTCATATTCCAAGGCCCTCGCGGCACCATGCCTGTTCATTCATTAACACTAAACGCAGAACCCTTAACCCCATAATACTGGAAATTTATACTTAGTATGACCGATCTTCGTACACAGAGAGCCAGGCAAATTCGAAAACCACCAGCGTTGCAGCCTGACGGTGGTCAACACAGTCGCGAAACTGTCTTGACAACATCTCCAAAAATGGGCTGCTACAAATATTTTGCTGCATCCAGTCTGCTACAGGTACTGCTGCAGACATCTGCGGCCTCTGCGATGAAGGAGGAAGGCGTTGCATCGAGGATTCGCGACTGCCGACGCAGCTGAAAACAGAAGCGAACTCACAGTGCTGCCGGCAGAAGGTGCAGCAGCACAGACCTCGAGGAGAATCTTCCGTTTCACCAGGGGATCTATGATGTGCATCTGCCTTGCGCCGCACTCTTGCCTCTTGCTGCATGTCAGACATCGACAGCCTGCAGCCTTCTCTTTGCAGCCAGGCTGCACTTTCATCATCACGTCTGCATGCGCACCTGTCTAGCAGCGCCACAACTTTGGCTTTGCTCCAGAGCTGCAGACCTGGCTCATTGGTGACGACGACGAAGTGCACGGGCACCTGAAGAGACTGGACATGATCTAGAGGCATCTCAAGATGACAACTTAAGCGCGCTGCTGCGACAAAGTGGCAAGCATACTCTTGAACTTTGGGGGGGGGGGGGGTAGTCTCGGTGATGACGATGACGAAGATGATGATCATGACGGCGACGAGGACTTCTCGCTCTCACTTCCACACGACTAGAAGGGCCAGACGATTCGCACAAGCAGGCCAGAGGGGGACAATGCCAATCACAACACAGGAAAGCCTGATCCGTGCAATCCTCCTTTAATCTTCATCCTGAAGCCCCGAAACAGAGAAGTGGCGTAAATAACTCCCGGATTTGGTCCTTGAGTTCGCATGCATTCGGCCTAGACGGGATTGTCAATTCTTTCAGGAAGGCCTCGGACTCAGCTGGACTCGACTCCGAACCAATCTTCCAAGGCCAGTCCCATAGATACAGGCTGTAGACATGCATCCGTCTGGCAGAACGACATGGTAAAAAACGAGATGATGTGAGCGGCACCTGCGTGGCTCTGCAGCCATCATGATCAACATCCTCGATCACATCCTGGAGAGGAATGCTAGCACGTACCAAAAAAGACTGTCACATGCTCACAGCTCCGGAAGCCCATCGTCTCCCCCAGCTGCGGCGCTTTTTTCGATCTAGATCCCGGCCTCTGGTTGCTGTGCCTGCAAACGGGAGTTTCCGAAAATAAGGGGGACTATATCTATATCTATCTATATATATATATATATATATATATATAGACCCCAAGCAAGGTACCCCAAATAGTAGGATCCTTCTTATAAGGACCCCAGAGCAAGGTACCCCCCAATTTTCGGAAGCTCCCAAACTTCAACTTCTCGAGTGGCTATCCACTTGGACATCAGCGTTCTCAAGATTCAGGCCCGCACGATCGCCTCGTTCATGTCAAACGTCGGGCAACTAGTTGCTGCCTCGTGTGCATCATGTGAACCGCCTACCACCCTACTAAATGACATGCCTCTGCTTTCTTTCCAGAAAATCCAGGGGTCACGCTCAACAGCATCCCTGCTGCGGCGGTTTTTGGCCGCTGTGGAGACACAGGCCAAGGGAAAGGCACACAGGTGTGACGAGCATCACAAGGCAAGTCGAAGAAGGTACTGCTGAAGCATTTGCCATCATTGGGGCCGCTACATGACAGCAGCCATAAAACGCTAAGACGATTCGTCCGACACGTCGTGGAGTCGGAAAGCTACGCCATGAGTCATCTTCTGCAGTGAGGGTGCTTTCCACTTCGCACATGCGTCAGCTGCACCGAACCTCTGACGGCTGTTCGAATTGAGAATCTGAACTGAGGCACCTTTGCACACATAGGCTCGTCGCACTGCTGTTTTGTTTGGGGCTTGCGCGCTTGACAAGAGTGCATGCAGTCACCTGCTTTCAGCAGTTCTTTGGACTCAGGACCAGAACCGACGTCAGATCCATCAACGAATTTCCATCCATGTGAGACCAGGCAATCTTTGATAAGCTGGTCAGTTCAGCCCTCCAGCAAAGAAGGAATCCAGGAATGAAGGATCAAGAGCTAGGGCATGAGTTCAGGCCTTTGCGTTGACACCCCCTGTCGCCTTCTCTGCTGGGAAATCCCTACCTACGGGACTGAATAGGAATGCAACTCAATGCAACTCTCTCAGCCGAAGCCACTAAGCCGCTAGGTCAGCTCAGCTGCTCCTTCCGCCTAAGAATCTTCGAGTGCACGAGGGGCTTCGCTCAGTTCTCCGAGACTCCGGCCGATGCTTCGCCTTATTTCCTCTTTACATCTAGGCTGACACGCATCAGGCGCACTTGCTTCGCTTGCCTGGCAGCGCTCAAGCTCTTCACAGCCCATGCTCGCATGAAGCCGCAGCGATCGTGACAAGAGTTGCTCATCCGGCATTCGCGGACTCTTGCACTCTGCAGGCTTGAATGACCGCTGTACATCAGGGTCGTGCACCCCTTGAGACGAGACCAAATGCACCTCGAGTCAGTGCCCACGGCCAGACACGGAGGCACCACCTTTGCAGAAACCAGCTGTTAGTCCTATCTGTTGAGATGCTCAGCTGCTGATCCTTGAATTCAAACTCTGCACGATGTCTTCTCTCAGACTTCCCTTCTGCCTCGACAAACGTCCTCTCAGGCAATATCGACACCTTCTGTAGTCGCGTGAGCTCAACTGTGACACCTGTTCCTGTACACCCGAACTCTCGCGACATCTCGCGACCCTTGGACCATGTTGCACCTTCTCCCGCTTCTCGATCGAACGGCCTTGCTTTGAGGCTATTGACAATTGAGCAGGAGCTGTCCCCCCCGAGACTCGAGGCCCCGACCCGCTTTGTCGGCGGCCCGCATGATGTCTTCGATGGCTGCGCCCAGAACCTTTGGAACATTTTGGAACCATCTGACATCATGTCTGCAGCTGAGAACTGCAGTATGTCTCCAGCGTGATGCGTCAGCACTGCTGTACTCTGACCATCTCCCAATGGCGGGGTGCACACGAAACATTTGATACAAGGTATTCTTACCGAGATCTCAGCGAGAGGTCGTAAAACACGTGCAACGGAGCCGTTCAACGACCTCATGTTTGCCGAAGATGACAGGAAGCAGGAACATTGGCCCGTCTTCCGAAACTGTCACCCATAAAGGTATGACGGTTCGTGGCTTTGTGAACTACTTCCTGGTTTGTCTACAACTGGCAACAGCTCGAGTGCAACCACCGCTGTGCAGCCTCGTACGTTTGCATGCACGTGGCGAGACAGGTTATTGCCAAGGTACTGCGCTATCGTGTGCACACCAAAATAACCACCTACCACTATGAGTCCGTGAGTCATAGCTGTTGTGCCAGCCACTCATCTGAGCCCAGTCGCACAGACTGGCGCAATTCCAGAGTGACGGTGCTCCAGAGACGAATCCGCGACTCGGAGAAAGCCTGCCCGTGCATGAAGGAGTGCGAGTCCTTTGAAAGTCGACTTGACAGGTGAACCTCACAAGTCCAGGGGCCCTGTTGCGAAACTCACAGGCCAAGATCCGTCAAGTTTCGCTGAAGCCAGTGCCTCCAGACCATTGCGGACCTCGCCTGCAGTCACCACCTGAGGCCCGACTTACTTAAGCTAGCTTAAGGCAGCTTAGAATAAGACTTTCGACGCTCACACTCGCACAAGGCAGGGAAAGGCTCCACATAGTCCACAGTATCTCAACTAACGGCGGCAAGCAAGCAGATACCACTATTCATCACAGACTAGACCAACCAAGTCAGGATAGACATAGGCAAAGGATGTGATATCTGCCTCAGCCGTTTGGGGGCATCAAGAGGAGCAATAGATAAAGGAAGGCTTTCTGGCTGGATTGTGGCACCACTAGATGCCGGGCACGGGGGAGACGACCACCAAAGACCAAACAATGCCAAAGCCGATAAGTGAACTGCTTCGCAGCAATGCATGCTCAGCTTGCTGCACAGCCGAGAGGTGGCAGGACAGCGATGGCGCTAACTGGCACTTCGTGCGCCTGGCACGGCTAGCTAGTACCAATGAAGCTCAGCTGAAATGCTTGCGATTGCAGTCGGAAGAGCCCGAACGGATTGCAGAATCCAAAGCCGCTGAGCGAGTGTAGGGCCTGGAACTGGTGCAACGGGCTGGACTGTCCACATGAGTCCCAGACGAAGACATTGCCATCCTGCCAGGCGTGTGAAGCTTAGCAAAGCAGGAAAGCAGCAAAGCATGTGCCCAAGGGGCGGTCCGAAGGATTGTCCGCACATGTCCGTAATGGTTCGGAGCCGGCTCCCTTCCCCGACCCCCGACCGCCATCGCTACAGCAGGTCTGCCAGCCGTGGCTACGGCATGCGGCGAGCGAGATCTGCTCCGGACAGTGTACGCTTTGTATTGTTTAATGTTAGATCCCGGGTCCCCCACTCCTGCCTTCCCCTGCCACAGCTTTGAGCCCCTGGGCTTTACCCCGTGCGGGGGCGATCCTCGCAAACAGTCGTTTTCGGAAGATGGGATCGTCGTCAGGATGCAAGACTGACAATAGTTGTTGGCACTGTTCGCGCAACTATCGCACATGCAGGGCAATTTCGTGTCTCAAACACGACAACAGTAGTGCTGGCACGTACGGCACTGTGGTGACGTAGTGGTGATCTGCATGATTGTGATCCGGGGGGGAGATTTGCAGACAGAGCTTGCACCGAGAACAGGGCGCACCACCCAACCCAAACCACGGGGGGCACTGCCAGCATAAGGGGAACAACACCACCTCTAGTGTAGCAACAATCGTAAAATCACAACAAGCGTGACAATACGGCAAACAAATATCTGCAACCATACCTAGTCACAATGCCAATCGGGGAAAGCGACCGACACAAATACTACGTCACCGAGTAAGCCATGAAACCAACACAATAGGGCGGCTGCAAAAGCCCGACTCCCTACAGGTACATGACATCTGTGCATGCCCCATAGGACAGAACCATCGCTGCCAGGGATAAAGACTCTGACGTGAATGTGCGGGATTGTGCAGGCGTGCAAGCAACCCACTAGGCCCGCTGTCGACAGGACGAGAACTTACATTAAGGTACCTGATGATTTCTCCGGCCACTCATGGCTGGTGTGAAAACCAAAAGACGGTGGCGGCGGCGGTGGCGGCGGTGGTGGTGGTGGGGGTTGCAGAGGAAGCTGTGGCGGCTGTGCTGCTGCTGCTGCTGCTGGGGGTGGTGGCGGCGGCGGTGTCGATCTGGACGTGTACGGTGCTGAAGACTCTGAAGACTGGCTGTTCTGCAGCGGAGCCTCGTAGCCTGCGACGATGGAGTTCCTGAGAGTAAGCCATCTGCACAGCACAGGCTCAGTATGAAGGGCACGGCGAACTGCTCTGAGAAACAGGCGCGAGGGTGGCAATACACCTTGAAGCTTGCCGAGCAGCACCAGCTTGCCAAAGACTCTGGCCTACTGTAGACTCCCAGGCCCAGCCTCACTGCAGAGGGCGCTCGCATGGGCACCGAAGGAGGACTGCGGCTCCTCAGGACTGCAGGGCCTCTGAGCTCCGCCGTTCCCATCTCTGTCTCTGAGTTGGACACCCTCTGGAGAGGCCTTTCCAACGAGAGACAACCTGGCCGCATCAGCCGGCAGCCCACGATGCCGGCCTCCCCTTGAGTTCTGAAAAGGGGACCTGGAAGCGCACGTAGACCTCCATGTCGTCCGTCCCTGGCACAGCCGATTCTGCAAGCAACACGTCGGCGCGAGTCGCTGCCGGCGCTCCCCGGCCTCGATCGACGCGCTCGGTGTTGTTTCGGAGTCCCAACGTGACCAAAGCGCTGCCAATAGCTTCGCCCACCTCACCGCTCTGTTCTGCTAGGCCGTACCGTCACGGATTCGGGGGAGGCCCTTGGGCCCTTGGCCTGCTTCCGCTTGGCCTTTGGGCTTGCGGCGTCCGCGAGTCCTTGATCCTCGCCCAGGCAAAACTGCTGCTTTCATGTTCCTTTCGTCCCGCCAGCGAAAGCTGACCAATTAAAGTGGGCCATGTCCGAACACCTCTGCCTGCTACGCCTTCCCTCTTCGATCTCACACATGGCTCATGTGATGCTAGCTGCAAACCCGTACATGGATCGAATCTGCGCAGGCAAAGTCGTCTCCCATGAGCTCCAGCGCTGCTTTGTAGGGTTTGTCCAGCTGCTTCAAGACTATCTTCCGAAGAATGGACCCGCACCTCACACGGGGTTGAGTCTTCAGTCATCACAGATATCTCAGGTTTGCTGTGCTGCCAGTTAGCATATTCTGGTCTGATTGGGCCTTACATCGTCCGCAAAGGGATCGGGAGTGGAGGGCTTCTGCAACAACGACTTGGACTCCTTGCGCAAGTGGGAAATGGAGCAAGCGTGGGGTGCTACCAGGCTATGCCGGCAATGTGGGTCCTCCAACTTCTCCCGGATCGTGTACTGCGTAACTTCACACCGCCTTGGAACAGATTTCCCCAGCTCGATGTGGACTGTACTGCTTCCAATGCCTACGTAAGTTCACGACCCCTCTGTACGGCAAATCTCATCGAGCATCTGCGAGGCATTGGCAGACGTCATCGCATGCCAATGAATTACAGTGCAGGTGCCACCGGCCTCCTGCACAGAGATGGTTCCGGAGCAGAGCACCACCTCAAGGGAATAGGGCCCCCAACAAAGCACATAAGCAAAAAGAAGGTTAGGGATATCCCATATAAACTCCCTTATAATGATGAAGCCCAATAAGGTATGGATATTCCTATAAAATGCTTACGCACATGTGCTTTTTTGGGTCCCTAATTGAAGGACGAATCTGTGAGTATCTGTCCGACGTCCAGCTTCCCCCTGGAATGTGTCTGACGGTGAGTGTGACTCGCACCAACTAGACAGCCGGAACATCAAGGCGCCTGTTTCTTCATGTCGACCAAATCAACCTGGTAGTGCCAACTTGCTCGGGCCTCACAGGAAAGGCGGTACGTGAAGCTCCGAAGGCTTTCCTGGAAAGTCACAACTAAGAAGTCACCACACGGCAGTGAACTAGAGTAGTTTCCCTCAATTGCAGGACATCTCGGGTTTCTGTGGGAGCGTTCGGCTGGATGCTTCTTTCCGCGCAGTCTTTGCTCGTCCAATTGGTGCCACGAAGGCCCAGAAAACTTCGCTGTCGGGCTGCACAGCCATGATCGCGATGAAAATTTGCTAGAATCCAGAAAGCCATGGGAAATGCAGGAAACCACTCCGAATTACTTCACGACTGCAGCTCTCGCTACAGCTACGCGCACTTGTGACACGGCGGAGAGGATGGCAAAGTCGGTCACGCCGGAGTTACCTGGCCCTCTTGCTGCGGCATCTCCTTACATGACCATGTGGGTGCAGCTTGACATGTTACCGTTCGCGCCATCGTGCAAGTCAAGTCCTCCTCGGCAGGCAGCAGGAGCCATGCGACCAAGCCAAGGAAGGGCACCTAGACAAGCAAACGTAGCAATCTGTGGTTTGCCAGGGTCTTGTCGTTGGTTTGAGTGCCCACCAAAGAGAAACAGAACAGGCTCAAACGCTGCGACCAAACCATCAGTACACCCCATGTGTCAACTTCAGCTTCAAGGCACAAAGCGCCAAGCTGGGCCAGCAGTCTCTGCGAACACATACCTAGGACTCGCTCGGAATCTAGGTCAACTGGGAAAGCCAGGAGTGCGGGCTGCAGGTTCGAAAGCTACTTGGCACATCAACACAATTGTCCAGCTTCCTGCCAGGCAACGCCTGCAAGACGGCAAAGAGGGTACAGTCCACCGCAAAAGCAAAGGCGACGCGGTCCCCCAAAACTAGGGGAAGGAAGTTGCCCTCAGTCAGCAAAACATTTCAGAGTGGTTCTTGCCAGTTCTTGCCGCTACCAGAGCTTCGCAGCGAGAGTGGCACGAAACCATTCGCACTTTGAGGATTTTATCTCCAACCCATCGCCTTGATTCTTTCTACATTCCTGTCCCTTGTGATCCGCTTTTGCGTTGTCCCGTCCTTGTCATCTACAGTATCCATCGCTCGGATCGAGCTTCCATGCTGCTCCGGGAGAAGATGGGTTGCCCTGCTGTGATTCATTGAAAACTGTTGCCAGAACATTGCAAGAGCCGACTTGATCCGCCATGTGCCAAGCAGCCCAAAGTCCCCAGGACTGCCACAGCGCAACAACGGCCACGGCCAAAGCGCTGAGGCCGACCAAAGGACTTAGCGCTGAGCAATGCCCAGCCACTGCGCACAAGTGAATGCAAGAATGCTCGAGCACAGCTGCTACTCGCAGAGCACTTGATCACCGGGCCGCGCCCAGCTTGGCTTGGCTTTGGAAACCTGCGATGGCCCTGCCTTAGGCAAAGCAACGTCGCCGAACAAAACTTCAAGCAGAAGAGTACAAAGGCAACGAAAAGGCTCTGCAAATTCTGTGCAGGATCCAAGGATAAGCCAAGCAACGACGCCGCGAACTGCAAAATATGGGAGCAGGATCCTTGTTTGCTACGCCTTCTCTTTGCAAGTGACAACTAGATCTGCCGACAATGTCGTTAAGCCTGGCATCGCATTTGTCAGGAACATGGCCGGCGCCCACCAATTGTAAACATCTTGTCGCTTTGGCCGATCCCAAAGAAGAAGCGGCAGCAGCATGAAAGCATAAGCTTCCTCAGTAAGAACGCCCTCGTCTGAACAGCGAGCGATGCTGTGCTCATAAGTAGTTCTCCCAGAGCCAAGCAGCTGCAAGATTGAACAGGGCCTCGGCTCGTGTGTACTTGGCACCATCAGGATGACTCAAGATGCAAACCCATGCCTTTCCACTTCAAGCTTACATCAACCAAGAGCACCCCAATCCCTTTTGATTGAAGTTCGGTGCTGGCTTTGGCGAGACACAAGACGCAAAGGATCCACGCTGGGCAGCGCTATGCCAAGAAGGCTCGTGGGGCTCGGCAGGCCAACAGTATCCAGGGCAGGCCAGATGTAGAAAAAGTTCAGGGACTCATCCTGAAGCAGAAGCACAAGCACTCAGAAGGCAGCAGGCATGAAGCCATGGGAGAGCATAGTTACTGCAATGTGAAGGTCTTGACCAGCTGCAATGACATTCCGAAGGGTTGTCTCGTCAATCGCCCAGGCTGGTGGACCTGCAAGGAAGGCGAACTGGCCCTGAGGTGATAGAAGCAAGACATACCTCGGCGGAGTCTTGGGAGTCGGGCATTCGAGGTACTTTGGCTCAAGGCCTCAGGGCCAACCATTGTTGCAGCACAGCTCATCTTAAGATACTTTGTAACAATGACTACTACACCTCAGCACATGACATGGACAGCTGCATACTGATCCAGACGGTTTGTGCTGGTCTGGCTCAATCTTTGCTTCCCTTGTCGTTGATACAGTAGAGTTTGGAAGTACTGGATACTGCCTCAACTGAGTGCAACCGACTACATTAATCATCATGTCCGAAGCTGTCGGGGGTTGTGCTCGAGTTTTCCACGCTTTCAAGTAGCCTGAAATCAAGCCCCGTTGCCAATAGATGGCTCCAGCCGTCGCAAATGCCAATGCTGGCGCCAGATCTCCAAAGGAGCCACGCTGTAACGCCCTGGCCGATTCTTTCTCTAACACAACCCGGATTTGGGACTGCGTAGATTCTCTTTTGACAAGAACCGGGGCGGATGCAATCAATCAACACGACAGCTGCGGTTGCTCACGCTCGTCACGCAGTAAAGAAGTATGTGCAAACGATGCATCCAGTCGTGCAGGCCTTATGATGGGAGCAATGAAACCCACGATGCCAAGAGCTGCACCGCCCAGTTTCAGTGGTGACTCAACGATATCACCTGTGTGCGTCTGCGGCATCTGCGAACATCTGCGAAACGCAACCCTGAGGTAGGTAGGACAACCCCTTTTTTGAGCAAGTTGCGGGCGTAGAACAGTTTGCCACCCCGCGTTTTGTAAAGCGAAGCCCCGCGACTGTTTGGCAAAGGAACACCGTCAAACTCCACGTGCCACGTCATGCCAACAGAATCATCTCCACTCCAGGATTCTCCACCAGCCGTCTCATCGATGACAAAATCAAGGCCTTTCGGCAACTCCATGGCATCTGCGAGCAGCTCGCGCACTCCTTCCTTGCCCTTGAAAGGCTCCTGAAACGTAAAGTCTTCGTAGGTGGCATCGTCGTCCACCATTTCCATGGCCCTCTCAAGGTCCCGGTTGTTCACGGCTGAGTAGAACGACTCCATGGTTTCTTTGGCACCTTGCCGGGTGATCTTGCTCTGGATTTGAGACGACCGGCTCGTGTTGCAAAAGCAGCTACTCACCGTGCCCACGCCCAGCAAACAGCCAGCAAGAGCAACCTGCCGCCGTAAAGTCTGATGCCGTTTCATTGCACCAGGCCGTGCCATGGCAGTCGAAAATTAACAAATGCCAGCACGGAAACACACGCATGCATGCAAACACACCTACAGACGGGACGTGCGATGCATATGCTGTGCAGCCGCACACTGTATGCTCTAATGCAAGTATCCGGCATCTGTTATGCTGGGCCAGTGATGGGAGGCCGATGAGTCGCAGCTCGATAAACCACATTGCTTGGGCCTTTACGGCACGGCTCTTGAAGCGCAGTCGTAAAACTTCCCACTGCTCTCCTACTATCTGCGTTTCCGAGAAAGCCGCAGCCTGAAAATGCAACTGCCAGAAAGCAGTCTGGGCATCCTGCCGCAACCATGCCTTCCGACAGTGCCTGGAGCACTCCATCTTGACTGGGCGGTACATTACTGGTGTCAGCGCTTGGGGCAAATTCGTCGAAACTCACCAAACGGAGCCACTCGTGACACACCCTCCATCTGGCTACTGCCTTGTTAGTGTCTCGTGACTGCGCGTGCTTCACTGCCCAATTGATACCAAACCTGATGGTGGCTATCTGAGACACAGACACCAGGCAGTTCCAGGACTTCCTCACAACCAGTCCCAACAACTGTAGCTGCTTGTGCTTCCTAAGTCCAGCCGCAAGATGGCCATGTCCTCGTGCTGGAAGAACAGGGTTTCTGTACCGTCCCTCAGCTCTCCCGCAGGTGTGGTAACCTTGGCAAATCTGAAAACCCCACCAGAATCACTTCGCGGAAGCCGGCACATAGACTGGCAGCCCATGCTCAGGCACGGGCGAATGGCAAATTTACGGACGCCTCTGCAAAGCTGAAGCGGTGACCCCACTCACGTGCTTCAGCGACGGTTACATGCGGTCCCCTCATCACGCAAGCCTGCGGAAGCCCTTTTTGTTGAGACTCTTGCAGCAGTTTTGTAGCATGTTGCTGCGTTGCTGCCTTGCCTGGTCTGTGGGCTCGCCAAGCTGGCCCATGAAAGCCAAACGGACGAGGCAAAACCTAAGCAATAGCCGACAATCAACAGGTGCGGGCGGGAATGGCTGAGCGTCTGACGGGTCCGCGAGCCCGGAGGTCGCACCTCAGAGGTCAGCAAAGCTGCAAGAGGCCCCTCTGATCTGCAGTAAGCGCGAAGCGTCCAGGAAGCTTCTCTGCCCCCATGATGTGGACGATAAGCTGATCCTGCTCGACTTATTCCGCCCCTTCTTTGGGTGATGTTCTTGCTTTAGACTGGTTCTGCTCGTCGCGACGCTGCTGCCTTGCGTATCCGTGCCTGTGAACACACAGGGACCTGGAGGAGCTGAGCAAAAATCTCAGAGCGGAGACTTCTCAAACTTTCGTATCTCCAAGGCTCCTTCGAAAACACTGCCGGAATCGTCGGCACAAACAGCCGGCCATTCGTTTGGTTCCGTCGCCAGGAAGGAGGATATGGGAAACAGGCCAGAATCAGGCTACATACGAGTGGTTCTCTGTGACTTTATGCAGCGAAAGGCGATGCATCTGTGCGAGGGTCCTTCGCAGGGCTGGTAGAAAAACCCACCTGCAAGCGGCCACCAGCAGATGGCCTAGCACAAAGGCTCGCCGTCTGCGTGTCTTCCCAAGGAGTGTTTTGGGCTCCCGCGTCATATTCACCCATTGGGGCGACACCACGCTGCGTCCCTTGGTGGCGGCCTGGACGGGCACCGGCATCGCGAAGGCTCTGGAGCAGGAAGCTTCCTGCCTCCCAGGCAGAACGGAGTGGCACCTGCCCACCTGATCACCAGTTGTAATTGGCTGCTTCGACACGGGCTACATGTACCGGCCGTTGCAAACGATGCATCTTCAGCCAAGCCGCGACACATGAAGCTGTCTGTGCCGCTGATGGCATCACCTCATCGGCACAAGAACGATGCAAGTGCACTCCAGCAACAGTTGCCTCGAAACCATTCATCACAAGTAGTCCCACGCCAGAAGCTGTAGGCGGCAGCCAGCCAACCCTCCAATTTGACTCTGGACTGGCAGTGTCCCGCATCACAGGTCAAGAAAACGGCGGCTGGTCATTTGCGATGTTCGTGGAGCAGATAGGCAAGCAAGAAATGACAGGCTCAAAAGCGTCGGTGCGTTGAGATGCGCACGGTCGCAAATGTCAATGCACACGACCAAGTTGGACTCGTTGACTTCCCTGCAGGGGAATCCCAGAGACCACCAGGTCAGGGCGAGTGAAGTGCGTTGGCGACGCCAAAAAGCAGCATTTTCACAAGCGCTGCGAAGCGCAAGCTTCTGGTGTGTCCGAGCTCACGAGCTTCCGGAAACAGCGGAAGTTTTGTAAAACGAAGGCCAAACCGAGCTCTTGTCTTGCACGTGTTGAGGCTTCACACCGAGAACCGCAGGTCATGAGCACAGCCAGGAGCAATGTTCAATATTATCTATATTGGTGAAACTCGGATACATGCTGCTTGAGCAGATCCGATCAATGGCTCCACTTTGTGGGGCGAGGATCGTATTCACAGGGGCTTGTGTGGAACGCCACATGCTTTGCAAGTGCATGTCCCTTGTGCCTGCCAGCCTCATCGAAGCATGCTTTGCAGCAGGCACGGTCGTCAAAAAGCCAGGCATGTCTGGCGATCGCCAGGGATCCCATACGAAGGTCAACAAAATGTCGAATCGCTAGGCTTGCCAAAACCCCACCCGGCACCTCATGATTCACAAAGCAATCTTGCTGAGGATGAGGTGAGACATCTACATTCTAGAATCGCAGCGGCTTGAAAGCTGTTTCGCACTCGCTTGGTGAACCTCGCCCTTCTTGCAGCATCAAGTCAAGCAGCAGCGAATATTGCCCATGTTAAACCATGTGCAAAAGACTGCCTAATCCCTAATACTGAATTACAGCCAGAGGCCATCAGTGTTTCTTTGCATGTATGTCTGGAAGAGAGACCTCGAAAAAATCACGTCGCGCATCAAAGCATCGAAGCACCCTCTGCCGAGGACCACAGAACACTCAGTAAACTCAGTAAACACGGAGCATCTGAGAGCTCGTCGGCTCCTGCCATGGCATAGACCTGAGCTACGCAGACCTCAAGCCCCGATGTTTCCTAACGGCTCAAGACAGAAAGCCGCTAGTGCTGACTTGGGGCGGCATCTGATTTGCCCACTCCCCTAGCTTTGCTCTTCTGGTGCAGGCGCTCGGAAGAATCTCCAGCCGCCTCCTTGTCAATGTCTTTCAAGCCTCCAGGTGTGCTGCATGCTTTCAGCCGCTATGCTCTGGGCCAATCCAGACCGGACAAGGCACCAACGAAAGCTACCAAGTCCCTGCGACATCGAAAGACCCGCTCCATGCAGGAAAGACGACAAACACGACTCTTCACAAGCTTGAGACCCAGTTCAGAACAGCTGCTGCCACCGGCCGTTTATGGGTGAGTGAGTGAGTGGGTGGGTGATTAAGTGAAGGAAGGGAGAGAGCGGCAAGACACATGTGTATGGTGTGTAAACTATATGTATGCACGTTTATTTGTATGTGTGTGTGTGTGTTCGGATGTTATGCATGGATGTACTTGTAATCCTCTTTGATTTATCAGTAGTGATCGATGTCTACATGTACAAGGAATTAATGCTATCCTGCACTAGGTTACTTACCATCCGCACGTTGTACTGCAGCAGGCTGCAATACTATCTTGGAAAGATGAGAGTAGATTTAGTTCTATTGGATCTTATCAGGTTACACATGGTTGTACAAGTCTACATTGGTCCTGCTAGTTAGATTTGACTCCGCTGGGAAACATCCGGCTACATTATACCGCGTTTGGTCTACCTTGCACTATAAGACACTCTACTCTACAAGTATGACATTATCGCCGAATATGTTCCAATGCATCATGTAGATCATATAGTGCTACATCATGTTAAATCTTATTATGCGAAAATACCGCGGTCGTCATTTCCAGTACACATGCTATACTCTTCTGCCGTATTCCATCATCTTGTCATGTTATGTTATACTGAAGTCTTTCTATGCTGTACCATGCTACACTACAATATGCTATGTTGCACTAACTGATATCGTGCCTGTTGATTTGCATTGCACTTTCACGATGTAGGCGTTGTGTGTTGTATACTGTATACTGCTTTAACATTCATTAACATTCCATACTGCATCTCGCCTATTGTGCATCGTGTGATTTGTGTGCCTTACGCTTCTGACGGACTACGACACGTTATGCTATGAATTTTCTACTACGAACTACATGCTATGTACCCAAGATTATTTCACCCACATAACAAGTCCTAAAACAATATGTATACGTTTTTATAACAAAAAGAGCCTGTTCTGATATGTATATTGAATATATCATATCAAGCCTGCCAGATAGTAAAGCTAGAACAAGCTCCCTCCTGAATACAACATACTGTGTATTAGCCAGCTACATGTTATGCATTCTGAGTTGTGCAGTATGTACTACTGTATGCCATGCTCTGTACTGAATGGTTTTGTTGTATGTTCTGTAGTGCACATGACATGTATCCGGCATCTTGCTTAACGAAGAAAAGTATGCTTATATAAAAACATACTTACATGCATACATCCGCACGTGGTTGTGTCTACATGTACATACACACATACACACGTGCAAACCTTCATTCATCTGCAGAAGGCTGTAAGTATGAGCTAACGAACGAACACGAGCGCGCCCACATGCAAATACATCTGCGCTTGTTTGTCACTGTCTGTCTTCATCTGTGCGACTGTTCTTCTGTCTCTGTTTCGGGCTAGGTACAGATACGGAGCAGAGTCACTTATTGCTTCTGTTAGCCTGTTCATCTGTGTGGGAATTCATGAACCTAAAACAAAATGCTGATGTTCAAGACGGTGAAGACCATAATGGTGCTGCTAGTAACTTGTGAAAAGAAGACATACATCCATCTCTGTGTACATAAACGAATACATACTGTACATAATATACACACACATACATACATATATAATGTACACAAGTGCAGCTATAACCACAAACGTTTGCATATGTACCTGCACTTCTCTACCCCAGACACGCTGGGGTGCAGGCATAGCAAAAGGGTTTAGGCTTTATCATTCTGCGGCTTTTGGTCTGGGGCATCTAATTAGGCTGAATACCCCGGACCTTAAGATTGAGTCAGGCGATGTCAAGTTGCATGTTCTGTGAACTGGCATACGGGGCATTATGCCATGCATGATGCACAACTAGTACAACACCGAACAATGACAAACATCAAGCATGCTTTTCATCTAGTTCGGGCGGAGTTTGGGAGACTACGGCCGGCCTGCATCAAGCTCTTCGGCAAAACTCTTGAAGAGCATCTGGACGCTAGCCAATTGCTTCCTCTTGCTGTCTATCTTTACGCTGTAGTACTTGTCCTGAGTCGTGAGGAGGCGCTGTATCAACCACTTTGTGAGTATAGCGGGGAGAAAAGCCCAACGGCGTGGCGTGTGAGTCAAGTGGCTATTCGCTTTGTTTTGGCCTCAATTTGCCAGGCCATCCAACACTGGTACCTCGGCAAAGGTGCGCTGAAGTAGAAAGCCAAAGCCTTCTCAACCTGCAGTCTTGGTTGACGAAACTGCATCTGTCGATCAGCCGAAGCGCATGGAGTTCAGGTCTATCTGGTCGCCAGCGAGGCCTCACAAGCTGCAGTGGACAGAGGCACGGGCCTTACAAAGCAGCTTGTGCGTGTACATGCCGCACCAACTGTGCCATGCCACCTGACACGGAGCTTCCGATTTCCCTGTGCACCGTCTTGATGTAGACCACCCTTCAAGGAAACTAGTCAACTGCTCGGTTTTTTGGGAAAGCACTGGAGCGGAAGAATCCTGAGTTACTTTGGCGTGATCGCCTAAGGCATAGGCGAATCATCATTGCCATCGACCTCGCAGTCTGAAGCAGAGAAGCTGTCCACGGAGCCTCGTCGGCATGGCACCAGTACCTGGTCCTCCAACTCTCGCAGCTTCTTTCCATCAAAGGCATAGCCAGTCCTGGGACTTCATGCCCTAAAGCCAAGCTTCACCCAGCACCACATGTGTTCAGGAAACATCATGAACATGCGCCTGGAATACTTCAGTGCAGTCGCTGGCACGAAGAAGCAACAAGAAACAGTCGAGTCACAGGCTTCAGGCAAGGATGCAAAGGCGTGAAGGTCAAAAGATTTCGCTACGCGACGGGCGACCGGGCCCAGGGCTCACCAACGTCTTGCGTCCCTGGCCCGCCGTGCTTCCTCCCCTCTTTACCGGGAGCGCTTGGCGCCGACCGACGGTCCAACGTTGCGGAATGTCACTTCGGCCGGCAGTTCTATCGCACGACCAGCTGGTTCGTTATTCCACATCCAGGTCCTTCGCGTCCAACTGAGCTTGGCTCAATGCAACTGCCCGAGGCTTCGGCTGTGTTATGCTGCTGCTGGGATGGATAACACTGGGCTCGGCATCTTCAAGGACTTTCACGCTCGACGCGCAGTGACATTTGGACAGCGCAGCCGGCAGACTACATGTAATGTGTGCAAGTGGGACACTATTAAATCCTACACGGGCATGTGCAAACCACCGTAGGAGAAAGTACGCCTTCCCGGCATGACACCGAAGAGCCAATTGCATCCACGCTTCCATGCCATGAAGGATTGCTGCAGGAGGCCGGTGTCTGTAGCGGCCTCATGGTTATTAGCACGAACTACAGCATGGCCTGACAACACTTCGTGCACATGTGGTTCGTACTGTAAGTTGAGAATCGCGGTGAGAGAACTGCGAAGTGATGAGACGGAGCACATCACAGAATCAAACCCAGGAGTACTGCAACTCCTCGGCATATGTAGTGAAACCTCGTCTGTTACGCACTGTTAGAAAAAACTTATGGCTGTACACGGATGCGCCGATCTAAACTGTAGCGTAACTACAAGAGACGGTATCAGGCTGGTTACCTAGTAACATCGTATCGTATCCTGCATACGGTGCTGTCCAGTGGCATCTGGCATCATGTAACTAGGCCCTACTAGGCCCAATCTGGCAGTGCAAAGGCATGAACGGCGCTGAAGACAATCGGCCAGTCATTCTCAACGGCGCGTAGTCACAAGATTAGGCAGGCAAGGGTAGATGGCCTTCGTATCAAGGCCCCGATACCAAGAAAAAACACACCCAGTTGAGAGGACTCTTCCCCCCGCAGCCCTGAGGAAGGGGCGGAAACCCTGGAGAGCATCAGCTTGGCATCTTCCTTCTTTTTCTCCATATATGCCTGTTTTTTGCACTCAGGCAGGCCGTGTCAATCAATTTTGATGTGTATCCGGCCTTCATCTGACCCTCAAACTTCTTCACACTGTCCTCAAAGTCCTTGTCCTTTTTGTACGCCTCACTAAACTGGACCTGCATTGTCACGTCGATGAATGATTTCTTGATCACTTCTGCAACTTGCGGAGATGCCAACGACGACCACACGTTAGTCTTTAGCGAATCCAAGATCAGGATGTGGCCCATGCGGCGAAGGCGGCCGAAGTTGAAGCTCCCTGGTAGTCCAGAAGCATTCGCATCATCACCTTCCGCTTTCAAGTCAGCAAAACACGGAAGGATGCCGACGTATCGGGTGATGCAGGAATTTTTGGAGCCTGCTTCAGCTTGGAGCACATGTCCTTGGCTGTCCTGGCAGAAGCACGTTCCCTATGACCCTCGAATGCTCGAAGCCCTGCATCCAACCTGCCAATGGTTATCTGGAGTGCTTGGACCCGATCGGCCGTCCAAGCCTCTGCCTGCAGAGACTTGCTCCCTCCAATTGAGTGTGATGCAAAACTGCAGACGAGGGCGCCTTTTGCTGCAAGACGATGCCATTCCATCCGGATATGACACTCATTAAGAGGTCCTGCTGAGACAGGAGTTGCTGGAGCTGCCATCGCGAAGGCTTGGATGTTCGATCAGACCCGACTCGTGAGTCTGCACATGCAGCGCGACTCGCTGTGACTCAGGATTCCGGTCCAGTTCTTCTCTCGTCGCAGCTTGGAACATGACCCCACGGATGCGATTCAGATGTGCTGCCTGTGCAAGGGAAGCCGCACAGTCCCACAGCTTCTCTGTGCAGACTGTCGCAGAGGTGAGGTGCCTTGAAGTCTGCGAGCGCGGTCTCTGCTTCCTGCAAGGCGAGGATTCGGCGAGGCGGAGTGCGAGCAGAAAAGCGCGAGGCCGGGCAGCGGCTCCTCCACTTCGAGCGTGTAGCGCTCGCGCAGGTTCCGCTCGCCCTGGCCCCATCCGAAAGGCCGCCGTAAGCGCCGCAGCACAGCCGTCCGTCACTGCGGCGCTTTTTGGCCTGGCCTTGCCCCTCAGCATGGCACCATGCCAGGAAGCCCACGCCTGGGTGAAGCTAAGTCGGGAAGGGCATGGAACACCAGGGATGTCAGGAGGCCAGGGCCAGAGTGCAACAGATTCGGCAATGTGGCAAAAGGAATGAAAAGATGTGAGCCAGAATGCGACCGTCTTTCTTGTAAAACTCTCCGACCTGATCCTGTGCTCCCGGCTGCTTCTTTCAGAGCTTGCTTATTCGTCCCCACAAAGCCCATCAGTGCCTGAAGTCAAGGCCCACAATCTCGACAGTTAGTTTACGTACTTACGAGTGGACTTCGAACACAGCCGTGTTGAGCAGTTGCTTGAAGCATGAACGCGTGAGAGGAGGAACGGGACTTTGTTAAGAACATGCAGATCTCATCCAAGCATGTCAATTCACACACTCAACAGCACAACCAGGGACACATGCCCGTTTACCACAGGGACTTTGCAGCCAACAGGAGCTGCACCCGCTTGCCACAGCTGAAGGGAATCGCAAATAAATAAGTATATATATATATATGCCTATTTAGTTAATTCATTTGTTTGTTGTTTATATACATATACACACAGACATATACATACACACACATATACATGCACGCATACATACATACATGCATGCATACATACACACAGCAAGCTAGTTCGTCAGCTAGTCAGTTAGTTAGCTAGCTTGCTAGTTAGTTGATAAGTTAGTTAGTTAGTTAGCTAGTTAGTTAGTTAGTTAGTTAGTTAATCAGTTTGTTAGTTCGTTCGTTAGCTAGTTGGCTAATTAACCAGCTATCTACATATGTGTAAATATATACACATATACTCATTCCATGGCCTGCTTTGCTTTGTGAGTGCGCTGTTCGGGTAGATCATTCAGCTGCGCCTGGCATGCAACAGATCGAGACGGGTGACAGCAGGACTCACGGGAGGCATTCAGCCCTGATCGCCGCTGCTATCGTGAGAAACAATGTTGAGGCATCGTAGACAGCTCGGCCCGCATGCCTCGACAACGAGCAGCCTCGCACGCATGCAGAAGTGGCTCGGGCATGTGTAGTTTTGTGCTATGCTATCCCGCTAGCTCCCCCCTCACGACTGGCCTCTTGTTCGACTCCTCGGCGATCTCTGCGGATCTATTCAGCCGATCCAATCGCTGCGCCATATTCGGCGCCTCAGCACGCTATCAGCGAAATCGACGGGCAGTAAAGCACGGCCTGCCCTCAGCCCTTCCTGAGTTGCGGACCCACGTCTCCTGCAGGAAAGGGGATGGGGTCTTGGAATTTCCGGACCGAACTACGACTGGTCCTTGCAGCGCATGGTCTTCGCCACTTCGGTGGCAGCCTGTCAACAGTTTGGAAACCTCCGGTCAGTACCATCGGAGATCACCACCCGCGGTGTATTGTCTTGCTTGGTGTGGCATGTTCAGTTGATGCTGTGGCCTCGGTAGTGGGGGGGATTCAGGACAGGACGAATGTTGTAGGTACGTTTACTGACCCCAAGTTGCCCAGCGTGCCTGCAGAATGGCCCGCTTGATGGTCGACTGGCCGAAGGCGGTGCCACTCTCTTCTTCGAGCAACGCCTCTCGTTGCATTTCGAGCAAGCGTCGCTGAACGCGATACAAGCTAGCAGCTAGCATAAGCGACAGAAGTACGAGGTGACAATGTCATCGTTTCCGCCACTGTAGTCCCCGCACAGTCCCTCCGAACCTGGATGGGCCCTGGATCGTTGTTCTCGATCGTTGTCCTGCGCGGAATCAGCACAGTATCAATCCTCTAGACGCTGGATGCTCTCAAAGTACCTCGAAACTGCGTTGCAACCTGTCCAGCAAAAGCCTTCGCACCTCATTCGTGCCGCAGATGTGACGACAACAATGAGCTCCAGGGTAAGGTGCTCGAAGCCTTCTCGCAGGCCTTGGAATTTGGCCACAAAGTTGCAAGTGAGCTCATGGTGCGTGATGTTTGCGCCTTCAGGTATTCTGTCAATGACCTCGTAGATCATGACTTCTTCCTTACAAGACGGGCAATCCTCGCTCGCCCAATCAAGCAACGCAGGACTGCAGCATGGTATTCCCGACCGGCTGAATTATGATGTAATGTGATGTGATGATACAGGTAGACTGACAATGAAGATGCTCTACGAAGCCCAAGGGGCATCTGCCTGCACAAGATTTGGGATCCTCAGATTGATGCAGTGCGACCGATCAAGAATGGCTGGTGCCAGTGGCACAAAGAAATCAAGCTGGGCAGCTCTTCTGCTCTGATGGGCACCCCATTGAGCGCCAGGACCTGGAGGGCTGCCTCGACGACCTGTCAAGATCTACCATCGGCCTGCAGGACCCAGATGGACCCTGCATCGGACAGCTTGGACAATCTTTTTTCAGCAGGATTGAGAGGGTTCCTTCGGAGCTGACTGGAGCGCAGGCATCAGTTGACCTACTCCATCTTCATGCTCAGCACTCCTCGTTGCTCATCTGTTGCCCATCGGCCATCGAGCCGTGCGTACGATAGTTCCGCGAGGCAAGTGCGATGCTGCCAACCGGGGAGGTGATGCTGGGCAAACAGCCATCGCCCAGAAAATCCGGTGCTCGAATCCATGTCCACAGTGTACGTCCTCGTGTTCTCTCAACGCTTGAGCCCTTCGTCTTCAGCATCCGCCCTCATCTTGTCGTGCGTCGCTTGGAGATGCTCGTGAAACTGGTCGATCGTCATGCCGACCTGAACGCAACGCCGTGCAGCACGATGCTGGGGGGAACTCGCTACCTCGAGTAACAGCGAGCGGCACTTTGCAAATAGCGCTCGCACTCCGCCACGTAGTCCGGGTTGAGCTCCTTGGGCTGCACATACCGGCGTGCGTATCGCTCCCCTCCCCTGGAAGAGCTGGAGTCATGGAGCGCCCATGAGCTGGAACCTGCCGATGAAGACTCGCCATCGGTCCTGGAGTCGGATCATGGAAAACTCCTTGTATCTGCACTCTTTCCGGACATGTGAGATTCCTGCGTGACTCTCGGTCCTGAATCAGAGCCACCTGATCCAGGTAGGCCTGCTTCCCCAAAGGGTCAAAATCGCGATATTTGCCACCGAATCCTGAGCTGAGGACGGTGAAGACTCGTGAAGACAAACGAGCCAGACGTGTGCCCTACCTTTATCCAGGAGAAGGATGGGTGAGCAGCGACGACATGCAAGTGCGGCACTTCCGTACCTACATCTCGAGTTGATGTGCAACCGAGGCTCGGATGAGACCTGACGTACGGGCAGAAGGGGATACTACACAAGAGACGACATATAGAATTTCGGTGAACTGAGCGACTGGAAAAACTATACTCACTGACACCACACTGCACATTGACCCGTTGTTACCATGCAGACACATAACATGCGTAACTGCATAACTCTGTTGATGCTACTCTGCTCATTGACCTTTGCCGCAAGCATTAACAAGCCGGAACAGAGCAGCCTCTCCCACTGTGGGCAATTTCAAGTTGAAGCAAAGTTCGATAGATCCGGACCTTCGTGGTCTCTGGTCAATGCTTCGAGCTCGTCTTGCACAACGGTGCTTTCCAATGCCTTACTTCAGTGTGGCTGGATTGCCCATCTCCCATTCATTCTTTGGAGTTAGAAGGCATCACGAGCTGGTGCAGAGAGCATATCATCTGACTCGCTGACATTTGGCATAACAGGCAGATTCTACATCCCTGGGGCCGGATCCGAACAGGAGCCAGTAGCAGGAGAGCTCCACGTGCAGGCTGAGGGTATTGGAAGGCGCAAAAAGCCCTCACCGTCTTCACACTTCGAGCCACTGCATCATGACCGGTATGCCTCCGGGGCGACATGAGCAACATCACGTCCGGTAATTGGAGTTCTCGGGGGGTGGCTGGAGCTCGCTGGGCCACGACCGCACGTCATATGCACCGGCGGCACCCGAAACAGCCGTTCATGAGGGCACGGTGCTTGGCCGCACGAACTGGTGACATCCAAGATGGACTCAGTCCAAATAAAGTAGGGAGGATCTCCTCCACTTCGCGACCACACTTTTCTGCAGTCATCCTTGCCCCTCCTGCTACAAGCATAGGGAGTGGAGAGCGGCGTGCTGCTTGCTCCCCGAAGCCCGGTTCACACAGTCGAAGACAAAGACTCGAGACATCTCAAGACCGCTCAGCTGCGCGCATCTGAGGTGCTCTTGCATTGGCTGTAAAGGGCGGTGAGGTTGGCCCTGCATCCGAGGATGTAGCAGACATTACCTCGGATTCCCCGATTCGTCTGTGAATGCTGGCCTTGCTTCTCCCCATTAGTCAGAACAATCACAATGTCTGCCGCCATGCCCACTCTTACATCATGCAACCTGTGGGATCATGTATACATGTAGCAGCCTCTCGGACGACGAGGCTGGGGTCCGGGCAGATGGCAACGATTGGCTCATCTGCCTCGGCGAGACTGGTAGCAAGCAAACCTAAGCACACAAACATCGCCGCATGGCCAAGTGGCTGTATGGCTGCTGGGCTCCTTGGTGGCGTTTCGGGGCCCCATCAACCCATTTGAGTCACTTGCTCTGGGTCAACTTAAACCCTGCACTGCACCATACGAGAGCACCCTATCCACAGCTCTATCTTCATACCCCCATGTCTGTATCTATATCAGTAACCATATCCCCGTCTTTTTTTCCAACTCCTCTCCGACGCCAGTAGACGGCAGGTCACGGCACTAGCATGCAACCTCGAAACCGTGATCGAACAGCACAGATGGATCTTGACAGGTATAACATTTGTATGTATGTATGTATATATATATATATACACACATGTGTATGTATGTCAGTATGAATGTATTTGTGTATGTATGTACGCATGTGCGTATCTCTGCATCTATGTATGTATGTATGTAACCCATTTTATGTATTGTAATGTAGCGTAGTTAGTCGTATTTGTACGTATATGTTTCTGTAATTATGCGCGTATGTATCCAGCCCGCAAAGGCGTAGAAACCGTTCAAGGCAAACGTCAGTCCCGCTGGGAGGGGCGGAGGCGGTCGGCCCTCGAGCATTGCGGCCATTTGTTCCGGCTGCCACTTCATGAGCGCCTTCCGCAAGACAAGAGGCTGAAAGAGCATCTACAGATGATCAGGAAGGGCAGTAGGAAGGGCAGTAGAACATGTGTTGCGGACTAGCAGGCTGTGCAAACACACAGGCATGAGTGCATGCATGTAGTCAGTCGGTTTGGCCTGGTCTGTCCATCTCTACATGCGAACATATGCCTGCACGAAAGTTCCGTGATGGTAACAGACATGCATATCAGGGCGGATGTGTGCGCATGTTGAATTTGTACATGTATACACATGAGCTTATAGATACGTATCCGCACGGCCAAACCCGTCATTACCAACAACAAGACCTGCGTCTACATATAAATACATATACATACATGCATATACATATATATATATATATACATCTTTCACAAACCATTGTTCTTGTCTATATTCCCTACTTGCTCAGTGAGTTTTGTGCCAATCAAGCCTCGACTGCGTCCATGCTCAAGCCGCCTTTCCTCATCCGGACCTGAGGCCGAGAGATGATCTCTCATGCCGGCAATCTGGGAGTTTCCGAAAATAAGGGACCCTAATATAGTACCCTAAATGGTAGGATCCCTATTACAAGGACCCCAAAATAAGGTACCCCCAATTTTTTCGGAAACCCCCATCTAGCAATCCAAAACTCTGACCCTGTGACAGAAAGTGTGATGCACCTCCGTGAGGGCAAAGGTTTCGAGGGCTTGAAAGTCGTCGGCTCGTCTCAATCGGAAGTTCGTGGCCAGCCACATGTCGTTGGTCTCCCGCATGTCGCGACCTGATTGATATTGCAATAAGCAACACGCACAGCTGGAGCCCAGCGAGCAAACCTTAGTCCACCAAGCGGCACATCTCTGCTTGTTCCTCCAGCTCCAAATTTCACTGGACTACTTGTCTTTACTTCGGACAAAGCCAAACAACACACGAGTGTGTCGGCCTCGTCAGTCAGAGGGGCTCCTTGCTGCAATTTGGACATGAGCTCGCTGAGGCGCCTTTGCCTCATCAGAGTCTCCCGATGCTTGACTTCCCAGCACATTTTGGGGGAATTTATGCGCAAGAAGGTGGCTTTATTGGCATCTCGGCAGCATAGTTGTTGACGGCTTCCGCAGACCAGAATTCTGAGCGGAAGGGGCATAGCGGACCGATTGGAAGTGTCCTTTGCCGGAGCCCAGGCCCTGCATCTACAGCTGCACATGTGCGACGAGGTGCAACGAAACAACACGAGTTCCCGAAGCAATCATTCGAGGCACATCGCTGTCGCTGCTGGACCACCAATACCTCGCCTCCGACGTGAGCACAGGAGGAAGGTCTCACTAACAAACAAGCGCAAAGGACTGTGCAGCACGCCAAACAACACGGTGCTGCCTCTGCAGAAGACGGCCTCGCGCAAGGCCGCATCGCTTACTCAGTGCGCCTTCCAGCGCAAGAGAAGTAAACGGACTCGTGCATGCACATGGGGTCATCTGCATATGTTAGTCACATGAGCATGAGATGCATGAGAGGGAGCGTGCAAGGGCTCAAACCTCCATCATCGAGGTTAGCCAGGCTGGCAAACCTTAGACCCATCATCCCTTTGCGGCTCCCTGTCGTTCAAGCTCCTGCCCCCGCGCTGCTGATTTGTCGTTCGATCAAGACACGCCCAGAGGACCAGCACCAGCAAAGCACGATGACGCATGGCTGGCTTCGGGCCGCTGTATTCTCTTTCCGGATGACAGATGTTAAACATGTTGGCAAAAATGGCATTCACACTCCGGGTCGTGACCGATTGGGACAGGACTGATCTGAGCCCCAACAGGCTGCTTTGCAGGGTCAGAGTCAGACCCGGCATCCGACACGAGTCCACTACGGAAGCCTTGAGGCGGTCCATGGTCTTTCCCAGAGAGCTCTTCATTACCACATAGTGCCAGTTGTCCAAGAACCTCAGAACGACTAAAGCTCTGTTTTTTTGAACGACACAAACACTTACCTCCGAGGCCAGAGCTGCTGCATCTGAAGGCAAAGAGCTTCATCAGAAATCCGCCTCCATCGCAGGCTTTGGCTGCGGTGCTCTCTCTTCCTGAACGTGTGCTGTGCGGCAGTCTGAGCTGTCTGCTGCACCCTAGGCGTGCGAGGCGTCTTTGTAGGTGATCTTGAGGGCGATCGAGATGCCACCATGGCCGACCTCCGGGCTGATTCCCCCAAAGAGGACCCTGCCGAGTGCCCCCAAGCCCCACCTTGGATGTTGAGGCGGCCAGGTCTCTTGAATTCGGGGACTTGCTTTTCCCCATGCTACGGACTGCGAGCCAAGAGAAAGTCAGGAAAGCAGACCCCGCATCTTCGAAGCTATGACGCGTGTGCAAAACGAGCCAGCGCATGAGACCTCGACACAGGGCAAGGCACGAGGCTCCTGGTGTCGTGCACCCATCCCTTCCGGACAGAAGGAGGGCGAGGTTCAAAGCCGGAGCGCAGAAGCCTCATGTCAGGCTGGAATCCTGATGCCTGAAGCACCCATGTGCTACATGGCCTCCCTCTTCCCAATTCGTGTCCCTTTGCGGCATAGGCCGCGACTGAGGCGGCATGTCAAAGACACATCTTTGCTTCCAGACCTGTTTTCAAGGAGGAGCAGAGGTCACCGAGCCCCCGAGCCGAGACACGCGACAAACCCCCCGAGCCGAGCCGTGCACCGGTTTGATGGTCTGCTGCTTCACCGAAGTTCTCACTGTCGTATGTGACCTGTGCCCCCGGTCTTGCTCTCATGGCCACTGCGGAAAAGCGAACTGTGGCCAGGGCAGCATCGCATCGCCTTCCACAAAGCACATCCGAACTTGAAGGTTTTTGTCCACTGTGCCTGAAAGAGAAGCAGATCTAGGCGTGTCAGTGACTGTACTCCAGTCGAGCAATGACTACTCGTCCGGTCATCTTCTCACTGAGACTGGTGCCCGCATACTTGACGTTGTCGAGACCTACCACATTACCAAAGAGAAAATGCTTCGCCAAAAGCTAAGAGTGACACATCAGAGGCCGCGGACCGCAGACCCACGCTGCTGCTTCCACTCGATCGTGCATGGCGCATGTTGCTGCGATGTGTAGTCACTCTGCTGAGGAGCGCACGCTCCACCGTGCACTGAATCTGTTTCGGACATGGCCTCAAGACATCCCTAGACGCTCAAATGCCACTGAGGCAAAGATTCTTTGATTTCAGATTTCATGCCTGCAGACTCCCATGGTTGAGAACTATGGTGCCAGTTTCCCTGTGGGCGGGTTTCTTCTACAAAAACTCTCGATGGAGGTGTAGACTCGGTTCGGATGTGTTTAAAATTTAAGATGAGCAGATTGTCTCTGGCACTCGTTCCAGCTCAGGAACGCGAGCATGGGCAGCTGGGGGGCTGCTCGGATGCATGTTCGCAGTTCTTCTCGGCACCCCGCACGATGGCCTGGAAGGCCAAACCTCAGAAGCTGAGTGCCGAAGCGGCGCATGAGGGTTTCATCATGGGGTGCCGAACAATCGATGAGGGCAGCGGTCTTCGAGCAAAATGTGACAAAACCAGTGCGTGTAGACGTCGGCAGATCGCGCGGTGTCAAGGTACTGAGCATGCATCTCCCACAGCATAGCCCGAGAATTGAAGGAGCCGCTCAAGGCAAGCTGAGGCTCAGGTCTGGGCAAAGAGTTGGCTTTTCCTTGCACTGCAATACAGAGTCGCAATTCCTAGCACCACCCGATACATACAGGCATCAATCCCGAGGCGAATGATTCAGGAGCACTTCCACATCACACCCGTTCAGCACCGCCCACAGCACAGCAAAGCCAAGCACGCACATTGCATGAGACTTGGATACAGAAAACTGGGGGCTTCTCCGTGTCGCTCGCTGCCTTATCTGTCGAGCACCGTTCAGTGAGCGGGACGCAAATCCTCTCTTCAGCACAGTCACAAGCCACGGTTTCAGCATGCGGACGGGCATTTCAATTCGGTCAACAGGTTCTCTGGCTGCTTGCCACTGTATCATAACCGAGCTTCCGACACTGCTTCTCTTGGCCTTCTTGCCCTCGGGTTCATGGCAAATTCTGAGTGCAAAGCGGTGCACAACCTGACTCGTCTTGTCTCTCCTTTCGCAACGCGCTCTTTCTGGTGCCAGCAGAAGTGACTGCTGGTTTGGCCCTACTGTTCGTCTCGAATCTCACTGCGGTGCAGGCCCGCATCAGCTGCTCTGTCGGCTTCAGTTCGAAGGACTGTGCCTGATGGCCACTGGTTCGGGCTGGGTTCGGGCAAACTTTCGCAGACTTCTATGGCAAGACTCGAAATGATTGCCATTGCCCCCTTGAAAACAAAGGTTGGCGCTGCCTTCTGGCCGTCCGCACGAATAGCATCTGCTAGCGGTATAAACAGCTCTGCCAGGAGTTTGTCGGAATTCCTCAGATGCGTTTGGAGCGAAAATTGGTTCGATCGCTGGCATGTACGCATCCCGCGCTGTTAGTGCGGTGAAGCCGAGCAGCATCCGCTCCTTGCCGAAAAGCTGAAAGTGAAGGCCTAGTGGATATTGCGAAGGCAGGCAGGCAGAACTGTGGCAGCCAGACCAACTGGGGGCGTGGCGGTAGTCGGGGCTGTGCGAGACGTGGCGATCCCCGACGAAGACCGGAATCTGCACGACGAGTTTTCTTAAACGCAAGCAATACCGTAGAAACACTGAACACCGATGCCTCAAACTCTAAAATCTCACCCCAGTGAGGGTTCACTGTCTGGCTTCTGACCTCGGTTCGGAAAACGAACTTCAACTTCTCATGCTCTTAACACGAATGTGGCCCTCGCTTCCGTCACGTCTCGAACTTTGGCCGGCAGACTCTGTACCTTAGCTCATGGGTGAACGGCATGATATCATCTTTACGCAATAACTCCAAACATGTGTGTATGCACCTATACATAAACGAACCTTTACATCCGTTTCTCTACGTGTCTGTTACTCACCTAGTCGACCGGCACCCGCCTATTATCCAATCTTCGGGATCTCGGGCGGGCACTGCCCCAGCACAGCTCTGCCGAACAGTCGCCCCTCGGGTGTGCAATTGCCACGAGAGATAGCGGTGCACAGCTGCAGCTCAGGCGTGCGCGAACGAATGTCGGGTTTGTGAAGCCGACTGCGAGGCCCTCGGAGACAATGGTCATTGAAGGTTACTCGGGACGTGACATCCCTTGCACAGATCAATCGGATTTTCCAGGCAGCTTTCCAGGATGCACTCTCCTTGAAAAAGCCGGACCTAATCTGGTACCTTCGTTACCCAGTTCCAGGACTGAAGGCCGTATGACAGCACCCACGTGATTGCCTGGCAATCACGCGGTCTAGGATCATGTAGCCAATGCTGTCTTGTCTGACGTATCGATGCTTGCACTGAGAGCTCGGCATGGACCGACCTTATGCGAAACAGGTTTTGTGAGCGATGGGCGTGGGAAATGCAGGAGACATCTGTGACGGCTCCGGCCGGCTGCAACTACTGCCCCAACTATGGACATTGTCGTTCTTGTCGCTACCTCTTTGGATGCGTACCTGTTACCAAAGCCCCTCCGGCAGGGGCAAGTCCGGCAAGACAACGAGCACGCAGAAACACAAGGCCGTCTCAGGCATCGGCTTCACGGAAATTCCAACTGCACCCTCCTCTCCCTCGAAGAATCCAACGAAGAGCTCTGCATCTACGAGCTCCTCGCGACCAGAAGGCAGTTGTTGTATAACTAATATATTAGTAGCTGTGACTAAGCTATGGAGGTGGTGGTGCACAGCCAGCGATATATGTAGCTACGGAGCCGGTGCCGGTGGGCTTCTCTGTCGCTGCCGCAACACCCGAGTGGCCTGGTATGGTCCTTGCCCGAGTGGAGAGTAAAGCTTTCGGGCCTGACACACATTGTGGTAGAAGACATGACGTACGACTCAAAGCTCGAGAAGCTCAGATAACCCACAAGTTCGACAGAAGTGTCACGCGTTTTCGGCAGCCTTCTGCCAGATCCAAGATAAACCATGCAGCTGCCAGTGCCCTCTCTTGGAACACCGGCGGCAAGAACTCGGTTAAATTCCAATTTATGAACTGGGATGGCATTGTGCACTTACGATTCAAGGGCGGTCCAGATTGGCCCAGTCTGGTCAAAACAGGTGCCTGGCTGCGTCTCATTTCGTACAAGTCTTCACAGGCCTATGCGTTGCAGCCGCGTGTCTGCAGAGGTCACAGACTGGCTGTGTCAAGGAGAATGGTGGAATCTGCCAGCTGGGCGAATCAAGTCAGCTAAGCTCGGATGAATAGCGGTCTCAAACAATCCTATCGCCAACTAGAAGCAAATTTTCCACGACCCTCCGCGTACCGGGCAAGCTTTACGGTCTTTATACGCGCCCGGATTCTGCGCAATCCCTAATTAGACATCCCTCGACTTCGGGGAGGAAGAAACTCGTAGAATCTCTACAATCTACGCGAGCCCCAAGTCACCACACGGGTCGAGCAACAAGCTCTCCGGCCTCCGGCCCGAAGAAATCTTGTTCCCATCAAAACCTCCTCAAATCAGGAAAGGCATACAGCAGGATTCACTTGCGGCTTTGCGTGGCTTGGCTGCAACCTTCGCCACGGGAGAGAGCTCGTACGTCTCATCTTCACTCACGGATCGGGTCATAGTCGAGCTGCACGCAGTGCTGGGCAAGCTCGCGGTGGAAGAAGCCTCGCTCTGAATGTCGATGGACTGGAAATAATCGGCAATTCGTGGCTTGCGTCGCCCACTCTTGTCCTGAGCAGGCTTGGCTTGCTTCCGCCACAATCCACTGTTGCTGCCCGTCCCTGACTTGGTAGGAGCTTGCTTGGCCCAATGGCGCATCCGGGAAACGAGTCCGGATGAACCGGTATCGTTCCCCTGCACTGGCTTCGTAGTTGTAGAAGTTTGCCTGGTCCAACGGCGAAGCCAGGAGACGAGTCCTTGTCTGGAAAACGGCTTTGCAACTCGTTCATCGGCTGTGCGATGGGACATGCTGCTCATTGCTACAAATAGCCGGTTTAGGTCGCGCTAATGCGCGCTTGACCCGAAAACTCAGGCTTCGGTTGCACAGCTGAAACGGCAGCAAACAGTCCATTCCCGGTTGTGAAGCGCAGCATCCACTCCCCGTCAATGCTCTCGTAAGGCTCGCACACTTGGTATCAACTCCTTGGATGCAGAGTCCGTCAATTGCTGCACGACCTGCCATGCGACAAGTATAAGTAAAAGAACCTTTCCCGAGAGCTTGGGCTATGGTTGGAGGATGGTCGCATCGCGGTCGATTGTCTTCCGATGACAACAAGTGACTCGGGGCGACCTCCTCCAATAGAACAGAGCAGCGTGCAATGCTTCTCGCGGCCCTGAGGCACGTGGTCACACTCGAGCTGCGGTGCTCGGACCTAGGCCCCGTTGCCGAGAGACGGGCTTCTTGCGACTGGCGCAGAGCACCACCTTCCAAAAGGAAAAGGGCATGTGCAAGCTGGCCGCTGGTCTACAGGCCTCGACCATGCAAAGCTCAAGTTGCTTCGTTTTTGGACAATGACTTACATTGAAACTACGGATTTCCTGCGTCTTAGTTCTACGCGAGGAAAAACTTCATCGAAGCTGCACACTTTGGACTATCGACCCTCTTATGATTTGGACTTTGACGTCCCTATAAGCGCCTCCAAATCAAGCCAGGAGCACTCTGGCAGCCTCGCACAAGCAGATAGAATAGCACTACTTCTGATTGCAACTGACACACGCAACACACAATATCTTTTTCAAATCACGCAATCATGCGTCTCCACAAATCAGATCTGTGTAGCGTCGCACAAATTCTTGCCGCAGCTTCCTCCACTAACTTTTGCGGCAAGGCGCCCGCCAAAAGCATAGAGCTGATTACAGTGGTAGTCAGCCGCTGGTCACGGAAAGCAGATTTCCCAGCAAGGATGCAAATATGGACATACGTGCATATGAATATATGAATCTATATATATATATATATATATATATATATATATATATATATATATATACATATATATATATATACATATACATATTTATATATAGAGTCATTTATCTGTTTATCTATTTGTATTTATGTATATATGTATATACATGATGTGTATATATACATATATATATATATATGTGTGTGTGTGTGTGTGTATATGTATATATATATATATATATATATATATATAGTTGTTCTTATATGTTGTGTGTACATTTTGTGTGTATGCACACTGTTGGGCCTGAGTGGAACATCCTGGGCTCAACCCCCAAAACCCATAAAACGCTGAGAGTCGTCAAAGAAATCGGATTCTAAAAACGTATTGACCCTTTACCTGAAATTGCTAAGGGTCTGAACGGCTCAGTTCGGTTCCTCCTGTTGCTTCAGATCGCCCGCCAGGGAAGTATTGAATAGTAAGAAAGTGACATGTCAGCAGGCAAAGTGTGTCTTTCCTCGTCACCTACCACAAGGCTGCTGGATCGAGCATCACCACGCTCAGTCTATGCTTTGTTAGTGGGCAAGGGCGGCGTCTGCGCTTAGATGGCCAAAGAGGAGCACTTAAGCACCTCCTGGCACAGAAGAGCGTTTAGATAACTCGCCATGTGCCTTCTGCAAGAAGCGCAACAGTGGCTACACAGCACGGTGTCGAATATGACCCGCTGGGGCCTCCCTATTATGATTGTTGGCTTTTGCAGAGGGCGTGCGAAGTGACCGCAACTTCCCAGTCGAGTTTTGCCAGATTCTGCGCAGCTTTCCTGCAACACTGGACGCAAGTCTTAGTTGAGTTTCTCTGACATCTGCGAGCGAAACTCTGGAAGGCGAATTCCGCGTGCATCTGCCTGGAAAAGCGGGACTTCCGCATCGGATGTCCTTCACGTTCAGATTCGCCAAACGTCGCACGCACGCTGGCTGCTTGGCCTAGATGTGGCCTCTGAGAAGCCCGGCCGGTGCTGCAGGTCCGAGACAGCTAGTCTGATGTTGCACCCGTCTTGCTGATGTTGATCTCCGTCTGTCTCACGACATCTTATCAAGGTAGAGTCCCAGGTTTCCTGGTTCTCGATGCTGGGAGTACCCTCTGCCTAAACGCAAGATCAGAATCAGTAGTACTGGGTATGTCACACATGCTCAGAATGAAATCCCAGCGACAATCTCGAAAAGGTGCTGACGTGGCAAGCGCGGCCGAACATTTCGTGCGATCTGCTTTGATGCTGAGGGTACCATACTCGGCGTTGCATGCCACGTCACTTTGCATCAATTTAGTGCAAGTCTTTTGCACTTGCACTTCAAGACCTCCTGGCACCTACTCAGGCGGACATGTGGCGACATCCGAATCGTGGAGCAATCTGAACTTGCTCAAGTCCCACGGCCTAGCAGAAGGGGGTTCTGTACATAAGGTCTTGCCAGTCGGCAGAAACAGAGCTCTTCCAAAAAGCCCTCGCCACAGCCGAGCCGTCAAAAAGGATGTCTGTGTCTTTGAATAGTTGTCAACTGTGTGAAGAGCTCTGTTTAACATTTCGCTACTCTTCCTCCGGAAGTCTCCCAAAGGTTGGGCAGAAGCGCATGAAGCACGGCCTCAGCGCAAGGGGGGGGCGGGGGGAGGGGCAGGTACTCGAAGCAAATCAATCAAGCACAGCGCATGCGTCAACAGTGCGTCAAAGAGGTGATTAATCGGAGCGGGTCTGCCGGGCTGCGCGGAGGGGCACTCTCAGGCAGAGTACCTGGAGGCAAGCCCGCGGCGTGCGGCTGTACCGAAGATCTGATGGGCTAGGCTGTGCGACTCATGACTGCATAAAGAGCCCCTATACTTCTACCCTTGCAATCCCCCGAGCAAGTCCATCCAAACACTCTTTCCTGTCGTGGGACTGTCGGAAGCTTTAGCCTTGCAGATTAATGCTGTGACGGCATTGCAGGAAATAGCTCTCTGGCCATGCAGACGGCATTGAATCAGCTCAGCTGCTCCTGCACCCAGTGGAAGCGCTCCACCTGCATCTAAAATCATCTCAGACTGCAAGCCGGCACAGTTGACACAATCAGAACCTAGGACCTACGCCTTCCTCTTGCGCGGCTGTCATTCCTATACCCATGAATCTTGTTACGTGTTTGTGGCCCTCTTTTCTGCATGCAAGGCCACTTTGAGCGGCTGCGGGCGTCGGGGATGGCCCAGCAAGGTCCTGCAAGCTCGGCACGCAGCACAAGGCTAGAACCGGCTCACGTGTTCACAGTGCGAGTCTAAACCCTGCTGCAGCACCTAGCTGAGATCACATATCAGAATCCGATTGACGCCCCGATGTCTGATATGCTCGCCGAGGATCCGATACCAGGTGCAATGCAGGTGCAGCGGCTGCAGCACGTCAAACATTGGCTTCCTGAAACCGGGCTTCATTCGAGAACGTCGGAAAGAAGTGCAACAGTTTCACGAGGTTTCGCGTCAGCGGCCTGCACTGGCTTTTGACAGGCAAGCGGCTCACGCTGACAAAAGACCACGATGCGGTTCCCGAGATCACAGTACAGCGCGAGGCCAGCCGCAACCTGTGCGTGAAGGCCAATGTTACTCCGGAGTTCCCGATGCGATCACCGCCGTGGGCTGTGCGGGCTAGACACGAGTCCGATGGACAGCATCGAGGGAGCAGATGGCAAACGATGATCGATCAGCACCTGTCACAGACCCGACCCGCAGGAGCTGCGGGAATAAACAACAGTCTCTGTCGTTTACATGGTGGTGACGAAAGCCCCTTTCCCAAGACATGTTCAAACTTCAAGCAGTATATTATGTTCATGCGAATTCTTAGCCCTCAGCCTTGTCTTCCAGGCAATCCATGAAGCAATGACACACTGCCCTCTTAATACTGCAAGAGTCTGCAAGTTTCACCCAGGCGCGGACCAACATGAGCCCCCGCCTAAAACTTCAGGGAATAGGGTGGATCATCCCATGGCTGGGAAGCTGCTGGTGCAAACTCATTTTTCGGCATTGGATTGCCCTTCTCATGATTGTGGAGGGACCAGGGGAAGTGAGTCCCGGTTTCGTACCCCCCCTGAAGCTTAAATTCTGAAGCTCAAATTCGGCGCAAGCAGAGTCGGCACCTTTAAAGTCCCGGTCAACAGCAGGCTGACAACCATCAAGATCGCTTTGTTTACACTTCCCAGATGCTTCGTGACGATGCCAACCTGGGAGGGTTGCGGAGCAGAGGTGGGTCATGATCCTTCAGCATATGCATCCGCTCAGACAGCAAAGATCCGTAAGCCATGTCACGAGGATGCCCCCGCCAGCGTGAGTAAAGAGTGGGAGCAGTGTTGCCCACGTCCAGCCGTAAAACTTTTCTGCAGTTCCCTGCTCCAGCATCGTGAACGGAAAGGTGACAAAGAGCGTGCCAAGACCTCCAAGGGCCAGCTCCGCCGAAAGCAGGAACCTTCAGGGCGCGGTCTCATGACGAAGCAGCCTTTGGTTGCTGAGGTGTGCGAGGGTTGCATCTTCCCGCGGCCACGCGGCGGATCCCTGCCCTTTACCAAAGCTTCCTCGGTGAGAACTGCTCCGAATGCAGAGCACATCGCCTCGGATCCCAAGGGGGGCCCCGAGCGGGCAATCTCCTTTGCAGGCTGCTGACAAGATGCCGCCAAGCAGGCGCAGGCAATGCCTTGACACCGTCCACAGTAGGGCTCTGCTCGCAAGCCATCACCATCGCAAGCCGTCAGCACTGAAGCCAGGAGGATCATCGTGAGGGCGACCTGTGCGCAACATCGCCAAGAGTTCCCAGCTTGTGCCGCGAAGGCTGGGACGATGCGTTAGCAAGCTCAGCAAACTGTTATGCAAGCCAGGCAGCCCATTCACAGAAGGTAAACTGTCGTTGCTTACGCAGAACCACAAAAGCAGCGGTCCAAAGCAGCTTTGTCTGGTTGAGAACGTTGCATGTAACCGCATCGAGCGATTTGTTTGCAGCTGTCCCTGCAACGTTCTGCAAAGCCTCGGATTCTGCATGGTCCCGGAGGAGGGGCCCAACAGCAACTCGATGGAATACCGCAATTCCGTGAATGTATCACAGGAGCATAAGCCATTGCAGGCCAGATCGACTCTCGCAGTCCGATCCTCGGGAGCTTTGACTGCGCTGCCTGGTTTACAACGTTTCAGCTATGCATAGCTCCGCCAGTTACGCTTGCAGGTGAGCCACCGCCATGTCCAGCCCGTAAATGCACTGTGCCATTTACCGGCAACCACGAGGAAGCATAAAGAAGCCACGAGCTTTAGCAGCTCTGCTGCTGCGACGTAAGAGCCTCAGCGCGTGCCACGAAAGCGAGGGATCGGGCCCTTCTTCCAACTGCAGCCAAGCGACTGATGACGAGGCCGTCACTTGTAAACTTCCTTCAGTCTCATCAGGGACGTGCGCCAGCTGAGATCATGAATCATAAAGCGGACTGCTTCTCTGCCCGACCCGGACCCACGGATCTAGAGAAGGTTACACTGCTGGCGCAGGTTTGCCAGCCTTGTGAGGTACGGCTGCGTCGCAAACTGCACGGAGAGCAAGACACAGAGCACCCAGGTCACCATACCGACTACGAAACAACACCGCAGACGAAGACTTGCGATCTTCTGGCTGGGCAGACATCCGACTGCTAGTCATGCTAGGTGACCAGATCTATTGAGCGGCAAGCCTTCAGTCGCTTGAAACACCAATGGACATGAACAATACACATCATCCATGGATGACCTTGAGCCAGAATTGCCAACAGTGCCCCGAAACACAACAACGAAAAGCTGACCTCACCGGATATCGCTGGCGTCTGAGTGTGAAACACCTGCTTTCCAGCGATCCAGCTCCTGCTCACGCCATCTGTCGCACAACACGACCATGTCTGGGCTACAGATCTCCTTCGGTAGGATAGCGTCAGCGACTCGTTCCATGTGCCCGTCCTGCTGACTGCGAAAACATAAGAGGCCACTGATCTCTGCTTATCTCTGCTACTCTGCCGAGTGAACATATAGACAATCCGGTACCTGTACTATGCAGTCGTTCGACATGTTCACTATCATTAATGATGGGCCAAAATTTCAGCTATCTAATGTACCTACCCATCTGTACAGCTTGATTCTGGGCATGCCCACACAGAGACACAGACACAACCCTGTAATTTTGTTCTGATATCAGCACACCTACACATGCAGTTGCGTGCTTGCTTACTTTGCTTTTGTCTGTTCGTCATAATATGTGTTTGTTACCTTGCTTGATTGTTTGCGTGCTAGCTTGCTTATTTGCTTGCTTGCTTGTGTTTGTAAAGCCAGGGAGGTAGGTACGTAGGTGTGTGATCTCCGGCATGTCCTGCTCGCTTTCGTCTGGGCCGTAGTTTCCTGGCACTTCTGCGATGCATCGGCGACGTCCAGCACGGTGCCTTCAGCGAAGGCGATGATGCGGACTGGGCTTCCCTGATGCATTGCAGCGGGTCATGGAGAGCCACTTACTGAGCTCACGGCAAGCTACGTAGAGCTGAGATCTCTTCAAAGCCTCGGCCTGCCGGATGAACTCTGGGATCGGCAGTACAAGGCACAGGGTACCCGTCGGCCTTGATGAGGTTGCTACCACTTTGCACCAACACCTGAAGAACGTATCTCACCAGGAGAAACTGAAAAAATCGACTGAGCCGTCTGCACGCAAGAACAGCGCAGCCATTTCGCCACGTCGTGCCTGGACACGCTCCGAGTGAAGTGTTGTGCATGCGAGATGCACCATTCGTACAGTCCGTGTTTTGCGTTTTGTAGTTCGGCGTTGCGGAGGCTTGGCAGGTTCATGCCCCTCAAACCTCATTGGAACCAGAAAACCTGCCATGGCAAACCTTCACTCTTCATGCAATCCAATTGTCCAACCTAACGGAACCACACAACCCGACCTCAACGGAGGCGTACTTGTAGCCTTCAGTTGTGCCGAAAAGCCTCTCGCTTCACCTTCTCTTAGGCTTAACTTATCGGGCTTGCCACCGCACAACTCTTGATTAGGGGCTTTGTTGCAAATGGTACTGCGAGGGTCCTCAACACGCAGATTCGCACCAGCAACAGTTGCGCTTGATGCCCCTGGTCGTTACACCTCCTCCTGTCACATGCGGGCAGATAGCTTATAATAACGCATTTTTGTTTCTTTGACACTTAGCCGCACAAAAAAACACGTACCGACGTGACGTACATGCACTCACACCGGCACTCATTCATTCTCGTGCTCTGCATCAGACACAAGTCTCACACCACATCCCACCATACTTTCGCATACACATGGAACAGAACATACCTCTCTCGTCATGCAGTCATACAGCCATACATACATACTGCTAACAAGGACTTGGAAGCATCAGAAGACAAATCTTGCTTCACATACAGACGCAGATTCCAAAGCCCCACGACATCTGACGAAGTGACGGCCGAAGGTGGCCTGCTGCGTGTGTGCATAGAAGGCCTCGGAGGCAGACATCGAATGCTTCAGCCGAGTGCCCGAGGGCATCTGCGAGCCGAGCCATGCTGCAGACTCCAGGCTTCACCGACTCCCCGAGAGCACCCCTCCAGGCCTCACAGCGTTCGCTTTCGATGTGGGACGCTTTTCCCGGCCTTTGTGTCTGTGTTCTGCCGCGGCACTTCTGCGGACAGCTGTGGAGGTTCTGCGCCATCCTCCAGTGGCAAGCACAACCAGCACCGCAAGTGAGTGAAGCTTGGAATGGCTGAGCCGCGCTCTGCAGATGCATCAGCCGCACTGTGAAGCGCATCCTGCGGTCTGGCTTCGCAAACTGCCAACTGCATTGTCCCTATCAGTTCGGCCGTACCCTTGCATCAGAGGCAGACGGCTCAGAAAGCTGATACGCAGTTGAACCATGGAGCCAATAAGCAGCCACAACAGCATGAGTCAGTAAGTGCGAAAATATCAACACGGTTGAACACCTACCCTTATATGTCAACCGCCGACTTTAATCGGAGGTTGGCCGCCAAGGCCTAAGACTGAAGAAAGGGACTCTGACTGACATGCGAAACTACGCAAAATGTGAGGGAAAAAACGACTAAGAATTCGTGGCACGCTACAAATGCATCTCGAAAGTCCTAGGACCTAGGCGTTAAGGACAGGATAGGACCTCTGACTCTAACTGTCTCTAACTCCGGACTGCAACCCCTCAAACACTGAACCCTAAGCTGCAAGTCCGAACTGCCACAACCCAACTCTGAGCACGAACTCCGTGACCGCCATGAACAAACACGTAAACATCGGCGCGAAGACTGCGACCACCAGCAATGCGAGCTGAGTCCAGCAAAACGTTCTTGGTCCTCTGCTGGTAGGGAAGCAGACCACGTCCGCTTTGCCCACAGGCGGATAGCTCCGTCTGCTCCTCCAGTGACCTTGCAGCAAATTCATCCCTTCAGCGTTTTTGCACTCTCTTCCGAGGAAATCGATAGGCTTCTTGCGAAGTCAATGGCTCACACATGCTTCGAATTGATTCATGATTGAACTTATTGGCACGAAGAGCATCGCAGAGCCCTTCACAAAACGACCATCCGCACACTCCGCCAAAGCTGTGACACGGCCCGTGTGACCTTGGGCGCCAGGGCGGAGCACCACAGGTACCGCAGAGGCAAGACGGAGTTTCCGCTACACATCGTTACTCTCAGGAGGCTGCCATAGAGAACCCAAGAGACTGTGGCCGTGCAAGGATCGATGAGATTCACATCACAGCCTGCGGAAACTTCTCGACCCTGCTAGAGTTAGAGGGCGGCTGCTTAAAATGCTGTGCCTTGGAAGCCCACGGCGAGCAATCCGTCGTGCAACTCAAGACCTGAAGCTACGTCCGTCGTACGTCGTACGTGTGCCAGCAGGCCGTGACATGTTGAGGCTTAGGGCCTGGCAACTGGTGATTGCCGCTTCGGACCGCCACTCGCTGATCAAGGTGACCTGAAGTGCGATGCTCCGCAACAGGCCGAACGGTCTCAGACGCCGATGGGTGTTTGCCCTGCTTTCAGCAATCCCACCGGAGCGCGTGCACTTTCGACTGACAGGAACATACTACTCAGCACGTTTTCCATCGCGGCGAGGGCGACAGGGCGCACCGTTGAGTCTGCCACAAAGCGCGAGGCATGTGGAACTGATCACACACAGACGTGCAGGTGAACGAAAATGCACCAGCACCAAGCACCTATGCTTGGGGAAAGCATCCGCTGCGCTAGTCGAGCACCTAGCCTTAGGTACGCATGCAGCCTTGCAGAGCTGTGGCTTAGCTATGATGCTTACTCACGAAAAAGCTGCAAACTCAAAGCTGGCAATCTCTTGACCCATGGGTGTCGCTCAGCCAGTGGGTTACCAAGCTGCCGAGCCCCAACGATATATCCATAAACATGAGCACAGGAAAGCTAATCTCCTCGGCCCTCTCGAGCGAGCTCCAAGAATTTCTTAGTGAACATCTTTCTTCCGCACACTCGAACAAAGGCTCCAGAGGGGTTGATCTTCAACTCGGGAGAGTCTCTCACCGTGTCTTCTAGACTGGTATCAGCCTCGGAGTCATGAGGAAAAGGCCTTAGAAGGAGCTTGACATAACTGCACCAACAATGCCAATTCAGACCAACCCGCTTTCGCTACGTGACGTGGATTGCGCACAGTTCCATGTCCTCCGCAGGCCATTGAGATCTCGTTGGCTCATTATCGACCAAACTGTCACATTCCGTCCAGAGGGCTTCGTGGACTGCTGCCACTCGCCTTGACTTATACTAGTGTATCAACTAGCATATCCAGGGCTACTATACTGACATGGCACAGGACCCCAAAGAACTAAGCCAGCGCCAACGGGGGCAGCGTCACTCTCACAGATGACTCGGCCTGCACTCAGAGGGTCATCTTCGCACTGCTTGGGGCATTTGAGCGTTTCCAGGAAGCCTGCGTGGGACTTGTGGGACTGTTGGCGAATGAGCTTTCAGCCCAGAAACGTGCCTTGGGCTGCCTTGGCGACCGCTTGGACAAGGCGAGCCCCAAGGACATGCGCAGCGCTTCGCCTGGCTGAGACCACTACCGAATTATGCCAGTGTGGACCTGGCCCCCCCAATGCCAGAACCGTTGCAGGAGCCCCCCGGAGGCTCCTGAGACCACCCCATGTATCCAAGATGCTCACAGGATTCTTTGAGGTGGCAACAGCGCTTTAGTTTCGAGCGGCTTGAAGACCCAACGGGACGGTGGCGGAAGCATGACTCACAATGTTCACGTCACTGTGGCAGGAGCGTGGGTCGTCAAGATGACGAGCCCCGTATGGCATGGCTCGCACCGACTTAAGTTAATTGGGCCCCCTTGCAGCGGTGTTATGCTTTCAATCGGTTTTCCTTTTCTTACTCTTGTTCTCATCGCCTGGTACTCGGTCCTCTCCAGCCGTGGTGGCGGTGCTGTCGGGGGAGCCCGACGCGCAGCCCTTGTAGCCCTTTGTTGCATGCAGGATGTGGAGGCAACAGCAGTCGTCTGTCTGTTGCATCAATCTTCAGTGCGTATGGCTGCTTGGAACCGAGATACCGCCTTCCGAGACTGTACGCTGCGGATGGCTTTCTCGACATTGGCCAGTTTTCGCCCCACCTGTTCAGGCTTTGTTGAAGATTCTGGACTCTGGCTTTCGGGCCATGTCACACATACAAAAAGCGCATGCAGACTGCGAGTCGGCTGCGCTTCAGGGACCTAACAAAAAAGCACCCACAGCCGCTTCAGCCCGGCCGCGCCTTTTGCAACGCCTTGACGGCTTCGTGGTTTCGTTCCTCGAGGCAGTCAATGAAGGCAGGGCGGGAAAACTGGAGAACCGAAAAGAAGACATACAGTGGCCGCCGTCACTTAGCCAAGAAGCTTCGAGCTGACTCAGGGACTCCTCCGCCCCTTGCAAGCTGGAGGAGACCCTCAGTGACCATTGTAGCTCGTGCCACCAAACACGTCCCTTGCAGAACAGTTACGAATGCTTCCGCAGTACAGCCGGGCGAAACTGCTGGACAATTATGCGCGCAAAGTTGATGGTTGAATTCAGCTGGGCGGAAAAGGAACTGGAGCGTACCCGTGCTCTTGCTCAGGCAGCCGCTGCCTGCACGCACCGTGTACGACCGTCAGCCGGGAGTCCTTGGAGATGCAAACGCCATGTCGTTTCTTACGTTCTCGCTCTGCCTCTCCAGCAGGGCCTCTTCCTCTGCAGGAATAATGCGACTCTGGAATCTACAGGCACGACTTATCAGACTTATTTTCTGAGCTGCCGGCCCCCTGTGCTCCCTGGCACAAGACAGGAATTGCTGAGTTCTGCTTTCGGCTAAGTGCTCGCACAGACCAAAATCAGTGAATCAGTGCAAAACATCGCGCTTCTCAACGACTGTGACTACAACCAGCATGAACAGAACACTACAGCCACGTCTATAGCGGCCAGAGCCCATGGCCTGCAAAGCCTGCAGGTGATGATCTGACCAGACTTCCGAGAACTGTTTCAGCAACGTCTGGCGGGAAGCGATGACGGCTTCCTGCCGACTTGTGCAACTATGCCGCAAGGAATAGCGAAATCGGTGCGCTCACTGGCTTTGGTGCAGCATCTGCTCGGAGCGGGAGAGGGGCGACAATTGAATTGCTGATGTGACTTGCAGTGGTCGACTCACAATCGGCGCAACGCAACAAGACCGAGCACACTCTCGGCTCCTCCACCAGAGTGGACTGCAAGTTGGCGATCTCGTCCTGCAAAAGTCAAAAAGCACATGTTTTTTGGCCATGCACCAAACAACACAGGTTGCAGTTACACACACCCACACACGCGCGTACGCACACGAGGTCCCTTGGATTCACTGAAGGCGCTGGGCATGCTGCAAGCATCACTATCAGTCACTACAAGTATCACAGCACTTCACCACCTTTATGCAGGTGGGAGCAAGCCGGCTCTGTGCACCCCCGGGTTCTCTGCATCCTTCTACAACTTCGCTTGCAAAGAGCCACGTGTACTACTTTTTGGCTCCCACTTGTCGGACTCTTGCGATCCCGCACTGCAGGCAACACCTCTCACTCGGTTACACAGGACTCCAGAACTCCCCGTACACAACGACGAGATCTATGCTCAATAGCAAGCTAGCCAAACCTTTGTACGGGGGGCTCTGCAATGCTGTGCGTGTGGGCCGAAGGAACAGCTTCCGCCCGAGCTCAAGACAGTACATCAAGGAGACAGACTCTTATCCATCCACACAGTTCTCGGTAGTTAAGATGTGCAGTTCGACTATACACAGCGGCAGCCACAATGCAAGAAAACCTGGCATGGCATATCACAGGACTACGGCTACCATTGAACAAAAACACACAACACCTCACACACAATACAGCATGCGCTGGCGACGAAAGTCATACCAGGCGCACTTGCACTCACTGCCCAGTTCTAGGGAAGGTTTTCAGTCAGTGTCCCTCTCAGTCGATCACACTGGGTGCACTCCACACTGGTCGCCGCCCACGGTAAGCAGGTTTCAGCGTTTCTCTGTTCAAAGTCACCGGTTGTACACCACGCCGGCTTTCCACTCACCGCAAGCAGGCTCCAGTGCCACTCCAGTCCAAGGCCACATGGGTGTGGTATGCAGGCTCCAGTATTGCTCGGTTCGAAGGCCACAAGGGTGTGGCGAACTCGTGCCAGGGGTTTTTGTCCCACTACTACTGATACTACTGACAGGATGCGCTTGCACGACTGGCCACGCGGAGACTACATTTGTCAGCGTCCTGCAAGTGCTTCTGCACCTCCGCCGCACCGAAGTGGTTCACAACAGGCTGAGTGGTGATGCGGCCTCGGGGTGTTGCTGAGTCGGACCACGAAGCAACACCCATAATCGCTTCAAAAGCCGCACATGTTGACATGCCGGAGTTGAGCAAGAAAGATTCAAGACGCACCCGCTGCTTTTTGATCCTTCTCCGCGCCTCCGATCTCCTACGATACGACGGAAAGTCAGGTTTACACGGCCTCCGAGGCAGCTTGGGTCCTTGTCTTGCCAGAAAAGTATGCTAAGGAAATTCACCCGAGATGTGCTCATGCTCCATGCAGCAAAAGGCTCGGCGGGAAGTGAATGCTGCCAGTTAGCTTGCATGGCGCCTTGCAAGCGAAGAACAACGATGTGGAATCGGACACGCACGTGTAACGACGTGTGACTCCCAGAAACCATCTGCTTGGGACAGACTCAGCAATGCTTGGCAGTCTGGCATCTTCAGCCCTGTCCCCTGCAGGTGTCCTCCCATTACCAGCAGCGAGCCCGGCTGCAGCAGAATTCGTTTCAGCTGCTGCGCACTGCCTGGGACTGAACTGCACACCGATGCGATGACCACAATCCGTCCTCTGCAAGAGTCATGCTGTGCTGAATGCCCGGCGGTCGGTGTCGCCCCGCCGTGGCTTCCGGCGCACTTCGAACACACGGGCCGCACCGAAGGACAGCGAACCTACAGTTTCAACCTTCCGAGACTTCCAGACGCACGTGACGAGACAATATCACGTCATGGCTCCGATGAGGATGTTGTCCGAAGGCCCGTAACAGTTCCTCGGAAGCTAATGTCTTCTGGTGAGGAGCGGATGGAGCTTTCCAAAGGGGTGCCCATGATGTACAGTACACCGTACCACGATACAAGGAAGTTCAACTCAGCCGGGCCACTCATCATCGGCATGCCACTTGATTTGGGCTTTGCCATCTTTGTAAAAATTCACGAGTATCTGGTCAGACAGCAGACAAAGCCGTCACGCAGATGTGTTGCACCACAGTCCACTGACATCTCACCTCTCAGTCAGGCTTGGCTCCCGACACTATTGAAGTAAGGCTGCAACAAGTCTTGAGAAATCTTTGTCTCACCTCAGTCGGATTACAACGCTTCAGGAGAAGTGCACGTCAATGCCTTGTGCGCAACATTGTATCATGTAGTGGCAGGGCACTAAGCGATTCGTTCTCCATCGCTAAAATCTTGCTTACTTCTTCCTCGGCCATCCGCTTCAAGTTCAGGATGCATTGCAAGTTCCTGGGAGCGGCCGTTGCGAATACAACAACGCACCCTGGAACAAGCCCCGTGAAGTCAGCTATCTTTACATATATACTCATATGATATGATATATATATATATATATGTATATGTATATGTATATGTATATATATACATACATACATATACATATACATATGTATACATACCTTGCCCAGGTGTCTCAAGAGGTCGTCCCGCTAAGCACCAGCGAGGATTGTACCGGAAGTCCATTGCCTGGAGGCCTGCATCCGGGACCTGATGCAGAGCCACTTCTTTGCTGCTTTTCTTCACGACTCTCGTGCAGAGGAGCGTCAGCATGATCAAACGTACCCGCTGCATAAAACTGGGCGCGCTCATTCTCCGCCGAGGTGTCCTAGCAGCTAACATGCGGAAACCCTGTGCTGAATGGGGAAGGGCTGAGTCTGCCCAGCAGTCGCCAAGCTCCTTGGGCGGAGTCGGCGTCGTCAGCGTGCTGTTCTGCAAAATGGCAGTCAGCTCGTCATACCATGCGCTGGGATCTTTGTCGCCGGTTATCGCTGGCATATAGTACCTTGTTGGGCAAAACACGAAAGGTCTTGCCCGCTGGAAGTTCTCAACACACTCATTGAGTCTCCAGGATGAGTCGCGTCGTGCATGCGCACGCCTGACTTGAAATAACATTGCCATCACAGGCGCACGAAGCTTCTCTCATCCAGTTTCAGAACCACTGGATCTGGCCCGCCCAGCAACGGTTCGACCTGCCTGGACAGAGAGCCCAGCCACACTCGCGCTCACAGCAGCGACCTTGATCTGCGATTCCAGGTCTCCTGGATGCATCGCCGTCACGGCAGTCGCAAGTAGCCATTGGCTCGCCATTCAGAAGCAAGACTCTGGGGTGTGGGTGACATTGCAGAGCCGGCATAGCCGTCTACGTGCTACATCTCTTGCTTCCGGGTGCGAGTGCGAGTGCTCCTGCGTGCGCTCCTTCCACATGACATGCATCTGAGCTGAGGCGAGGTGCCGCAAGGAGCCTTTAAACTGCCAGTCAGGTTGAGGACTTTCTTTGCTCCGGGCCCGTGGACTCGAGGAAGCGGCAGGTGAGGATGTTCTCGTCGAAGCCTCCCCAAGCGCCGAGCCCAAAGCGGCCCCGAGGAAGCGGAGGATTGCTGAGCGCTCTGAGCCTGCGGAGCTTGGAGTCAAGGTCGCCAGAAGAGTCGTTCGGCTGTTGCTTGCCAGGCTGTCGGAGAGCCTGGCGCCATGCCAGGCTTGGCTTGGCTTCTGAACCATGCCACGTGCTGCGAAGGCAGCAGCTCAGGCACGGACAGCATCGTCAGTTTGGAGTTCCTGAGAAGGACTCAGGGCTCCCAGACTGTTTCTATGGGCATTTGTTGGGTTCTGCCAGACTCCCCCACAGCCACATGCCCGCGTGCGGCCCCTTGCCTGAAGGGCACGTGGTCGCGGTTGCCGTCGCAGAGCGCATGGATACAACTCGCGAGGTCGAAGAGACTGCGGTTGATGTGCCTGGACTGCGCCGTGTCGACATTTCGATCACACCAGCACCTCGTTTTGGTGAAAAACATGGCCTGAGCTCTCGGAAGCGGTCGCCCTTGCATTCTGATGTCTGCTCATTCTCACGGCCGGCCAGGTCAACGACCTGAAGCCCCACGGACTCAGACTATTGTATGGTTTGGGCTGTATGGGCATGGCAGGCCTGCATGGTTGACATGTGGTCTCCATTGGAGGCATTTCGGACTTCAACCTGCGAGGTCCCCTCCACTCACGCGATGCGAGTCCTGTCACGAAAAGTATTTTCACACGCCCGGAGCTCACCTTGAACATGAAGATCGTGTGTGAACGACTCGATCGGTCGTTCATCGTCGTCCTCAACCAACATGGAGAAGACATGACACTCCCTACCGCAGGATTGAAACGAGAGGCTGCAAGAGACAGAGCGAGAGAGAGAGAGAGAGAGAGCGAGAGACAGAGAAGAGAAATGCAAATGCAGTTGACAAACTTCGGTGTCCTCTCCACCTTCTTGGCCTTCTCTCCTGCTGACAGGGTCGGGAGTCTGCGCCCAGGCTTCGCAGCGGTCCGCACACACACGCGCGCGCGCGCGATCGCGCCTTTGGAGACCAGGCGAGCAACGTCCCGAAGGTGTTCCACAGGCAGCTCCTGGACCGATGCTTTTCTGCCTCAAGCGCGGCCTCTGCACCGTGTGGAGAGCCTGGAGGTTTTCGACGTAGACCCCAACAGCTGGGTGATTCCGTATCTCCAGGCGAGGGCCTGCAAGGATGCGAAAGTTGGCCTACGAACCCACATCTCCCTGAAGGCGGTCCTGCCGCAGTTCCCGGCTTTGAATGCCGGCGTGGACTAGGGCCTTGCTTGCTTCAGTGGCTGCAGGTGCGGCAAAATTGAACACTTCCAGTCTCAGGGCTGTGCTGTCGTTTTCGCTCCGGGACAGGCTTGGCCCGGCATGCTCCAAGAGATCACGCAAGCGGTCGTTGTAAACCTTTTTCCAGAAGGGTTTTGCGGCACGTGCGATGCGAAACCCAAGACCCAAGAGCTGCCCATGCTTTTGCTCAACCCCATTCAAAACCTAGCGGTACCAGCGAGCATGCATTCAAGCCTTCCTATGTGCACTCGAGCATGCAGCATCTACTTTTCTGAACGCAAATAAACCTCACATCGGGGCCTCGATATAGCTGATGCGGACCCGCCAGGATGCACCTCACCACATCTCACCACATCTTCCGCTTTCCATGTCAATGTGGCATCGAGTTCACTTTGAGATGCCTTTTTAAGAAGTTTGGGGTTGTACCGTAGACCATAGACTGATCATAGATGTGCTCAGACTGCTTCTTTCAGACCATCTCCGAACAGCACTAGGCAGACAAACCAAAAGCCGATAAAGCTGACCTTCTGCTCGACACTGATCCAGTCGCTGAAACAGTCCTGCAAGCAGATTCAGCAGCACTGACCACGTTTGCAGGCGTTGGCTCTTGGCCAATATGTCCTTCAGAGATCCGTGGCAGAAGGCCCCGATGTTCGTGGCTCTGCCAATCGCCATGCACGGTATGAGTCTTCCTCATGCTGATATGCTCTTTGCGGTGGATGCATGAGGTCTGAAAGAAAGCGCGTGAAAGTCCTACCGACAATTGTGCGAATGCTGAGAAATGAGCCCCGTCCCAGTCTGCCCGTAGGCAACCAAGCAGCAGTTGAATCCTCCGCTCCGCCAGATTGATTCAGAAGATGTCTGGCATTGGGGGGTCAAAGCCAAGCTCGAGGCCAGTCGTTCCGTGCATGACCATCTCTGCACCGACACTGTTGTAGATGGTACCTGCCAAGACACCCGCGGTTCAAGATGACCCATGAGAGAGCAAGCTCTATCATCTCCGCCACCCCCCCCCCCCCCAGCAATCCTTTGCAATCACTCCAATGAGTGCCGACTCGCAGCATCTTGAACCAGTTCACAGCTGACCGAAACGCCGAACTGCCAGGCAAAGCGAAGTTGATCGGGCACGCTGATCTGAGTAGTTGTCCGACTTGGGGCGACCTCAGTTGAGAATCTGGACAAACAACCCGGAGGTTCTTCACAGACTGAGACCGCCACTAGAATCGAATGCGAAGGTGCATTCAAACTCGCGCCCAGGCTGTTGCGGCTTCTGCAGTACATCCATCTTATCTTCACCCAACTCACGACGAGTTCTACCGCGCTCCACAAGACCAGCCTCTGGATCAGACAAAACCACATGGCCGTTGGGCTTCATCTGCCAAGTATTTTCAACACAGGCTACGCTACGGCGTGACGGGACCTTGACTAGATACACATGACGTTTGAAAACATCGGCACGACGTTTACATGCACTTGTGTAGTGACTTCGCATCGCAGCTAGGCACTGTGAAACCAATTGTGGAGGCCTCGACGCAGCTCACGGGTGCAGTGCCCAACTGGCGAGACAATGAAGCGAAGCACAGAAAGAACCAGCGAGGCTGCAATACGAATCCTCCTAGCGACTCCTGCAGCATCCGCCTTGCTCAATTCATTCGGAAGGAAAGGCCGCAATCGCACGGCTGTCTGTACCTCGGTTTCCACACGGTCAAGCGATGGTCGACGTGCATGCGGCTAAGGTTAAATTTTCAATGATGTCGGCCCCGCACGAACTCATTGGAGGCTCGGGGGCTCTTCTCGCCATGCCTCCCTGATTTGCTTGGAGAAACTGACCTGCATGAACCAGCGCTCCAGGAAACATGATGCAAAATTTCCAGCACCTCTGCAGCTTTGTTTGGGCAAAAGAAACCCCGCTGAGATTTCCCTGGCTTCATGCACAGCCTGCTGTGCAGTCTCGTTCTTCCCTGACTCTGACTCCCTCACTGAACCTGAGTAAAGATGCAATCGCTGTGGGACCTCCGCCTAGGCGAGGATCTCGGGGAGTCGGCTCGGCTTTGGGCTCCCTTCAAGAGTCACGAGCTCGGGAAAGGCATCATGGGCAGCGCGGAAGTCTCCAAACTGGCCCCACAGCACTCTTATGATAAGCACGAGACTTGCCGATGCCTGAGGGAAGAAAGATGACATGGCGATTGGCCATGGAAGCCCTGCACCTTGAATGGGCTCATGTGCAGATGCAGAATCAACGGTGCTAGATCCTGCAATGCCATGCAGATGTGCAGATGCTGTGGCCGGCACGTCCCTCAAGGAAGGCAGGGCTTGATGAAGTTGAATAGCTTTGTGGAGGCAAAATGGCACACCAGATAGCAGCTCACAGCAGGCTCTCGAGATGTGACCAACTTCCGAAACCATGAGCAGTTGCCTACGGTAGAACATGGCAGCCGTACACCATCCCCAAATAAGAAGAAGCAAACACAAGATTAATCGTGAAAGGTGCAGGCCTCAAAGATGCCTTCGCCCGCTTTCGGTACCTTCCTGCCGGCTTGTGGAAGCAAAACAGGAACATTCTGAAACGATGCTACACTACATGTGCATGCAACATGAATCGTCCTCAACTTGGTCTCCGCGAACCCAAATGCATCGATCGAACTAGACTGCTGTTTGGCCTTTGGCCTTCACTTGCAATTCTGCCAGCGGCACATGGCTTACGGGGACAGCTGAAAAAGGGGTTTGTCTCACCTAGATACATCTTGCAATGGTTGGCGAGCATGCTCAACTGCCTTCGAGCTGAGCCTTAGATGTATATGGACAAGAGGACATCTTAAATTAGGTCAGCAGCCAACAATAAAAGTGCCAGGAACAAACGATGGGAACGCAACGCAGCGTGATGATGCACTGCGGCCTGGGCAGAAGCTTGAAGTACCAGACAACCAGGCGTCCATCCTGCACAGTCTCCGGCTTCTCTCGAGTGAAGCGATGTGCTGCTGCCCTGGCTGGTGAGCGTTCATCCATATTCTCCCTGAGCGTGCTGATCTCCTCAGAGGAGGTGGCGACCAACCAATGCGGCTGGCTCGTGAATGACTGGCTGCGACAGCAGCAGGAGAAGCAAGACCTCACAAGAGCCACACACGGTGGTTGCTTCATATCACAGTTGTCTGCAGCCCCTGTCTTGTACGGACAACTGTGCTACTTGTTCTAGCTTAATGTGCTGAGGTAGGTTCCCCTGCGCATAGGCCATGCTTCTGACAAGCACGTCTCAGCACGAGCAGGATCCGGGGCATCTGCTGGAGAAGTCCTCTTTTCTTCGGCTTCCTCGAAAGCGGAACGGCGAGTTTGGAATGGGCCTTTGGCTTCCAGGGGCAAAATGCCCAATAATGCCTGAATATCGGATTCTCTTTACTCTTGGGTAAGGGTGTCAACAACGCAATTAGGTCAGATGCTTCGGCTGACGATGCTTCCAATAGGTTCTGGAATCTTAGGCTAGATTCTGCGCAGCAACTCCAAAATAAGTTGGACCGCATCAAGCAGCAACAGGAGCTCTGATTGCCTGCAAAAAGTGCACAGGAATGTCTGAGCGCCAAGCCGCAGAGAAGGCACTGCCTCGTTTCGGATTAACAAACCGACGTGGCAGTTAGATGATCGGAAAACTCCTGAATTTGCTGCGTTTCCGGGGCCACCGCCTGCAGCGGCTTGGGGCCGGAAGCCTCGCTGGGTGCCGTGGAGACGCCGGTAGCCAAACGGCTGCTGGCCTCTTTCAAAATGGCTCAACGTCTCTACCCCACTCTTGTCCTCTCGTTTCTGCGGCAACAGGAAGAAAGAACCATAACCGTTTTTTGCTGTGAGATGGCTGGCAGATCGTACAGTGCAAACGCCTTCTAAGGCTGACATGCTGAATCCTGCTCCGTGTGCAGCCACTCCCAAAACTATCTACTGCTGGTGCCTGTGTTGATTTGGTCTTGGGACTGTCCACCTCAGCCTCCACCTGTCGCGTTGCCGGCACTCTTTGCAGGCTGACTGAACACTTTGTCTCGCCTCTCCGGCCCTCGACATCCTTGCAACATTAAGCGAACAAGCCAAAGTCTGGAAGCTTGCCTGGGAGCTGTCAGACCTCGACCAAATATCTCAAGGAAGGCAACGGGCAGGCGTGGCGGCGATCTAAACACCGGCCGACACCGACACATGCGATGCCGAGGCTTCGACCCCTTCCAAAGCAGGTCCTGAAGCGGGAGAGTGTGGGACAACAAAGCTTTGCCTTGCACAGCTCCCAGGGGCCGGCAAGTGCCTCCAAGGCCTCAGGGATGCGGCTACTTCTCAGCAACAACGCCTGCGCCAGGAGTGCGAGATCAATAGCAACTCCCAATGCTTACATGCTTCCTTGATTGATTTATATATATATATACATATACATATATACATATATATATATATGTACACACATACACATTTACATTTACATACATATACATATACATATACATATACGTATACACATCTATTTATACTATAAAGACATAGAGAGACAGGGAGCTAGACAGACTGACTGACTGACAGGCAGACAGACGCATGGACAGATAGACAGAGATCGACGGATCGATGGATGGCTGCATGGCTCGATGGCTGGATGGCTGGATGGATGAGACAGACAGATGGGGTGGATATACAAGCAACAAGTAGATCAGCCTACAAGTATATGTTGCAGCATACAGCATAATGGGCATAATGTGTGTATGTGTATATATATATATGTATATATATATATATATATACATATTTTATGAATAATTACATTGTGAGGCCTAGGCCCAGTCCCTGGCCATGGCGGGCCTGGGAGATGGCCTCCGAATGGGCTTGCAGGACGTGCACTGGCTCGGTACTCTGCGTCCCGGGCCTCAGTTTCCAGACATCCAAGCCAAGCACAGCAGCCGAAGAAAGCATGGTGACAGAATGGCTGTATAGCAGACAGACTTGGAGATATTTAGAAGCGCGTAGTTTTTTGCTGTATGGACTCGGTCAAGCCTTCCACTGGCATCAATCACACATTCCAAGCTCTAGGCGAAACGTCCCAGCAGCACACTGCACCCTTCCCATCAGCGCTGAGGAGGTAGGACGAGCCTTCGTTGCTTGCATGCACTCCTTTGCGTTGCAGGAACGGAGACTCGTAATGACAGTCGGATTTGGCCCTTAACACACAGGTGACAGGTCGAGTGTGAGGAGCAGTATGCCGCACTCAATTTGGGCGTTGGCCTTCCAACTCTGCGAGAGCCGTTACCTCAGCACTAAGGTGCGAGTCTCCCTTAGGTCAAGAATTCTGTGAAGACGTCAAACAAGGCAGCTTCACGTTTTGGTTGCCTTTCCGGGCTCGCTCATGTTTGCACATACTGCATGTGCTCTTACATTGGTGTCGCACCATCATTCGACATTAGCCCGTAGCCCGCACTAGTCACAAGGGAGATGCGGATGGTCAGGCAATGCACTGGACCGAACTCGGTCCAGCCAAAAAACTCTACATTTCGAATTATGTCTTCGCTTCGAATTTGTCATTTTCGAATGAAATCTTTCCAGCATACATGCCAAACCGATTTGTGGTTGCAAAGTCGCTGGTGATATGACTGACAAATAATGCAGTCTCCGCGGCCAGCCCCACGGCCAGGCACATATCCTAAGTCGCCACAGCTTCTCCTAAGAGGTCACGTCACGGCTGTCACCCCTGCACGGGGTCATGGACGTCTCCTGGCTGGCCTCACAAACGGCTTGCACAGGCAGGAAGCCACCAGCTGCATTGTCTTCCGAAACGAGCAGGGTCGTTGCATGTGGCATACGGCAGCCGACGGCAGCCTCGGAAGTTCTCGATTTCTTTGAACCTGGCACGGCACGACTCTGGCACGGCACGACTGCCCTTAGCCACTTAAGGCGACCAGGCCCGCCGGCCAGGCCTGGCGCTGCTACTTGTAGGGTCTCCTGCACCAGAAGTCGAAGCTCTCGGCTATCCAGCTGCAGCTCGCGAACCTGCAGCTGGACAAACATCGAGAAAAAAAAGGGCACCCTTTCCGAGTCCCAGCTTGCGACATGTTTGCCTCAGGCAGCCCTGGCCCGCCACGGTCATCCCTACCGCAGGAATTTACCGTCTACTCACCTCGCGACCTCAGTACGAGTACCAGAGTACCAGTTGCATCCATCGCGATGCGGGACTTGACCAGAACGAGACACGCATGTCCCCGCCTTAGCCTGGAGTTCAATGACCATCGCCTCTCCCAGCTGTTTGCTCAGGACACACGGATACCATCGGATACCACAAGGAATCGGCAGATGAGAGTCTTAGTTCCCTGGTGTTGCATCTTCGACATTCGTGTCCAGTACATTCCAGGCCTGCTCGCGGGTGTTTTCCGCCATCTTCACCAGACGCCGACAGTGGTCCAGCAGCTCAGCAATGTCTTCGCGACAAGACTGCCTGAAGCTCTTCAAGTCAAGAGCACAATAAGCTTCGTCATAATGTATTTTCGTTGCACATCAAGAAAGCAACTTCCAGCTTTACAGCCTTTCACCGACCGGCTTGATCAGTTCAGTACGGAGGACCGAGGCTGCTGCAGATCCTCATCTCTGGAGCTGATGTCGAGCATTTGCCGCTCGCACATCCCTTCAATGTCGGTGCTAACGCCGTGGGGCTCACCGTTCTGCACATGAGCGGATACGAAAGCCAAGCTGCGCGTGAGCCATAGCACCCGATCCTTGACTACCAAACTGACGAGGTCAAAGCTTGTGGCCGAGCATCTGAGCATCGGGCTTCCGATGAGGCCTCCAAGCATGCTGCACCTGGCTAGTTCTAACGTGAGCTCCTCCGCTAACCCCACTTGCTTTCGTCAATGGTGGGTCCTGTGGGTCTCGGGCGGGACCCGTCACACGAGATCGTAACAAACCCACTCCAGCCAGCAGATTCGATGCGTTATGAGAATGCTTGCTCGGAGCTCAATCGCAGACGGAGGTCGTTTTGCCGCATCCACTCTCCGGCGATCGACGCATGTCTTGTGAACTGGAGAATCCCTTCGAAGATTGAACCCCACGACCGAGAAAGAACTGGCTGTCCTTCATTTGCTCGTGCAGTCACTTTCTGGGCCTCCCACGATCACACGCCTTGCAGCGACAGTCCTGGCAACGGCTCCGCTTGCAGACTCTTTGCTGCTGCAGATCTCTTGCCTGGGAAGATCGGTCCCAGCACTCTCTTGCTACCCAGGCCAGAGATTGGCCCATGCTGCCTGGTTAGCCGTCCGCGATGTGCAGAGGGGGGCTTCCATGAGAGTCTGCAAACTGAGGCCCTCGCTTTTGCCGCCCAAAACAAAGCTGCAGAGGCAGCTGGAGGCAGCTGGAGAGGACCAGCCGAGCACTTTGTCGAAGGAAACCGCCGCTGCTGGCCCTCTAACCAGTACAACTTCATGGAAGTGGTTGGCGTGTCTCAAGCAAAACGGGTCAAAGTGAAACAGAACCAGTTGATGGATCCACGAGGCCAGAGAGTTGTTCCATGCGCTTCTGACTCTGGCTCTTCTGAGCTTGAGATAAGCTGGCTGCGGGTCGAAGGACTTTTGCGCCCTGTGCGAGCCTGATCGTTTCTGGCACGACTCTTGGGGAATGAGTGCTGGGCATTGAAGGACGGATGCCTCGACGAAGATCACAACGCAGTCGAACACCAAGAAGCCCCTGCTCCGGAAGTCTGAGCAGCAGGCAGCACCAACCCAGGCTGCACCGCCTTGCCGAAAACGTGAGGTGACACGACGTCTTCGCAAGTGGCTCAGCTCTCCCGGTCGATGCCTGCGGAGGCTCTAATGCCTGGCCATAGATGCAAAGCAAACAGTGCCACACCTCCCAAACCCTAGTCGGCCCTCGGCCCTCGGTCTCGCCTTCGCCATTGCTGCTCGCCCCCGGCCCCGGCCCCCCGGCCCCCGACGCCGCAAACGGCAGCGTTGGAGGCCCTCAGTAAGACCAGCTCAGGAGGTCTGCGGGGGCGAACTCGCACGCACCCGCACGCACCCGCACGCACACGCACGCACATGCGCACGCCCATATGCTCCCGCGCAGATCGGCTCTGCAGCTTGATGGTGCCACTGCTCCTCAGGCCCGAGCGTCCTGTCATCAGCTCCAAGCAACCACTGCCCGAGCCTAGTCCCCTGAGCCCAGTACTGCGGACAGTGCTACTGCCTTGCGCACAACGACTACGCACATGTCAGTACATGTCTCGCAAAATCAGCAGCAGAACCGATGCGAAGAAGTCTTGTTTCATGGTTGGTGAGACGGCGAGCGCGGCCCTCTTGCCACTGTCGACTGTCTGCTTGAAGCGAACAAAGGCGCTGCCTCTGCCTGGGCCTCCAAGTCGGCATTGCCGAAGATCAGATTCTGCTTCAGACACTTCAGGATTCTGTGCACGAACCTCGGCCACTAGCTGCTTAGCTGGCCTGAGAAGAAGCCCAAGACTTTGGGGCATCCCTCTCACGTCCACTTCACAGTAATCACCTCACCGTTGCAATTCAATCATTCCCTTGGCCTGACACAGGATCCTGAGTCCAGGCATGTCTTGGGTCTTGAGCAGCAAACTCTGCAAGCTCGTGTCTTGTGTTCTGCCCAGTCTTCACCACACCTATCCATCAATTTCCCTTATGATAGGCAAGCTGCGTACATCTTGCCTCAGCGTGCTCAGTCGGCAATGCTGCCGGTATGAGCAGGAATGTTGGACATGCCTGTCTGCAACCACGCGGCCTTTGACCGGATTTATTGCCAAACCTGCTGAGACAGGGGGGCATGCCGGCTTATGGGTTTGTGCTCCAGCACAGGAGACTATCACAGGTCTTCTACTGCACCATGCACTGATGGATCATCCCAGAGTATTCACTCCCAGCCTTGTTGAGACGATTAAAGTAAAGCCGATAACAGCTTGGAGCATGCGGTGCTGAAGTTTATTACTTTTGGCTCCCTGCTTCTGTGTGGGTCGAGAAAGACTTCACACGCGAAGTTTGTGCCTGTTCTGTCGTCGATATAGCTGCCGTCGTCCACGATCTGTCCAGTAGTGGGATCGATCTCCTGAAGCAAGCCCAAGCGATTGACCAACCGAAGACCAAGTGCCTGCTACATGCTGGTTTTCCACCCGCCTAGCAAACTCAGGTAGCTAGAGGAGGATTTAAGTGACGTGACATGCCCAAAAGCAGGTGCAGTCCACTTTAGCTTTGGCTGCAGACAGTGGTCCTCCCCCGACTTGCCGTCGATGATGTTTCCTTGGCCATGCTGACGCCACGTGTTTGTACTCGATCATATGATATAGATATATTTTTGGGTCGGACAAATTCTGGCACGCCGGTGCAACCAGGCAATCCTGGCTGCACGAGGTCTGGCATATGTTCGCAGATTGATCGGAGCTGAGCGGCCCGAGTCTGGATCCACCATGGCCTCATGTGGCAAATTTGCAGCTGAAAACTTTTCCACGCAACAAGTCTTGCAATCTGTGCGGCGAAGAGGCGTCCTTCAAAGCTTCGTCTTTCTTCTGCATCTCTGTCTTCTCGCTTTCCTTGCCTTCGTGCTCGCCCTCCTTTCCTTCATTGTGCTCCCCATGTTCGCCCTCCTTTCCTTCATCGTGCTCCCCATGCTCGCCTTCCTTGCCTTCTTGGTGTTCTCCGGGCTCGCCTTCTTTCCCAACCTGCTCGTGCTCACCCTCCTTCCCAAGATGTGCCGCAGGGTCGTAGCTCTCGCCCTCTTCGCCGGTGTGTTCTGCACTGTCCCCGTGCTCAGCTTCGTCGTACCCCATGTTCGCGGCGGGGTCGTGATGGTCATGCTCGCCCTCTTCACCGGTATGTTTTGTATGGTCCTCGTGGTCACCCTCATCGTACCCCATGTTCGCGGCAGGGTCGTAATGATCATGCTCGCCCTCTTCACCGGTATGTTTTGTATGGTCCTCGTGGTCACCCTCATCGTACCCCATGTTCGCGGCTGGGTCGTAATGGTCATGGTGCTCGCCCTCTTCACCGGTATGTTCTGCGTGGTCCTCGTGGTCGCCCTCATCGTACCCCATGTGGGCGGCGGGGTCGTGATGGTCGTGGTGCTCGCCCTCTTCACCATTTCGTTCTGCATGGTTCTCGTGGTCAGCCTCATCGTAGCCCATATTTACTGCAGGGTCGTGGTGGTTGTGTTGATCCCCCACGTCTGCCTGGCGATCGTGTTCGCCCTCACGGTCCGCATGGTCCTTGTGTTCATCTTCGTACCGCATGTGAGCTGCAGGATCGTAGCTCTCGCCCGCTTCCCCGGAATGTGTTGAATGGTCGTGGTGTTCAGCAGCGTATCCCATGTGAGCGCCAGGGTCGTGGCGACCGCCCTCTTCGCTGTGGTGTGCTGCATGATCCTCGTGCTCATCGTCGTTCCTCATGTGAGCTGCAGGATCGTAGTGGGAATCACCTTCATCTGCAGCATGAGGGTTCTTATTCAAAAAAGGCCTATGGTCATTGTCATTGTCTACTTACTTGCATCGACCGCCTCTCAGCCTTGCTAGCCGGATCAAGACTGAGCACTTAAGGCTTAAGGTCCAGCATGGCCCAGCCTTGCAACCCGAAGTGCGTGGCCACCATGTGCAAGCTGTGGCCACCGGGGCCGCTGCGGCCAAGGCCAATTTGAAGAAGGGACGTGGACGTGGCATCAGTGGCATCCTGGCGAGTTGCATCTCCCACGCCGTCTCCGTCCGTGGCCCAGCGGGACAAGTCCGGGGAATTGGCTCCCAAACGTGTGAGCCACTTGGCTGCCAGTGTGGCGATGCGCTGCAAGGACTCCGGCGGATCCGAGTTCAAGGTCGCTGGGCCATGTGGGCCCGCCAAGCCCAAGCCATCCAAGCCATCCACGAACTCGAAGGATGCCTGTGCACCCCTGATCGGAGGCGGCCGAGGCCGAACAGCTGTTGCACGAAGCTGAAGCGGTTGATCCTGAAGTTCACTGCCGAAGAGGAAGCTCCGCAGGCTCTGGAGTCGAGCAGTCGGGGCCCCGTGCAGCAAAGCATCCGACCCTGACACCCCATGCTGCTCATGATGCTCGCCGAGAAAGTCATGGCGAATCCTCATCACCTCCGGCGCATGCTCCCAAACGGACTGCTGGGCCTGACGGGAGATTTCCCGTTGTCCTGCCCGAGCCACAATGCTTCTGCGGGCACCGCTTCCGGAACAGGATCCAGACTGGAAAGGATGTCAGTCTAACTGCACTGCCCCATTAAATTCACCTACATGTGTCACTCTGAACAGGCAGTAACAAGGGCTGGATGCCGCAAGGCGGAGCACTGGACTGCAAACAGCCTTGAAATACTGTAGGTGGTGCTTGAAGGGTTCGGGGAAACATGCGAGTGGTGCAAGATGATCGGGGAATCCGGGCACACTGTGTCTCCCTGTACTGCACTTACAGGGACTAAACGGGGCAGTGCGAGCAACGCGTCATCTCCTTGTGTCTGCCTTTTTTCCGGCTGACCCGGTCATCCAAAGATATCCTTGTCGTATCTTAGGGGTGAGACTTTTTCTTCGGAGAGGCCGTTTCCATAGAGCTCCACACTTCTCTTCATAGTGGCGATTGCTAATGCCATGTCGTCCACCTGGCATGACAGAAGCTACTGGAACCTCATGTCGGTGAATGTTCAGCCCCACATGCGTGACAGTTGCGGCCTTGTAGACTCCAGTGCCCGAGACAATCATATTGGCACCGGCTTTTGCAGCTTCATCTACCGTGTGCACCTTGACGCCTCCATCCACCTCAATTTCCTCGGACCCACTCATAAAAATGCGACGCCCGACAAAGGTTCTGCTTTGTGTGGGGCAGGCATCTGCAATCAAGCCAATCCAAGCCACCTTGTCTGGATACCTCGAACGTACGTATCGAACTTTCCTTGTGCAGCGAGACGTGGCACCGTTGCAGTCATGACATGAGCTGGTGGTGCCTGGATCATGGCTCCTACACCGAGTTTGCAGGCGAAGTTGCTCCATCATGTCTACCATGAAAGACTGCCCACCCTTCCCGGGCACAACAGTCAGGATAAGCACCACGTCCACCTGATTCGAAGCTCAGAATGTGACTACCAGTCCAGTGCTGGGTTTGGGATCCAAAATCCGCCTGACCTGACCCAGGTAAGGTTCCAACTGCCTGGAAAGAAACGCAGAGCACTGGCAGGCCGGCAGGTTGTCACTGGCTGTCACCGACAAAGCCTAACATGATGCCACACAAAGAAGCCGAGAAGCTCAATCGGCGTGGCTGGACTTAACGCAAGTCCCACCAGCATTCCTAACTTCCAAAGCGTCTGCACGAAATGGGCGGGAACGCTATGATTGTCGGTCGGGACACCGTTCTTCCGGACTTGGTCGATAACGGTCTGCGTCAGTCCTGCACAGCGGACAGCGACGCAACGGCTTCCGTGCACTTCGGTTCGGGATTGCACAGGGATGACTCAAAAGCCTCTGGGCTCTGTGGCTTCAATGTGAAAGATGAACTGCATCAAGTTCTTGCCCGTTTCCTGAGCAGAGGTACATGCGGCGGACATGTCCCGACGATAGTCTAGCAAACTTCGTCAGTGTGTGGAGAAAGTGATTTCGTCCACGCCTCTAGGATTCTCTTCATCCCGCGGTTCTTGACACGAAGCCTCGAAGCCTCTAAAAAACCTGCAAGCCTTTCTGAGCCTCTGAAATGCGCAAGCTGCAAACGGCTTTTCGGCCTTTGGGAGGTTACACTGGCCTTTAGGCACGCTAGGAAGCTGCGAGGTACCGACGATGTCGCGGGAATGCAGTAAACAGATGCAGCTAGGCCTTGCAGTCAGGTCTTGTTGGTGCGACGATCAAGCCACAAGTGCAAGTTATTGCTTGGTAGCAGTTGGACCTCCAATCCTGTGAGTCGTTCAGTCGAGATTTTGTTGTGATGCCCCGCACTAACCAGTCTGCGAGCCTCTGAGCTTCCAAAGGCCCTTACGACTCAAAGCCTCCCCAAAGGCCCTTGGGAGACGCTTTGGGGGGGCCAGCGCCTCGCCGGAATCCGAGCGTCTGGATGTACGGCTTTGGCCTCGGCGAAAGCCTCTACTTGCTCCTCAGGCTTCTGGACCATCAGGTGGCAATCAAAAAAGACCTGCAGGAGGGAAAATGCAGGATTCAAGCTCGTCGAGTGCGGCTGCAGCCCGCAGCTGCAATAGCTCAACCTATCCGCAACTCCCTACCTTCGGATGATGCAGGCGCAAGTTGGCGATGACCTTCGGTCCGAAAGAGATGGCCGGAACCTTGCAACTACCATCTAGCACAATCGACATTCCGATCCCAGAACACGAAGATCAGGCTGCAAAGCTTGTGGAACCATCGGGAGTTTCGGCGCTCACTTCGCGCATGCTGAAGCATGTCCGGCATCCAAGGTGCAAAATTACCATCCATCACATCCAAGTGCAAGTAGTCGGCACCGGCGCGTAAAGCACGACCAGCCTCTGGGGAGTGCAAACGTGAGCCACCGACCCACTACCTCACGAAGATCTAAATTCCCCGTCCTCTGCCCCGTTGACAGTTTACACCGCTTACCTCTTCCACAATCAACCCGAATTGCCTCTGTGGCCAGCATGGAAGAGTCGCAATCCAATACCTCTCAAAGTTGCGATTTGCCAATAGAAGGGCACCTGTGAAGTGGCTATATACGCACCCGTTGCCTGAGAGTGCGGACGCTTCCGGTGTATAACACATCACGCCCACGTGCTACGACGGCTGGTGGTTTAACGCCAAAGTGCGGATGGACCAATCTTGGCGGCACAGCCGTGAAATGCCGACGCCGGCCTTGCACAAGACAGCATGCCTAGAATGCACTCCAGCCTAATCTGCTGGCCTGGAAGCCTGGCTGTATCCGGCAGAAGCCGCCATGGCAGTAAAAAAGCACTGCGGATCCTTTCAGCTCGTTCTCGAGGAGTGGCGAACGAGGCAGACTTGCACACACATATCCGAAATCCAGAGAGCGCAGGGTGAGAGTGCCAGTCTAGCTTAGGCAACTTCAACATGCAGCCTCTTTTGCTTGAGGTATCCTGGGTGATGGACAAGCCTGTAGCGAATCTGCAGCCTCGATGCAGTCGCGCTGTACAGGTGGAGTCGTTTACAGCTCTTCTCCCGCAAGTTTTCAAACACCTCTGACTGCAACTTGCTTCCCGTATTCCGCAGACAGGGTTCGATGGAGTCCGGATGGGGCAAGTGTCAAGAGTTTGTCCTGTATCTTGCCATCCCTAGGATGCCGAGCTCAACAAGTTTGACAATGTGAATTTGAATTAAGCGAAGAGCACTTCGCACTGCATGATATTTTCACAGATATGTACAGGGTTGCTGACCAAGCAAAGGTTGCGAAGGCATGGCCCCCAGTGCCGACCGGGGCATGACCGACTGGGTCTTCGAACATGTGGCCATATGGGAGTTTCCGAAAATTAGGGGTACCTTATTTGGGGGTCCTTATATAGTAAGGATCCTACTATTTAGGGTAGTATATTAGGGTCCCCTATTTTCGGAATCTCCCATATGTGGCCAGAAAGGGCTAGCCGCTTAGAAGGCTTAGAAGATATGCCCCCACAGGCATTCCAGGCAGCTCTCGTGTCAAAGAGATATTGCCGGCCACAAAATAGGAGTCAGCCTGCAGCAAGCTTGAGATCGACACCTCACACACAAGGCGTCTCACTCAAACAGAGCTGCCGCTATCGAAATCGGATTGAGCACCAACTCTTCAACTGACCTGGCACTGCTGCTCAGGTTCCCAGTTCTAGACACGCGGGACTGGGGCTTGTGTTTGCCCTTTTCAAAGCTCCAGATGCGAACATGTGCATGTCAGTTCAACACCCAAGCCATTAACTGCTAGTGATTATTTCAGAGGCCTGGAATACAGAAGCACTGAGCGCTGCACAGGTTCCTTGCTAGCTCCCCGTGGCCTGTGCACTCGGGCGGCCTCTCTGCCAGATCCCCTTCTGCCAATCGGAATACCCTCCCCCCGAGGCTGAGCATGCTCTAGGCAAAAGCGTGACGGGGCATGAGCAAGTCTCATCACATGCATGCTGCCACAGCTGGACGGGATCACACTGAATCCCCATTTGGGGCTTCATGTCTTCACCTTTGGCTTGAAAGTGGTTCGGGGATAGTGGAAGGATCGGCTGCCCGACTCAACGCATCTGCTCCCGTCTGTACTGGGAATCAAACCTGCCAGGAAATCTCGAAGTGACCGTGTCTGTAGGGCTGTGTTTACTGGCCTGGACATGTCCAACAGCTGCAACAAAATTCCCGGCAGGAGTGGGGGCAGCTCATGTTTATCTTAATTTCAAAAAAGCAAAATGGAACGCGGCCATCTGGTATTGAGTCTCAGACCGAGTTTCTGCCAAGACTTCCAAGTATTCTTCATGTATGCCGTGCAGGGAAAACCTGAATCAAAGTGGAAATCTACAAATAATAGTGGCAAGCGAGCAATTGCGCAACAAGAGCTGCAACTATCATTGCCCGTCCTGGCCAACGTATCTCACAACTCATCGGTGCACGACAATTATCTGCGTGGAATCCACGCTTTCTGACCATACCCTAGCCTATGTGAGTTACCTGCCCTTCCACTTGTGGATGCACACTTTCGCTCACCCAGGCAGGGTCTTCCGTGCAGCTTGGACCAGGCAATGATGGTTCGGCCCTATGCAAAGCTCCTCAGCTCGTCGACTTCGCATCATCCCATGCGCAGCCTCTGCCCGCCGACCTCAAGGTAAGTGTACTTGTGCTTAACTTGAAGGCGCCCAAAATATGCTGAAATCGCTTGACGGCACCTGACATGAAGCATCTCAACTACTAGAACTACAAGGAAGGCACCCGAGCCCCGGCCCTGGAGCTCAACACGAGATTTGCGAGTTCCGAGCTTTGCCTTGTTGAAAATTCGCAGGAACCGTGGCGATGATTTTGTATAAGAGCAACAATCGTCAGACTAGCCATTAGAATGACAAGAATGACAAGAAGAGACATGCATCTTCTGAAAGAGCACCTTGCAGTGAAAGCTGTCACAAGCTCCATACCAGGAGCACCTGCACTGATCCTCAATCTGCTTCGCCACAGCGGCAGCAGCGGAGCCACCGCAGACGCAGGCCGGGCTTAAGAAATTCCAATTGCTCTTAACGTAAGAACCCCAGAGAGTCACCATAGGCTGGGAGGAATAGAAAGACTAATAACTGATAGTCATAGTAAATACAGTCAGTCGGTCAGACGGTCAGTCAGTCGGACAGTCAGCTAGTGATGTAGTCAGTCCTGGGGCTTGCATGGACAATATGATGCCAGACATGAACAGTCGTCACAGGATTTTACTCGTACCCACTCTTCTTTCTCTTGTTCTTCTTCTCTTTGTTGTTCTTTTTTTTTGCTATTGTTATCATGGTTGGGGTTTCGATTCGAAGGTAACACTGAAGCGTTCTGAGTCCACTTTGAGGCCGCAGCCCGGGCAGTCGGAACACTTCGGGCTGCTGGTGTGACCTTGGTTCGACTGACGCTTGAAGTTACATGAGTTCTGAGAACTGGCTGGCCTGGCCTCGCAGGGCTGCTCTGAGGCATCTACATATGCAGGTTGCCCGGGTTGAAAGTTCGGCCCCAATCCGCCATAACAGCTGTGTGCTCCTCTTGTTACGGCCAAGTCAAGTCCATTCGGGTGATTGGTTTTGGCTCACTTCTGCGCACCGTTACAATTGGCTGCACAAGAGGGGCCATGACCTGAGGTCCTATCGTAAATTATCGTAACGAGCTCCTCGGCGTGGAAGGGCCCGAGGCTTCGGCTTTACCTGCAAGGAGACATGCTCAAACCCGGCGCCTACCACCCAGGCCCTAACTACACCAGTTGCAGCCACTTAGCTTCAGAGTGTTCTACAAGCCCATGCCTCTTATGCTCGACTCGTCTGACAACTCCAAAACAACTCAAGCAAGAGCCAAGGTGGTGTCAACCCAGGGGTCCAGTAGATCTTCGCTGCCGCACCTTGTCTTCAAAATCACCTGGCAGTCTTCTTTTTGTCTGCAAGTATACGGCTTCGGAAGCCATAGTTGCTGCACGACATGCTACATGGGCCGATGAGGCTGCCTGTGATCAACTGGTGAAGAGGTTACAGTCAAACCCACAAAGGCGCAGAAAACTACGGCTATCATCACCTTACGCCCCTTCGGCATGCACCCTTTTATGGAAGCGTTTTTGGACGGCTGACCGTGCAGGTCTTCCGGCTCCTCCGAAGCCGTGGAAGCCTGGGACCAGGACTCGCACCACCTGGACATGTGAGGTGCAATGGAGATGGTGGTGAACATGAAAGTGGAAATGCAATACAATCTGAGGGGATGCTGCGGTCGGTGCACAAACTCTTAACCTCTCAGGCTAAGGATCCGACGACTTGCTGTTTTGGCGTGAATGCGTCATTGAAGGCTTCGCAGTCGCAGCCAGAATGGCAGCATCCAGTGCCTGAACTCACACTGCACACAGCCCGAACTCCTCCGCGTTCCCCTTGTCCCTCTGCAGCCTGTGAAGCACAATCTGCTTGAACCCGTGCCAGGGCTTCAAGAATGGCACCTCGGAAGCTAGTCGGTGCACCAACCGTCGTCAGAGCTGCTCTGGTTACATGCCCAAGCCACTCGATGGCGTCTTGAGCCTTTGTGAGCGGTTGCACTCAGGCTCATGATCGGAGCGGTCTCTCCTGTGAGTTGAGAAGAGAAAGAGAGAGAGAGAGAGAGAGAGAGAGAGAGAGAGAGAAAAAAGGATATCTGGGGCTTCGGCGACGGTGGTGGCAGTCCTGGAGGCGGCTGCAGCACCTGGGTCGGCATGAAGCGATTAGGCCCTGGACAACCTGCCCCAATCTAGCAATGAGGTTGCAGCTGGGTGAAGTTGCTTGACAGCCTCCTGGTTGCCTGCGACTTGGCTGCACTTCCGAAGGGACGTCGAAGAATGCACCAAAATCACTCTTCGGTCGTCCAAAGACTGGGTATGAGGACTCGTGCACATGGGCTCGCTGAGCGTCTATGGACTACTCCCCCGCGTCCTTCTGGAAAGCAGTTCACAGATGGCATCCTGTCTGCAGAAACACTGGGACTCCCGAAACTTCGCGAGATCTCCGGCTGCAACGCGCGTGAGCTCTGCAGTCCTCGTGCTTCGCGGCGGAGCTCCCAGGAGTGCTTAAGGTCCGAGACTTTGAATTGCTGCGACGGCACAGCTGCGTTTGAGGCAGAAGTTTGCTTGCTTCTTGCTTCAACTCTCTCGTTTGGTGGCTTTGGCTTTGAAGTTGCTTCGTTGCGTCCACTGGCAGATCAGGAAGGTCACATGCTCAAGGCATGGACTCTTTGGCGGTGTCTTTTTCTAAACGGCCAGGCTATCGTGTCCGGATCAAGCTGTTCAGAAGACGCCATTTCGAAGCCATCAAGCCTGCATCCACGCTGCATGCAAAACGCCAAAGCTATGCAGTACGGTGAACTATGCAGTACATGGTGTAAACAACAGCCAGCCCGCTTATCCGCCCGTCCTTTCTGCCATGGTGGGAACAAAATAAGGACTGCCGCACTCGGAAGCGGCTGCTGCGACCCAACTCCACACCGGACGCCTCTCTTAGGTACTGATGACATTACAAATCTATTGTCCTTTCCTGATTATGTGGCTCTGCGCCAGGGACCTTCCACTGCCCCACCAAGCGTGCCTGGCCTAGAAATGCACAAGAGACCGTCCACCCCCCCACCATCCCCGCTTGCTGAAAGTCCTGCTGCAGCCTCGGGCAAACAGCAAACTACCCGAGCCCTCTGCTGAGGCCCCTCACCGGCAGTCGCGCCGAGAAAGCGACAAATGGAGTGCCATGGGGAGAAGCAGCTCCCGGAGAGCAAGCAAACAGCCAGGAAACTCGAGTTCAGGTTTCGGGTCCCCACTTTCTTGCCGCTGTGACCGCCCTCTGCGACAAGCACAAGCATCACTCTCGCTGAGACCCTTTTTTTCGGCAGCAACAGAACACCTGTTCAGTCTGTTGAGCGGATCTCCGTGCTCCCGCTTCGTAACATCATTCAACACATCTCCCTCTCCCTTCCACACAGCCAAAGCTGGAGGAGTGTGAAAAGTCGGCTGTTTCCCTGGTTCAGCTTCTGAGGTGAGGTTGTATCAACGTTTCCAGGGATCAGCAATCCTTTCGCATGACATGGCTTTCACTTGGGGGGGGTACTTAGCCTTTTCATGTTTGCACAAAATGAATGGTGTCGGATTGTAGAAGCTCAGCAGACCCAACAAAGCATAGGTCGCACTCTCTCTCTCTCTCTCTCTCTCTACCGGGCGTGGGGGTTGTGGCAGTGTTCAGGGCCCCGCCCCCCGTGCGCGCGCACTCTCTATCTCTATCTCTCTCCCTTCCTTTCTGCAGGGCTTAGGGGTCGTCCATGTGACCCTCAGACCATCGGCCTGCCCAGCCCCCCCGTCGTATTCGTAAGAGGCTGGCATCGGGGAATTGCCGCGCTTTTCATATACTTTGGACCCCCTAGCCTATGTCCCCCAACAGGCCTCTCTCTCTCTCTTCCGATTGGAAGGCAGGGGCAGCGTTCAGGCCACCACCCTGTGCGGTCCGCACACCCGCAGCTCATGGCGGGAAAGATGCCCCCCGCAAATGTTTTTTCAGGAGGGCTTGGCTGTACGAACAAATAACTGGGTCATCCCGCGCTGGGAACCGTATAAGTCACTGAAGCAAACTGATAACTCAACAGTAAAGCGCCATGATATCTTGCCCAGCGAGTCGGACCTTCGATTGGAGTGGGCTGGCTACTTAGGTAAAGTTTAGTGCAGGGCTGAGGGAGGCACATGGTATTCCTACAAAAAAACACACGCACACTCTCTCTCTCTCTCTCGCTCTCGTTCTTTCAGAAGGTGGGGTCTTGCTTGCATGCGGACAAGGAGAGGAGGCGCCCCCCTGCGCGAGAGCCCGCACCGAGTTCTTGCTCAGATGTTGCTCACAACCAGACGAGGCACGGCTGTGCACAAAGTGGGGCTCTCTCTTCGCAACTCTCTCTCTCTCTCTCTCTCCCTCTCTCTCTCTCTCTCTCTCTCTCTTGCGGACTGAGCTTTTGTATCTCCGTGGCCTGCCGCAGTCATCAGCGCCCAGGAGACGACCCGGAAAGCGGCTCCAGGGCCCAGATCATAGAAGTGGCCTCGGCTTTGCTCCCGTGTAAAAGTGCGGTGTCGTTCGAGGCTGATGCACTGGAGACATGTGGAAAAGATGCAAGAGCAAGGACGCATCAAATATGGACTTCCCGGTCAAAACCACTGTGGATCCAAACATCGGACTTCATCTGCCAGGACAAACTCTCACGAACCCAATGCTGAGACTCTCCATGGTCGAATTACGTCCCGGCAGCTGTCTCACAAACTGCTTCATATCCTCCACTGGGAGAGCTCCAGTATGCTGGCACGCGCAGACTGGCAGACTGGCCCGAGAGTCTCTCGGAGCCCCCCCGGGCCGGAGAGGTTTAGCGGCTTCTGCCATCAGATGCCACCAGGTTGCCGGCAATGCTTGGCGAGCAGATGCGCCCCAGGGAGCAGGCCTCGGAAGCCGGCGCGGGCAGCCGGGCGGCCCTGCGGCGGGTCTTCCGTCTTTACAACATCTCTGCAGCCATGGCACGATGGAGTCCGTGGCGAAGATCACACCTCGGCTGCCCCTTGGGCAGCACCGCGCAATCAGGATGTTCACGCTGGGGTTGAAGAACGTGATCTGCATCGTCGGCGCGGGGAACTTCATGTCTTGGCGACAGCACCAAAGATGCGACCCAGATACTCCAAATGATTGGCAGAAAAGAATAGCCATCACCTGCTGCCGCATCTGCACAAGCCCATAAGCGACTATGGTTCTGCTTCTCTGTTTCCGCCGGGTACTCATACTGCTGAGCAGCAAGTCAAGCAGAAGCATGTTAAGCTCCCAGTTGAGCTAGAGTCGGCCAAGCCGCAACCAGGGGCTTCTTGGCAATGCTCATAGCAGCGAAAGACAAGCCGATGGATGCAAGGCCTCGAACAGGAAGCGAGGAGAGAAGGCGCACAAATTGCAGGTTTGGAATCAAGTCGAGCTGACAGCGCACGACCGAGGTCGGCACCGATAACAGCACCAGCGACCGTCCGCGTTGGATTCAGCATGTACCTCTCCACTGCCAGACTCCCACGAAAGGTCCGTGTCTGCCAACTGCCTGCCTCCGATATCCGAAGGCATTGGTGCAAAATGCCTCGGTCCAGGACAAACTTGCCGATTCTGGTCTGGCCGCTTTCCTCATCGAAGGCGAAGTACGAAGCACGCCGCAGCGGTTAGTGCTGAGCCCAGCCGGGCTGGGGTCCATCCGAAGGTGTCAATGCACCAGACCTTGGGCTACAGTGGCTAGGATCAGTATCAGCACGACAAGAAGTCTGGTGGAGAACATACGCAACCCAGTGGCACGGCCGATGCTTGTCTTGATAACAACGCCCTGGCTGTCTATACTCCCCAAGGCAAGATTTTTCCCTTCCCGGCAGGGCATCCAAAGGCCCCAAACGTCCCCCCCCCCCCCCCGGCCCTCCGTTTTTTCGGATTTGCAATTCCGACAGTAGAGACTGACAAACACGTAACAAAAGCCCATCATAACTTGGATACTCCATCCATCCATCCCTCCGTCCGTCCGTCTCTCCATCCATCTAGACATACATACACACATACGTATACACAGATATACATACGCACACACTCACCATACATACATACATACATACATACATTCATTCACTCATTCATTCATTCATTCATACGTACATTCATTCATACATTCATAACTGTCATTCATTTATACGTCCTTGCATGCATGCATGCATACATTCATACATCCCCACATACGTACACACGTATGCACAGACGTACACACACACACACACACACACACATTTGCTTTGATTGGGGCTTGGGGTGGGAGCAGTCCGCCCTCCATACACACACTCTCTCTCTCTCTCTCTCTCGCTCTCTCTCTCTCTCTCTCTCTCTTGTAAGCCTTTTGCGATGCTGAATCAAGATATGGATGTCCTCAACAACAATTCCTGCTGCCGGATGTGCAGGGCCGCGGCAAACGGCTCGGAGCGTTAACAATTAGCACTTCGTTACACACCCGACTGATTCAGGGAGCAGCTGCACATGCCTCCCACCCGCGACTGCTTCGACAACCGGACCTGAATGATGAGGCATGAAATGATTCGAGCTCCTTGTGGACATGCGTGTGCGCGATGTCGCATGCTTTCCAGCTGTGAATCAAACCAAAGTGTCCTCCGTTGCGACGGCGAACTGCGCTCAGATCGAGTCTGAACGCTTCCGGCCGATTTGTGTCTAGCTCGTTCTGACGTCTCTCTGCTGTTTGGCCTCTTCCACACGGCTCAGAAGCCTGAAGCTAGTTGATGCTACTTGCAGTACGACTGTGCGGCATATGGCTTTCAACATCATGTGATGCTGCTCGCTGTCGCGCGGCGCCGAAGAAGCTGTCGAAAACTGCTGCGCCACAGGTGTACAGAATGTGGATGAGAATGAGATTGCACCTGAGCAAGACGCTTTTGAATGGTTGCTCGGCGTTAAACACACTTCCTGCCCAGCAGCAATAGAATCGATGCCAATCCAAATGAGGGTAGTTCGCGTGTGGTGTTCTCTGACTCCCCCTTTGGAACTTCGCCGCCCTGCCACAGCACACCCCAAGCAGTCTCAAACATGCGAATGACGACACATGCTGGCAGACCGGCGGCGGCATGCCCTCCAGGAATTGATGAACCAGCCAGGCAGCAGCCAATTGCCTGCAGCTTGGCCACATCCGAAGGGCCGCTCTCAAGGGTCATGGCCATGCGCATGTGATCCTTATTGCAGCCCTGTGGCATAAGGGCAGCGCAGAAGGTTACACGTAGGATGCCGCCCGACCCATAGCCGTAGATCAGCCCTCCCAACATCGGACCCACAATGAAGGCCCTCAGATGAGCTCAAAAACGCTGAGCTGCAATGCATGGGCCCTCCATGCTGAATGACTGTACCGTTTGCCCGGATATCGACAGCTGCCCAGGCACAGAGTGGCTGCGGCCTCTCCTTGGAGCAAAAACTCTTCTAGTTGCAACACCACTTTCTTTCCATCCATCCATCCATCCATCCATCCATCCATCCATTCATCCAGGCCCCGGGCGTAAAGCCCACCCAATACGTTGATTTGGTCGAAGGGTGTGAAAGACGAGTATAGTACATCCACGGGCTAAGGCCATGAAGCTTATGATAACGAAATCAGGATGTACATACATAGGGGGGGGAGGGGACGAGGCCAAGCAAGACCAGACGGGGAAAACAACAAGCCAAACAAGAGGGGGGGGGCAGCAGCCCTGCATCATACATGTAGATATAGATATGGATATCGATATAAATATTGATGTAGCTATAGGTATAGATATAGATATAGATTCATACATGTGCGCATGATCGCGTCTGCATGTCATGCACATGTGTGTGTGAATGCATGCGTGCGCATAAGCATGTGTGTACATATATGGTACATATAGATATACAAACATACAGTCACCATGCGTGTGTATGTACGCGTGTGTATATGTATATATATATATATATATATATATATGTATATAAGAAAAGTATACAAATTATACACATACATACATACACACATACATGCATACATACATACGCATGCATACCTACACTCACCTTTACACACATCCGTTGTTTAGCCGTCCCTGGTGGCTGAGGATCGATTGGCCACGGCCCGGAGCATGATTTCCGGTTGCAGGTCGGCCATGAATGCCTTGATCACCTCAGCTTGGAGGCTATTGCCGCTACTGTATTCGCTTTGGAGAGGACCTCGAATTAAAGCACCCAACATGGGAGGAGTCCAACCCCTCTGAGTCTTGTGACTCTAGTACTACTCGGGAGTTGGACTCCCAGGTCAGGCTGGTCCGGTCCTCCCTCGCTTACAAATGCCTTGGAAGCGAATTCAAAGTGTTTGCATTGCATTCGTGCCAGGCAACAACAGCTGCTCCGGCAAACGTCCCACTGAGGATGCGGAGCTTGAGGAAAGTCCGGAAGGACCAGTCAAGCTTCAGGGCGTAGGTCTGCAGCCTGGGCCAGGGTAAGGGCTCTGCATGTCTGCAATGCATGCAGGTCGATATCGTTCTGCATTACATTCTCTACCGGATGTCTGATGCCGTGGAGTCGCAAGAAGCCCACGCCGACGCCAGTCAAACACACCAACAGCACCGGCTTGCCTTAGGACTCATGCAATGCTCAACAGTGATATGGTATGTTTATCTGACATATACATAAACAAATACATACACATTGTTTATCTAATATATGCATAGACAGTAAACAAAAGCTATATATACATATATATATATATATATACATTGTGTGCGCAGAGAGGAGAAGAGAGAGAGAGAGAGAGAGAGAGAGAGAGAGAGAGAGAGAGAGAGAGAGAGAGAGAGAGAGAGAGAGAGAGAAAGGGACCGGCAGCGGTGTCAATTGCGTATAGACTGACTGGTCCTGCATTGCCGGACTGGGATCGTCCCGGGAATTTGCTGCTTGGACAAGTGGCGGCCCCAAACATCACTAAGGCGTGGATAGAAGAACAGTGCCTCAGCCCCATGCTCGTCCAACAAAGCTCCGAAAGGGTGCGCTGCTGCCTCGCAGCTTGCGTACAAGTAACCACGAGCATACCAGTCGGGAAGGCTGAGGTGATCAAGCCGGTCTCAGAAGCACGGAGGTGGAAGTGTGCCCTCAGGGCTGGCAGGATGGGTCCTCGCGACGGAGAGCTGAGCCACCCATCTCTCAATTCGGACCGTGGGTCCTTGCATGGTGAAGCCCAGCAAATGCAGGAAGTACACCTGACTTAGCCATGTCGAAACGGCAGCTCCAAGCTACCCACGTCGTTTGCACTACCGAGGATTCAGGCAAGCTTCGAAAGGGATCAACGTCCTCGGAGCACTTGCACAAACCCAAGACTTTCAAGAAAGCACAGTGCAGGGGACCGTCACAAGGACAAGCGCAATGCACATTGAGTCGGGCAAGCATGAGAGGTGGTGCATTCGGCGTAAGTTTGCAGAACAGCTTTCGATAAGCTACATGTGCTCTTACCCGTCAACCCTCTATGACTTCAGCAACCACGGACGACTAGCCAGCCTCCCCCGCAAGAAATAAGATCAATTCTGCATGCCATGACGCCTTGCCCGGTTAGCCAATCTGTCTGCGGGCACATCTCTGCTCCTGCCATGCCATGGACCAGATGCGCTTTTGTGATGTCGAAGCCTTGCTATCACCGCTGGCCTGCAGATGCCAAGCCATCCACCAGATTTGCGAGCGTTGCTCGGCACCCTCCGCTGGGCGACTGGGATCGGTAAGCTCGAATAGCCGCTGCTCTTGCCTGGCTCCACACACTAGTGAACGTGGGTTGAGCAGGGCAAGCTAGACTTGCGGAAGCTGCATGCAGCAGACGTTTGTCAAGTTTGTCCTAAGCAATTGCTGCTGTAGAGGTCCACTAGATTGCTGCTGCACAGACTGAGGTGCCTCCCTCTTCATCCGGTAGCAGACCAGAATCTATGATGTGATAGCGACAGGGCCGTACTCCAGCAGCGCTTCTCACATCAACTTGCGAAGGATTGACGATCCTGTAGCCCTCGGCCGTGTCCGGACCCTGAGCCTCTTGCCGCTCAGGACACTTGCGCGTGTTGCTGTCTGCCAGCAGCTTTTCCATGGAATCTCCCAGTCTAGTCGGGGTGGGCAGCGGGAGATCAACGTTCCACCATCGGTGGATGTTTGAGTTGTTCTCGGTTCTGGGAGTCCTCTCCTTGAGCGAAGACGGGTCGTCGTCTGTAATGTGCTTTAATGTGAATTCCAATCTATCGCAGGATGATCCGATTGGTCGAGTCTTGGACATCTCGTCCTCTTGTTCACGTGTCTTGCGAATCTGCCGTCTGCGTGCTCCCAGCATTGCACCAGTGCCAGAGACTAGCGCCAGGACCAGTTGTGTGGCCTGTGCTTGGTCAGTTTCGCTTGCAATCGCTTCGCCAACTCCAGCGTCAGCCATCACATTCCCCATCTGCTCAGACAGAATGCTCATTTCCTGTCAGGGCAGTACTGGCTACGGTCGAGTAAACACCCTCCCATAGGATGCCATAGGATTATGACGCAGCGGCATAGCCATGCCACATGATTTCTTTCCGTGTGCTCTCGTGCGCAGGGCTTTCTACTGGCGGATCATAAAGAGGTGCAACCCATGCGAAATTGTGATAATTTCAACACTCGGTAAACTGGACTGCTTATCGGCTATGCAGCTACGCGCTTGAACAACCGGTCCTGAAGCCCCTCGATGATGCTGATGTCCGGTGCCACGAAATCCAGGCCGATGCCGAGCAAGCACAGCACCGAGATGATCAGCAGAGCTCTGGAATGGGCCTCGTGTGGCTCAAGACTCAAGGCACAGAGCAGCAACTTGCAAGCTAGTCAGCACCTGCCATGGCCGCTGAATCTGTTGAGTCTGGGCACCCTTCTCATGGCCATCTTCGCCGCTAGTGTTGGCTCTCCCACTGTCGCGACGTGGCAGCTCCTCAAAATCAAGCAGCACTCGGAGAAAGAGCTGAAGGCCTGCATCGTAGAACGATGCTACCAGGCCTGTGTCCTTGCCGTCACGCTTGTGGTGCTCGGGCTGAGGACATGGCGGACGTGCATGTCTCTGTACTTACTCCCGTCCTATTCAATGGTTGTGTGCCGAGGGCGATCTGCACCTATGGAAGAGGAAAAGGCCCAACCTCTAACTGGCACGCTTCGTAGACCAGCTAACCTTCGTCATGCGGCTCTTGGAAACTAAACAGCTAGCTGGACCGAATAAGTCGCGGCGCGCTGGCTTAGAGATGTCCTCTCTGCGGCCGTGCTGTGAGCGGCTGCCAAGCTCTTTTTGAACAACAGTTTGCGCAACTCGATTTGGAGCGCACCGGCTCGAAGGTGTCGCATCTCGGCTGCTTGCTGCTTCTGCTGTGCTGTGCTGCGCTCTGCTCTGCTGCACGGCGTCTCTGGGCCTCCTCAAACAGCTCGTTCTCCCTTGCCACGGGCGTGAAGCACAGGGGCTACGGCTCTCCCTACGCCCTGCGCATCTGGTGCTTTGAGTCCTCGGGGGTCCGCGGCTTCGGCTTCGCGGCTTCGCCTCGTCAGCTGAAAGTCTCAGCCCAAGAGGCGAAGCCCAGGGGCGTTTCGGATTCAGCCGAGCCAAGGCCCCTGCCCTGAGCCTTGCCCTTGCCTTTCCCGCCTTTCCCGCCTTTCCCCTCTTTCGCGCCTTTCCCCTTACGCACAGGTGCCTTGCTGGCTACCTCTTCCCAGGGTGTCTGCATGGCCCTGGCGGCGGGGCAAGCACAGAAACCTTGGTCCAACTGCTCCATGGCCTGCATCTCACGTGGTGTAAGCCCTGGCCCACGGAGTGCTGCAATGTTGCCCAGGATGCGCTGTGGCTTCACGGACTTGGGGATGACGATGAAACCCTTCTGGAAGGCCCAGCGGATGCAGAGCGCGGCTTCGGAGCAGGCCTTCTCTTGCGCCTCAGCTCTCGCTGCCGTCGTGACGCGGTGCGGCGGTGGGGGCCCTACTGAGAAGCTCAGGGAGGGGCGAGCTCGGCCAAAGGCGTAGCACCGAAGAGGCTGCCACGGGCCAGCGGCGAGTAAGCCATCAACGCGATGCCTAACTCGTTGCAAAGGCTTTCCGTCTCCCGCTGTTGCCAGAAACAGTGCAGCTCGATCTGGTTGACCTGATGCATGGGATCAACGCTGAGATCTAGTTCACGAGTTTCAGCCCGGTGGGATCCCTGCCCCCGTGCCGGCCCGTGCCTCCGGAAGTTCCCTGCCTGCCTGCTGAAGCGACATCAGCTGCTGGGCTCCGAAGTTGGACACGCCGACAGCACGTGTCAGGCCAGCGTTGCGCAAGTCGATCAGGGAATCCCAAGTCTCTAGCAAAAAGCCACCCCGAGGGCTATGAATCAGAAAAAGATCAACGTAGTCCAGCTGCAGCCGTGACAGAGAAGTTTTCAAAGCGGCAGCTGCGTGGCTGGCGCCATGCTCTCGGCTGCTAAGCTTCGTCACGATGAAGACGTCGTTCCTCTTGAGCTGTGCCTCTCGTAAAGCCTGACCCACGTCGACCTCATTACCATAGGCCTGGGCTGTGTCAATGAGCCGGTAGCCGGCCCTCAATGCTTCGGCTACCGCTCTTTTGCATTCCCCACCACGCTGTGATTGCCAGGTGCCTAGGCCAAAACGAGGCATCCGAATCCCAGATCTCAGCTGTAACGTTGCATCGCTGTTTCGAACCTCCTCGCGAGGCACCTCCCACGTCTCGGGCGACTTGCGCGCAGGTTGCCATGCTTGCGGCGCTTGCGGTGCTTGGCCACCCTGGGCACCTCTCCAGCCGCTGCGTCCGCCTCGCGCGCCTTGATTCGCTGTCTCCATCCCCTCTGAAGCCTGATGCACGGCCTGCACGGCAGTCTCGCCACTGGCTTCGGCTTCGTGGCCTCCTTCAGCACGCCTGTGCCGCGACCAGCGGTTCCCTACAGGCACCATGTCCGGCATGAGGGCGGATCACAGGCTCCGAGCTTGCCTCTCAAAATTGCCAAATTGCTTCAGTAAGCTTGCGACTGCATGGTTCGACTATCACAGTTGGGAAGCTTTCAGAGTGCAAGCTATACTTCGGCAGAGGACGCTGTGCGAATAGCCAAGGGTCCATGAAGCTTTGCAGTGTGCGACAAGTCAAGGCATGACAAGGCATCGCTGTTGCTGTAGACATTTTCAGCGAGCTTTCTGAAGTCCCCTACAGGATCACACGAACTTTTACAAGCAAAGGGGTTCTTCTTAATGGATATATATATATATATATATATATGTATATCAGCAGGCTAAACCGTATGCGAGCGCAGAATGGTGCTGGTTGCAGGGTGTGATTTACAAATTGACACCTCGAGAATGCAGATTGTGGCATTAACCTGCCATGCAGCCTGAAGCCTTCAACATAATCAAGACTCACGTATACCTTACACACTTGCGCACTAAGACGAAGACGGGGGATAGCAAGAATTACAAAAAAAACAACGACAGCAGCAGTAGTAGTAGCAAAAAAGTCGTTCCGTGTGTCGTGATTGTATTGTTGGTATAGGGTTAACCACTGGTAAACGGCTGATGTTCTTGAAGAATCCAACAAATGCGATCTAATGAACCGTGCCAATTGGTCAACAATGCTAGTTAGACTGTTTCTTCGAGTTGCGAAGTCTCAAACATACTCGAACTGAGGCTAGCAATGTGGTCGTGATGGATATGGGCAGCAGCCCATCTCAGTCTTCATCCTCCACGCCTGGCCAGCAAAAAAATACTTCTTGAATCACGGTGGAACACCAATTATGATGACTTCCGAGGATGCCACGGTCGAGAACAGGAATCCACTTCGACGGTGCCCTGACGGGGATCTCCTGAGCTAAAGCAGCAGACTTTGAAGCAACATGCCAAAAGAAAGGAGTTCTGCATCCTGAAAGCGCCATGAAAACAGTTCCCGGTGGTCCTAATTTCTCAGGAGCCCGCGTTCCCAGTGGACTTGTTGTACCGCACTTTCTTCACAATCTCTGTGCCGTCCTGCGAAAAGTCCGAACGTGCGGAGGGGCAGGGAAAAGAAAGACGACTGCATCGATATGAACTAGATTAAGCACGATGACTGTAGCCGCATTGAGCTGTCTGTGGATCTGCTACGTCACAAGCGGGGTCCTTGAGGGGTTTCTTTTTGAATCGCACACCCAGCAAGCCAGCTACCTCCTCGTCTTCGTCATAGTGCATGACCTGAGTAAATCCAGCGTGACAACGGAGAGACAGCTCCTGCAAGTATGAACACATGCTCAGAACAGTGCCCATGACGAGTGCATAGGGGCTTCGACCTGCACTGAAGACTCAGTGCACAGTGGCACAACTCAATTCAAGTCTCGCTACGCAAGAAGGCTTCAGCACTAGCCTCATTCTGGTTGGTTGTTTCAGCATGGCTTCACGTCGTCCGTTGCTACGTGCAAGCGGAAACTTGCATCCAAGGCAGCAAAACCAAGCAGAGCGAAGACCCCACAGGAGCTAGCAGCAGCATGCCGTAGGCTGCAAGTGGTGGTCTTGGTTTGGGCCGGAACTTGAACTAGTAACAAGTGACTCGACCTTGCCTCATAAAGTGGAATCCAATAGAAAACCTCTTAATTTACAAAGCTCAGCTCCACCTGTACGCGCTGGCCCACTTCATCTTCGCGCTGCGGCCTGCAAATCATGTACTGCCGCGGAAGAGCATAGAGCCGAGAGGTTGGGAGATCCAAACCTTGTCTTACTTCTGCTCTCGGCATCCGGGTGCTCAGCTGTCTGCAGCATGTACACACATTCCTTCCTTCCTTTCTTCCTTCGTTCGTGCGTTCTTGCATTATTGCGTTCTTGCGTCCGCTCAGCTAACCATTCTTTTATTCATTCCTTCCTTCCTTCGTTCCTTCATTCACTCGTTCAGTCATTCCTACAAAACTCATGACTCATATAGTACATACATACATACATACATACATACTGCACACATATGTACACACATGCCATGCGCTGTCGACAAACAGACAGCTAGATGGATGGATAGATAGATAGATAGTCAGATATAGATACATAGATACATCGATACGTAGGTACACAGACACGCAGATACACACATAGATACGTATGTGGATACATACATACATACTACGACATACATACATACCTACATACATACGTTCCTGAAGGGCATACATACATGCATACGTACACACAAACATATGTACGTACGTACAAACCTACATACATACATACATACATACATACATACGTACATACATACAGACATACACACACGTACACTTGTGCGCGCATGTGCGTAGGAAAATTGCAAATAAAGAAGTGCTTGCGCGCTCTCAAGACCGGCAGGCCAAGCCTCACATGCTTGATGCAATAGTTGACGCCCAGACAGAGGATCTTGTTCCACTTGGGGTAGATTCTCAGCACTTCGGTCACCTGCGAGCATCTCTTGCGAGTACTTCCAGGTGCTGCCTGAACCAATCGATCCCTCGGGCAGTCCACGTTCTGGCCTTACCCGCGTCCTTGCCCTTCATGACCTGGACGGTGTCGCCCGGCATGACCTGAGCGACGTCACAATGCCGAAGTCAGATTACGCACCTATTTTGAGTGCCAGTTGTGGCAGATTACGGCATTCGGAACTTTCAGATCACAGGCTGCCGTGCAGTGGCTACGAGCTCTTGCGAGCTTTCGGGACTTTGGCGGTATGGGCAAAGCCCGTCGCAACCATGATAATCAAGTTGCAGTGATGCCGTTATGATAGTTGCGACGATACCCTCGATTCGTGGGTAGGGGAAGCGGGTGGCTTCTGCAAACAGCATGGCTTGGCTGCAGCTATGAAGTGAGAGGGGTTGGCCAGCACCGTCGCCCCATGCGAACACGTCTAATCTGCAGCAGAATTGCTGCAAACGACTCATATCTGCAGATGTAATGGGGAAGGAAGGTAGAAGGTAACAGCAAACATGGAATAGCTATAAGACTCAGCTTTAAGGCTACTAGCTCCAACACTAGCAAAAGCAACAGCAAGGACAACACGCCAGTAAAATCAAGCCTTCTGAACAGAGTTATGATCCTCCACGGGCAACAAGTAAGTGTGGCAAGCAACGAGCGAAAAGAAATATCATGATGATACATGTCGCAGCACTAAGGTTTCCACGGATCAGGGCACAACAAACAAGACCACCCCAACAATAACGCAATCGGTATCAACAAGACGCATAGCGCGGAAGAAACGACAAAGGTTTGGGGAAGTCCTTCTAAGGTCAGGTGATGCGAGGCGCTCGGGGCACCAGCTGGCGCCAAACACAGAACACAAAAAGCAGAAAGACTGGCACCCGCAGGCGAAGACCCGACTGATCCACTGGACGAATTGCTGGGGTCCGGTCGTGCATCTTGTACCGCACAGGCTTGTTGGTCTTGGGGTTAACCCGAACGGCAAGCTGCCTGCCTTTGTAGATGGGCCTGGCTCGGTAAAGAAGTCGCGACTGCGAAGGAACAAGCCAAAAAGGTCTCGCCCTGTCAAGTCTAGAAGGACCACCTCATCCTTCCTGCCCGGATCCGTCGCTTGTTCTTGGGGCTGCCAGCCTCATTCGATGCGATTGCCCACAACTGCCAAACACCAAGAGTCAAGACTCCAAACGTTACGTTAGCTTGCTGGGCTGCCAAGCCGGGGTGGTGGGTCTGGCTGACCTGCACCCAGGCAGTCGTAACGCTGTTGCCGGAAGCAGAAGCAGTCCAGAAGAGCTGCCTGGCATGCATGACCACCCGCGGGCCAGGCGACTGGCTCTTGCTAGGCGCACGATGCCTCCAGGATGGTCAACGACTATCCCTCCGCAGAGCTTGCTTCTTCACCCCTTCGCCAAGGTCATCCCATCCTGGTCTGTGCCAGCAGCACGGCAGCAGCGGCCAGCGACCCCGCCCAGGCAAAGGAGCGGCTGACGCTGAGAGCGGCTGACGCCTCGTAGGAAGCCTTAAGACTGACAGAGGACTGCGCGCCTGCGATCGGGACGGGGCACCGGGGCTCGCGGGCTGCATAGACTCGGTCCCAGGCTCCAGTTCGCAGTGGTGCTTGACTTGGCTGAACAGCTGGCATACCTGCAACTAGCTGGGCTCCTACCGCAAAACTACGGCGAATCCTTGAACGCAAGCCTCGGCTAGATATCTGGAATCCCGTGGACACGAAGTTTGGCTCAGACCTTCACGTTCCACTACTTCCAACTTCGAGAGGCTGCGACCAAAAAACGGAAAAGTGGAAACTCTGCCTCCCAAACGTCCAGGACCAGCCTCGGCTGAAGTTCGGCTTTGGCCCGTGCACGAGTCCCCTTCAGACGAATATCTGAGGCCACTGCAAAGCAGCGCCACAGCAGCCAGGAAGGCCTGGGAGCACGCAGAAGGATGCTTGCCATAGGTAGGCGAAATCGAGACCCGGGCTGCTCCTGGCTGCCTGCCAAATCTCGGATATATTGTTGTATTGTTTGTTATGTTGTTGTTCGGACTCTCACTAGAAGTAGAAGCAAGCACAAGTCAAGCACAGCACCTCGACTTTCCCAGCATTGATCCTCGAAATGGCAAGTTCTCTGAGGCTGAACTGCTCCTTCGGCTCCTACTTGTATCAGCAATCCCCACACAGGCCTGGTAGGGGCATGGCGGCTGAAGCGCGCCCCCAAATGCCAACCGGCATGCTCTGCGCTGCGAGGAATCGCAGCTGCGGAATATGTTTCCCTACACTCCTACACATCTGATTGAAGACCGTGGCAACGTGGCAAGAGCAGATCACGCAAGCACGCAAATCCTTGTTCCATAATAGGAAACTCAAATCAAACACTTGACTAAACGTCACTAAACCACGTGATGAGCATGCTTGGCATGCTCCTCTCGGGCATTCTCTTCTCGAAACCTAACCGCCTGGGCTGCCTGGCTGCATGCTTTCCTTCCCTTGCTTCCGAAAAGCGCCTTAAGCAGGTCGCCCAGACGAGGCAACGTGCCGTCGAGGCATTCACTATGACTAAGAACCTAGATGCTTGATACTGCTAGCCCTAGCTAGGCACATCAGACTCCGTTTCGTGCAGTTCTGCAGCGTGACAGAGCCCCGAGTGCCTTTCCATGCAAAAAAATACCACACCGTACACCATTGGCCATGTGGGAAAATCCAGCATGGCAAGCGAATGCCAGCTCGTCAGGATTGTCTCCAACTCCCCATCGGAGACAACGGCGTGGTGCATCTCGCACGCAATGCGTAGTCAACATCTGCATCGACCACCTGGCCATCAGAGCTGCGCACAAAATTAAAATCTTGAGCGCAAACACAATCTGCACGAGTTTGCTCGGCAGATCACCTCCACATCCTGACGTGGAAGGTCACAGTGTCTCTGAATGGACGACTCCGGGTGCGGTCCTTGGATGAGCTTGGGAACTAAGTACTCGAGCACGCATCTGTAGCAAAGACGCATTCCGGCAACGGTGCCCAGTGAACCGCCCGACTCTCAACACCGAGCACATCTGTGGCAAGTGGCCAGACACGTTCCTCGAGCAGAAACCATCCTTTGCTTTCCTGCAGTGCTTTGAACCTTGGCTGCACTGCTGCACTCTATGCCTGGGCACGTTTGCCGAACAGGTTTGGTTCAATTTGCTTCTGGCTCGCAGATATACTTCTGGCTTTCTTTCACGCACCGATTGTAAAGCGCCCCTTGGCTGCGACGCGACACCCGCGCAGGGAAGTCACGAATTCACTGCACTAGAACAAAGCCTTGGAGGCTGGCTTCGAGCTCCCAAGGCGAGGAGAAGGCCAGCTTCTGTGGCCCAATGCCCTGCTGTCTCGAGAATGATTAAATTGCTCCGCTTCACCGCTTCTCGTGCCCAAGTTTCGGGGAGATCCTCGAAACTCAAACTAGGCGCCAGCAGCTGGGAAGAGACCACTTGCCTGAGATCAGGGTTTGCTTTGCTTGAGTGATGCCATCTCGAGTCGCTGTCATTTTCGGCTGCAAGCTCTCACACCAACACACTTATAATCGCCTCATGCTTCCAGCTCCACCCCTTAAGACTTCGATCGAGTAGCTCTGCCGAACAGGCCGTGTTGCTTGTTTGCCTCGGAGCCAGCGCAGGCGGCTAACAAGTCTAGTTTGATGTGTGGCCGAACCCCAGGTCTATCTTGGCGGCTGTCTCCGTTGTGGATGATGGTCTACAGAGCACGGTGCAGGGCGAGCTTGGGTGTTGTGGTGGAGCTGTGTGGGTGGTAGGTGGGTAGGGGGATAGGTGTGTAGGTGAGTAGGTTAGTAGGTGAGTAGGTTAGATTGGGTTAGTAGGTGAGTCGGTAGGTGAGTGGGTGAGTAGGTGAGTGGGTAGGTGGGCGTTCGGTGAGTGAGTTCATTGGTGTGGGTGTCCGAGTAGCGTGTAATGAGGGGATGGGGACATGTGGGGGCCTGGCTCTTTTTCGTGGAGCATGGGCGCGTTTCGTGGTGGTCTGGCAGCGCGCATCTCTCCGGTCTCTCCTCTCTCTTTGACCAGCCGCTAGCCTTCGCAGTGGCACGGAGGTAGTCTTCAAGCTGCCCGACGCGTTGCCGGAAAGCCGGGAAGAAGCCTGAGCATTTTCTTCGCCATTGCGGAGGCGAGTCGATGATGGTGGTGGCGACCATGATGGTGAGCATGATGATGATGACATGATGAGATGATGGTCGTGGTGGTGCCGATCAGGAAGAGGCGGAGGAAGCGGGGGATCAGGAGGAGGATGTCGCTGCGGCTGCTTGACTTGTTGGACTGGCAAGCACAAAATACCGTTTGATCATGTTCGTCGTGCACCGCTGCTGTTCTGATGGTGAGATTAAGGCCACTCTGCCTGTCCAGACGGCGAGTCAGGTGCACACGGAGCCTACTGTGACCCACCGGGAAGCTATCGGCTTGCTTCTGGACCTTGCCAAAGGTCGCGAAGACCTGGCCACAGCGAAACTTGGGGGGCTTCGCAGTCCTAAGCATCCGCCACCCGCCAGCCTCGGCCGGAATCCCTTTGCCCTGCTTGTCGAGCCATGTGTTGCAACTTCTCTCGACATCTGCCGTGACGCTGCCGACCAAGGCCATCAGCCGCGGGGCTCGCGTGAAGTAGAGGCCTTCCGCAGCAAACAAACTTTAGGCCCTTTATATAGGGCCGCAGAAGGTAGCAAGCTGGAAGATTCAGCTTTGGATGTTTTAGGGGATTTCGATTCCCAGACCACCCTTCGAACGGAATGTCCTGCCTGCCAAGAGCTCCACCCAAGCCAAAATCAGCTGGACCAGCCATGGCCTAGGGCGGCTACCAAGTGGAAAGGACGCCAGTCAGTTCAGCACGAGAGGCTGAACTGTGCCGTGGGGCAAGAAGACCACCAAAGCTTTGCCTGCCACGGAGAGCACTGCGACCTTGGCTGAAACGTGCCCGTGACAGCCAGCGGAAGCTTCGCGTCCCAAAGGGTGGCTTGGGAAGCCCTCGATGCCAAGAGATTCACACAAAAAAGACTCGGTGATAGCTAGAAACACCGTCATACACCGTCGAAACCGAGGCGAGAAGTTGGCGGAGGCCTTGAACCCCTGTCAAGCTGACAGAACTCGCCGCGAACAGGCTTCAGCCTCTCTTGTCGACAAGAGGGGAGACTGGAAAGAGTTGCCATCAGCACCTTCAGCATTGATGTGCTGCACAAGCTGCTTCTGGCGTCTGTGCTTGATCATCCTCCCGCCAGATTGCAAATTGATGCTCGTGACATGTCATGACACCACGAAGCTGCGACACTGCAAGTCTCCTGCATGGAAAAGCTCACGTCCGGGAACCGCTCCTGGAGAATCCAAGAGAGGATTCTCAGAGCTCCGCGTGTCTCGAAGGCCTTGGCTGGGCCCCGGCCTCCAAATTCTTGAGCATCGGGTCGCCTTGGAGACGACGCCCAATGGGGCCCAGGTCCCAATCCTCGGCACATGCTTTCGAGGCTGCTCTTGCACCTCCCAAAGATTCTGCGGTGATCTCGTTCCGACCTTTTGATCGTGGCTTCTGGCAAAGCTTCCAGCGATTTGTCAGGTGAGGGAGGTGCCGGCGCCGCTGATGCCAAGGCAGAGGCCAAGTCCGTGGCAAGGATCTCGAGCAAAGCAGAGAAAAAGAGGAGAGGCCACTGCACTGCTAAGCTCAGAGCCTGCCTGGGAGCAGATGAGGCCCGAAAGGTTCACCAGCAAAAAGAGGATCAGCGGCACCTGCACCTGCAAACGGAGGGGCTGCTTTGGGTGCTTGCAGCCGCAGAGAGGTTACGGTAGCAGCTCGGCCGCTGGGGCGCGGCAGCTCACTACGGTATCCTGCCAAGGAACCAACCAGCAGTCGAAGGCAGATCTTCGCGTTACGAGGCTGCCAAGACGGTGCTTCCTTGGAAAAGATTTCGCAGTGGGTGGAGAACACGTCTCTCGCCCAAGGGCAGCTGAGGAAACAATCGACACCGTCTACGCACTGGCAGGAGCAAGTGTCTGAATTTGCTCTTCCACCTGGTCGGGCAAAGCTGCCTGGTCAGTAGTCGGACTTTTGCAGGCTGTAGAACGCCTGGCACATGGAAACATGCCCACCTTGGCTTCCTCCAAGAAGTTGCTGATCCGTCCGGCGCCTTGTCATGGGCTAATGCGCTGTTGCAGACCAACGCCCTCTCATCCCCTTCTCCGAGCACGCTGCACTCGACGATGGGCTCGCGCATGCCACGGGTAGATGGCACATCGAAGTCCGGCACTCTTTCCTTCACGTCTTTCTCGTATTCCTGGCTCAGCTTGAGACAGATGGCGTCACGGCAGCCAATCTGATAGCAGTCACATCCTGCATGCGCTTGACCATCATGGCTTGCTCCATCTCCACCATGTCCACTGCTGACTCTAGCTTTTCGATCGGCTCGACCAACTTGCTGCCGTAGCAGTCCACTGGTTCATCCAGTGATGACAGGAGCCTGCCTTGCATGAGGCCCAAAAATGAAACCGTTAAACCGTCACGAGAGGCCACGAGACCTACTGCACTTACTGCCAACGCAGCTGCCGACAGCACCGTTCAGCGCAAGGAAGATCCAAGATAATTGGTGCGTCCATGCATAGGCTAGAGCAACGAAGTTGAGAAGCCTCAGTCATGTCATGACTGGTGTCTGCTGCAGAAGCTTGTGAACGGCATGGCTATGACTCTTGTCTGCATATCGCGGGCATGGAGCAAGCTGAAGATCGCGGCCATCAGGCTGGCGACATTTGTGTCGATGGGGCCTCGACAATGCCGGCGCCAGGAGTCTTCAGGCACTGACCTGATTGCAGCCCGGGTACTGATTGATAACAGGCCGGTAATGACGAAGGCCATCACCGCCGCGGCTGCTGTATGCCGGATCATGGCATTCCGGGAGGGATCGGCCTCCATCTCCAGGCCCTGCCAGGGCGGTCCCTCTGCTCGTGTGATGTGCTTGGTTGCCAGCGCCTGTGTTCCACAGCTTGCGGCCTCGAGAGACTGCGTGGCGTCTCCTTGGCACCAGAGGAGCGGCACGCGCATGCTGCGCGATCGACTTGCCACTTGACCCCGTAACATCCTATAAAACTTGGCAAGGGGCCGGCGGCCATTCCATCCTCAAGGTCGACCATGCTCCCACTTCTCTCGTCTGTTGTTTGCCTCTTTATTCACAAGCTTGCTTGACGTAGCTTCCGACATTGTGTGCACCGCTCGTAGCCTCTCATTGATGGAAAGAAGGCTGCTCGTCCGTGCTTGCCGCATCTGCAGGTATCTCAGATGAACCGCAAGGACGCAGTACGACGCAGTAGCAGTACCATGCTGTCAGCTTGATTCCACACTCGCAGGGTCCCGGCAGATCTTCGCCCCGGAGGTTGCGCACCTCGTTCAGGACTTCCTTCATGGCAAGCCGGCGATTCGAGGATTACAAATTTCAAAGTGAGACACAAGTAAAACTCAAGCTGAACCTGATCTGGGTGCCTTACGAGATTCTAGAAAGAACCCATGTGCACGAAAAGCCCCGTCAACTTGTCCCCCCGTCCTGAAATCGTCCAGGCTCCAATCGCGGCAGGCGAAAGCGCACCTTTGGCACGTTGACGTGGAGGAGCTCGTTCATTCTCTCTTCCTTGGAGCTCAAATCCATAAGACGACCAGACATTGATAGGTCGGATAGGCGACCACCGCCAAACAGGGACTTGAAGCCAAGGCTGGGTCTTCGTTTGGGGGAGAGAGGGCTTGGGCCTGGGGGCGGTTACACTCCTGGTCACATTGCTCATGCCATTGCAGCGAGCTCGAGTCAAATCAAGGTCGCCCCGTCGCCCCGACAACTTAGCGCGGATTCCTAGCCTCAGCTACAGTCCCAGGGCCGGAAAGCTATCCTTTGCGGTTGAGCTTCGGCCTCGCCCAACTTCGGCTGGCAAACCTCGCAAAGCTTGCCCAAGCACTCGCGCGCACAGGTTTTGTACCAGGAAGGAATTGTTCTTTTCTGCCACTCCCAACCACAAGCCAGACGGATCCTACGATGATCCCAGCACCTCGACTTCCTCCAGTGCGCGTGCAAGCCGCGCATCAGCCTGGCTATTCCTGTCCATGCTTGGCTTGGCGACCGGTGAAAAGCAACACTGAGTAGGAGAGCAATCACTGCCTCACCACCAGGCACTTCGCTCCAGCAGCGTCAGCCCGGCACAGAGATGGCACGGCTTTGAGGAGCGTGCTCATGGCTCCAGGGCTCCAGCTCGCAAAGGATTCAAGAGTTCTGACTCGTGAAGTGCTACTTTGAGTCTTTGTTTATGGGAGCCGTCGGAGCGACCAAGCCGAAAAACGGCTTTCACTGCACCATGAAATCCAACGCATGCGTCAGCATGCACCCAACGGCATGTGAGGCTGGTCCTTCGACGAAACCTCCACCGTCCCACAACAGCTGACAGGCATGGTTCGCAGAAGTTCGGCCCGCAACATCTCTGAAGCGTGAACTTCGTCGCCCACCTTGGAAAGAACGTGTGACAGGACAGAGCGAAGCGGCTCTCCTGTCGTACGCTGTCAGACTCAGGAGACCGCATTCTTGTCTGGATGCCATCCTCTGCGACAAGCAAAAAAATCTGCTCGCCTAAACTCGCTTCGATGTCCGGTCATCATTGCCATATGTGGACAAGTTGCGTAACTGCAGCTCTTTGAAGAGTTTCTTCCTGTCTGCACTTGCAGTCACACCTCGCAAGGCTCGTTCTTTATGGAACAGAAGCAAACAGACATACACCGCCAGCACTGTCAAGCCGTGAGGAACTCCGAGGACGTCACGTCTGACGTGTCTCAGGTGCTGGACCTCAGGTCACCGTGTCTGGCATGTAGTCTTATCCCTCACTGGCCCAACACCCAAGGAAATAAAAGTTGAAACTTTCAGAATCGACTACCTTATAAGAACCCCAAAAGTTGAAAAGTTGAGCTTACAGCCAATAAGATCCTTATAGCTCACAACGCTTCACCAAACACGAAGCTCCACATTTTCCCACGACGGCTGCCGTTTCAAGCTCCACTACATCGACTCTTGGTGCTGATGATGAAGAAGATGAAGATCGTGGTGGCGGTGGTGATGTTTGTCGCAGTGATGAGTCATGGTGATTCAAGGTCTGCTTTGCAAGGGCAGCTGCAGCCCGCTGCGTCTCCGGGATCCTCGCAGTGTCGCCCTCTGAAAGCTTCGGGTCGGCGGACTTCTGTGGCTTAGCGCCTCAAGCCTTCACCATGTTTCAGGTCCACCTCATGTCTTCACAGGACCAATCCGCTCTGCACTGGACTGCGGCATGCTTCCTCTTGTGAACGTCCTTCCATGCCCTTCCGGTTCTTGTCTCTACCCTGTTGCATCTTGCAGCGGCAGTGTAGATGCAAAGACCCTCTGCATAAAGTCACCTAAGTATAAGATTGGCGTAGACTCAAGTCTCGCATGCTGCTCTCTGCAACTCTTCGCTTGCTGAGGAGCTTGTAGGGGCCCCCTGGTAGCAGTGGAAGGCGAAGCCCAGCGAGACCAGCCGCTCATAAAAACCGAGGTGTGCCAAATGGTAAACGGGCGTCCCCCATCCACTGCGCAAGTCGCCTCCTGAGCCGGTCGCTACAGGGACCCCTGGACTTTTCTGCGGGGAAGCCCAGCGTCCTTGGTCAGAGGTCTCCAGAAGGCAGCAGGCGGCCTCGATCATCATGGCGGCGGTGCCCTCGTACCTGACCGCGATACGTCAGGGCCCCGCCTCGAAAGCGCACCAAAAAAGGATGTTCAGCGGCCGGGGAGCCGGTCCCCCACACCGCCGGGCCCTGAGCCAAAAGGTCGCGTCTGCTCGACGGCTTTCAGTGAGGTTCACTGGCGGTTCACCGGCCTGCGTTCATGACGATGTGCATCTTCTCCTCATTGGCCGCGTCGGCGATGCCCACGAAAACCTGCTCAATGGCAGCACTTACAGAAAGTGCCGAGAGCAAAGTATAGCCAAGCTCGACAGTCGTCAACACTTGCAGGGGGGAAGGCCCATTAAAGCTCTTGCATAAGGCCTTGGTGACGAAAGTCTCCTGTCGAATTCTCTCCTGCACTTCCGTGCTGGTGCGAAGATGTTCTCTGGTGACGGGTTTGCAGAGAGGCCTTGGGACCCCAGCCAGGGGGTGGAATCTTCTTCGCTTCCACCATGAGGCTGTGACCAAGACCGCCGCCCAGGCTGACACCGATCCTTACCGCAAGCCCCGAAACAGCCCAGCAAACGTGGCAATGCTCCCAATCAGGTCTCGTCTCTGAAACTTGTTGGAAGCTAGAGTGCTAGATAGTGCTAGAGTGCAGCGAAGCCTCCCCGAGAGTCGGGAGGCCTGAGCACTTTCTTGCTTCGTCATCCTGAGCGCGCCGGACCGGGGAGGCACCGATGGGCACCGAGCAAGCACAGCTGAGCCTGAGGGCCACACTCCTCTGGCCGCTTGTCCACAACCAGAAACCAATCCTCAAACGAAGCAGACAAGTTGGCCCCTCAAATCGACATGCCTCCTGTCCTTGAAGAGGAAGTTCTCGCCATATGGCTCCACGGCATCCATTAAGCCGCAAGTCCCCCGGACCTTCACAGCACTGGAGCATCCTGCCAAGACCTGCCAACTGAAATCCGTCTCCTGCCGCCAAGGTGCCACCTGGCGGTCCACGTTCAATCCAGGATATGCGATCATGAACGAGTTCCTAAGCCATCTCAGCTCTCGGACGAAGGCACCCCCTATCGACCGGCTGCTGCCGTTACCGAGGGTCTCATCTTTGTGGGGCGGATCCGCGCGATCTTCCGTCCGCACACCACAGGACCGCATCCCCCCAAGCACAAAGGGAGCTCCGGCTGCGTGCAAGTCCTGGGAGCTCCAAAACGGCACTCTGACAAACGCAAAAGCATGCTTTCGCTGCAAGTGCTGTCCTTGAAGGTCGTCTTCGTTCCAGTGAGCAGACTCGTGCCACTCATCACAAACCCTGGACTCAGCTCCACGCATGATCTCGAGAAGCTGAGACTCTCCGGCCTTGGGTATATGTGTAAACATCCACCTTCTTCGTGTCAGCTCCCGTCTCTTCCTTGATTCCGCGCACCAAGCGCCAGACCTCAAATCCCTTCTGCATGTCAGACTTGAACACTGAGACAGAAGGTTTCATCGCAGGTGATCTCCATGCAGCCATGCTTCTCCAAAGTCTGTAGGGACAGAGACGTAGCCAGCATGAAGAAGGAGACATACTCCAGCTGCCTCTCGACAGTTGCCGCTCCACCTTGTTACTAATCACGCAGGTCGAGCAATTTGGCCTGGGCCGCGCCATGCAATTTGTCCTGAACATCGTCCAAGCTAACTCCATTTAGAAGGATGGTCGTTTCAGAAGCATGCTCTGCCTGAGCCGCCAACTTTGACCTCCTTCGAGAAGAGTATATCGCCCGTATTATCCTTACGGCACGGAGCAAAACCACGGCTTCTGCAAGCAAAATCCGACTGGAATGCGTCTGGAAGTCTATCAGGTGCGTGCCAGTCTTGACACAGGCCTGCATCACCCAAGCTTTGCATCGAAATCATACTGCATGGGGGCCCGACGATGCTAAAATCGAAAGCACACCTCAGCCACAGCCACCCCGATGTCGTGGGACGGTCCAGTGCAGTCCAAGACCACGCGCGCAGTCCCCACCACACGCTCCAAGTCCTTCAGCTGCTCTCAGCAAGCAGAAGAACTGCCATTCAACCTCCCCACCGATGCGGGCTGCAACAAAGCGTCGTGGCGACTCTCGACACGAAGGGAGCACCGGAAGCAGCCCTGCCCAAACTTGTGCTCCAGCATCCTTTCTGAGCGCGGTAGCTGCAGTCCATCGCAACATGACGCGGGCACATCCTGCGAGATTCTCAGCCACGAGGCTGCAAGCGGCGTCCGCTGCGGCCTGCGATGGCCCAAGAGCGGCCTCTCATCTGTCGCCGCATCACCTCGTCTCGCGCAACGAGTGCTCGGTCTTGTTGAACTCGTAATCGAAGCTTCAACAGCTTAACAATTACTCATTTACCAGTTCAACCTCTCGATTGGCATACTCTACACCATGTCTGCCCCGGAGCCATGCAGGCCAGAGTGCCCGTGATACCTCGCGTGCACCGAAAGTCTCATGCTATCTCATAACTGCGCATGGGCATCCTCGAGCTCTACTTGGCACCTGTGGCTCCCAAGATGAGGATGTCAATTCTTGGATCTGGTAGTCCAGCCGGGACGGAGGGCGGTGCCGGCAGATCCGGGTCCGGTTCGATTTCTCCGAAAATCTCGTCCCAATCTGACCTGGCCGGGCTCTTCTGCTTCAGTGATTCAGGTCGCCCCATGCAGCAAGTGCTACAGCTGCCAACACCTGAGGTCCCAGCCACCAGGCAACATTGACCGTCGGGGTCAAGAAACCGTGCGCCTCGTTGAAGGCTCGACGTTGGTACGGATCGAGCAAGAAGTCTTTCGCTTGTGTCAGCTGCAGGAACCTGGAAAAGGCCGAGCTCTTACCACATTTGGCCTCGCAGAAATCTCAGAAATCCTTTGAATCGTGCATGCTCAGAACGGACAGTCCCTGGCTCATTTGTAAACTATGACCACCGCTTAAGCGGTGGTGTAGCAGCCCTCATTATTCACGTTCACTAGTGCAGCCCTTCCCCACCTGTTCCTCTTTCACTGTAAATTTTACTGTGACAGGCTTAAAAGAAAAACAGAGAGGGGAGGAAGAGAAAGGGAGAGAGACGTAGATTGGCAAGCAGCCTTGCGGAGAGAAGTGGACAATGAGCTTCTGCGCTCGGTGTGCCGTGATATTACACCCTAGCCCCAATCCTGCCTGCTTGCCGCGGCCAAGTCTCCTTCGAGGGCCGGACTGCAATCAGTTACATGTTGTAGGGTGCTGTCATGGCATATCATGGGATGTCACAGGCTTCTCCTGGGCAGCGATCAGGATGTACCCTGAGTGAGAGCTTGCGGAAGGTCGACTTGATAGTGGCATCGGTTGCATCGTACGGAATGCCGAAAAGCTGATATGGATCGGTTCTGTATGCGTCGAATTCCTGCAAGTCGGCCAGCCACTGACCTGCATCGGTATCGCCGCCTCCGCTGTGTTCCCGAAAGTCCCGGCCCTTCGTCGTCGATACGAGATCCTCACACGCTGCCGTTGAGGCATCGGAGAAAGATGGGCAGATCAGCGGAACGTCCAAGTCTGCAAGTAGCCGGAATAGTTCCAGCTCGGTAGCCTTAGAGCCGGGAAGTACCAGAGCAGGGAAGAGCTTCCATCCCAAGCTCAGCGCAGAAAAGCGGACCGATACTAAGCTAAGCTTTGAAAGGAGCTGGGGTGCAATCCTCCGATATTCCGGCTGGGGGGGGGCAAGACCCTGCACTTGCTGCAATCCAGTGGCGGCTTTCATGGGCTTTATGTCATGCTGGAAACCTGTGGAGCGACGCCAGACATTTTGATCTTTGCACTCGAAGTCTGGCAAGGAAGTGTGTCCAAAAAGCACGAGGGGCATGCATCCTCCAATGCCTCCCTGCTGGGTAAGCAGACGCGCTGTGCTAAAGCACGACCCTTCAGCGAAATGCTGACCTGCAGGCTTCTTCGACTCGTGCGAAGGAACACTCCAAATCTCTCAGAGGTCCGCACCCAGCCCTCCTCCGGCCCGAAGCCGGCCAGCAGCCTGTAGCGCAAGCGTCCCGCTTGCAGCTGCAACTCCTTCACAGGCATGCCAAGGCCCCGCACTCACAATGGCCCGCAAGGGCACCCTTTTGCTTGGTTTGGCGCTTTGTTTGAAACGCCGCCGCTTGTAGTGCGAGAAAGCAAAGGCACAGTCTTAGCCGCCTTAGCCTCCTGGATTAGTCTCAACATGAGCAGCTCCTTATATGCACGCAGACACACCGTAGCATATCCCGGCATAAGATCCTCGATCAGGGCGCCGGTCGCCAGGCGTTGCTGCACCTGCATCATGGTGAGGACATCGCACTGCCAGCACGTCCGAAAGCCCGAAAACCTTGTGATCTGACAAGGTTGCCGGCTGGCCTCACAAGAATCCAGGATGCAGCCTTCGCGAACCAGGAGGCCACCCTTTCCATGGCCTCCGACCATTCGACTTTGCCGCGTCAGCTGCGCATGCCGGGGACTTAAGCCGTAAGCATTTTGGTCCTTCGGCGCCTCCGGTGACCTGCCAAAGTAACATCTGCGACGTCGGATCGGACCGGTGCCACCATGGCGGGGCGGCGAGAGAGAGGCAGCACAAGGCTTGCTTTCATCGTTATATCCCTACGGAGCAAAATCTGCCATCCTGAGGATGGCCGGACACTCCTACACTTCGCATCAGTCGCGTCTATATGCAAAAACTTGAATTGAACTCTTCGGGAGCCCTACAAGTACATGATTGAACATCCCTACGCCTCAATGGCTCAACCGGACGCATGGCAGACTCCAAAGTACGCTACTGGGAACGTGACAAACTCCTGTGCGTTGGTCTCCCGGTCCAAGGTGCCGTAGTCGACTTCCAAATGCGGAGCCGTGTCCGCTGGCGTGCCTCGATGCGCAGACCCTGTGCCAGCAAAGCCCAAACACTAAAGTCAGCCCGTCATCCTCCTTGCAGGCGGGGTGCAAGGGCGTTCGCCATGACAAGGGCCTGTCCAAGTTTTCTGTGGTGTCAGCTCTCAGATTCTGAAGATCTCCCTGAAGGGCCTGGAAGCGAGGTCGTAAAGCCACCTAGACCGCACCGCAGGGATCGCGCGGGGCACCGTGCGGCTGATCGGCAAACTTCGACGCTTCCTTAAGGCCTTCACGCTGCGAAGCCGGAGGTCTCGGCCGGAAGGGGACCTCCCACAGTCGCAAGAGGAGCTCACTAGTTCGGCATCTTTGTAGGTGCATCAATCATGCCTACAACAAGTACTCAGTGGCCACAATACTCCAATTCTGAATGCTGCGGCCACGGGCTTCAAATGCCAACTTGCACTCACCAGAGCATGCATTCGAAAGCTTTTGGTGTGCACAGGGCAGTCTGGGTTAAGAGCTGTGTGGCTCCCTTGTCTCTCTGAGAATGCGGGAGCCTCTCTGATCCGGGATCTATGCTAATGACACATGTAGATCTACGGTAATATGTGTATGTGACTGTGTGTATATATGATGTTGCCAAAACTACCCAAGCTTGATTGCCACAGGCCTAGGATCCCGAAGGCGGAGCCCCGACTCCGACGCGTGCCACCGTCGGTGGTGGCAATGCTTCCACTCTAAACTCCCTCGTGTAACGGTAACAGCAATGTCTCGTCTCATTTCGATCGAGACTGCTGCTTGAAGTCTTGCAGAAGGCTTCAAGCTCACGAGGCCATCTAGCTGGCTGCAAATCTCATGCAAGCCATGAAAGCTCTCGGACAGGTAAGACTGGCTTCAAAACCAAACAAGTGACAAGATCTTAAACTCCGATCCTGCTAAGCTATGTTTCTCAGGCGGAGCGCCCGCACCATTTCAGCCAACTGCAAGCTGAACTATCCGCGTAGATCTCCGGCTCACTTCGCCGCTGCCGGCGCTCCCGGCGCTCCAGCCGCAGCCTTCGTGCTCTTCCAGTTCCTGCAGACAAGCCGGAAGAACGAAGCGGGCATCTGTCATCTCATCTCCCAACAGCCCCAGGTTCTTCGATGCCTATACATCATGAAAGCAGCGCCCCAGATGATCGGATTCCCGGAGACCTGACACTCGGCACCAGGTCCCAAATATCCGATGTGCTGCGCGTGTAAGACTAAGAAGCGGGCCAGCAACAAGCCGCCACCTGCGATGTATCCCACCTGTGAAGGCAGGGTCTCTATGGTCATGATTCCTTTGGTCTTGCGGTCGTCGCAGTCGCAACTAAACAATCGGGGTTGCAACGACGGCGCCTACTGGCTACTGCAGTACCTTGGTAGTGAAGTGGTGTTGTGAAGTAGTCTGTTGCATGTACTTCATACCATGGCAATAGTCGTGGTAGCGGTCGTCGTCGGCATCGTGCTCTTGATCGTCGTCGATATCGTCGTCATCGCCGGCGGATCACAAGAACTAGAAACCCAGCAACAGCAGCTTCAGCATGGCTGCTGCTGGTCAAGACCACAAACCACCAAAAAGATCCAGAATGTCAGCTCAGCACGGGGCAGTCTGAAGCAGTGGGATGAAGTCCTTCCAGGTGACCGCCTCCACGTATGCACCAAGCTGGAAACCACCCTTCTTTCTCAAATTTCCTTTCTTCTTTTGAGACATGGAACTGGCAATGGCACATTACCAAGTGGTCATTGGAAAGACACCTTTGCTTCTTCCAGCTGCGCCGCCATGATGTGGGGAGCAAAGACGGCGACCTTAGGTCAGAACCCCTTGCTGCAGCAACCAGGATCGAAAGCTCAACCCGCTTGCACCTGTTTTGCTCGGATATGCTCGGTACGATTGAGCCCGGGCCCCTTCAGGGCACCAGTGTGCAAAGAAATGAACACTACCACATGCGCTCTTGCGCGAGGTTGGAGGTGTCACCCCGGTCGCTCGCGACACAGCTGCGAATTCAATCTATGGGCATTCTGTAGAGCCAGGACGAAGGTTCCAAAGGTAAGTTGTGTTCTGTAAACTGATGGTCTTAACGGCATTAGGAGGTCGCAAGGCTTCAGGCTTTCAACTATTCTTCGATCCTCGTCGCGCTGCACTCTGCAGCAGAGAGGAATCTGGGACGCGTGCTTTGTTTAAAGCAACTACGTATGGCATGCCACCCTATGTATCAAAGTGTCCGCCACTCGGGAAAACTATTTTGAGCAACATATATGGCTAAGGTTAGCGACACATCGGCAGCTCCCAAAGGGCGGAGCTTCCCTGTCTGCACTTTCCGTGCAGATACCTATGCAAGATCATTCTGCCCCAGCCCGCTCATGCAACTTGGCAAGAGTGGCTGACAAAGGCTGGCAAACTCCGAGGCTCCAAGCGGTCCTAGCGGATGAACCCAGGCAGAGCTGCAATCGCCCTGCTGGATAACGGGAACGGAACGGCACGAGAATCGCCATGCGTGTAGTCACTAGCTTTGCTGCATCGGACGTAGTTGAGTGCACAATAAACCCAGCTTGTTGGCTAGACAGTTTCCTGTGCCCGGAGACATCACAGCGCAACTGCATTATCTGCACTCAGGCGTGTGGCCCATGTCGATGGCTCGGCCAGAGACTGCTCAACTCAAAGCTGAAGCTGTAGTATCAGTAACTTGTGAAAGACTCCAAACCAACGTGCCATGCTTTGGGGCCATGCGTAAATGTAGCTTATTTGGCTTCGTGTGGTGGCAAGTGCACTCCGTGCACAGCCAAATGGAAAATGCGTCTCGCTACTCTTGCTTCTGATCATGGAACTCCGTTGAAGCAGGCGCAGCCACTCACACCCGGCTGTGCTTTGCCCTTGGTTCCACGAGTTGTTCAGGTCTGTGCCGTGGAGGCGGCGAGCAGCAACGCTGTGCGAGTGAGAAGGGCTGATTGCCATCGGTATTCTGTGAAGGGCCACGGACGATAGGCATCGCAGCCTCGACAGAGACAGCAGTTTCCAGGTGTCCAGGACCATTTGCATTCTGTCCCTGAGCCATTCTCTCCAAGTAGGACGCCGTCTCTCGCAAGCTCCTGATGTGCGCGTGCAGTGCAGCGCTGTCTCCTGAAAAAGGCAGGTAGACGGCCGCGGCGGCCGCCTCCGCCTTGCCCGTTGTGTCATGTTCGGTTTGGGTGGCTGCAGACTTTGCGAACGACATGACGCTCGACTGGCTGTCAGTCATCCTGACTGAGGCTCCGCCCACCGCGGAGGCTTTTTTGAGATCGTACCGAACTTTATCCACCTTCTCCTCCAGGCTTGCCACGGCATGTTTCATGTCCTTCATCTGGCTTCTGAGGAACAGCAGGCTTAGTGTCGTGTCCTGGGACCTGAGCTGGCCAAATCCGTCCCCCTACTCTCTTTGGTGCCTAGGGGCCTAAGGTAGCGAAACCGCAAAGCTCAGCAAACCAACCCTCTTCCGACTCTTCCGTTCTTCAATCCTGTGGCCTCATCTTGACCACCTGCTCGACGAACTCGCTGTACTGAATGTCTCCGGAGCCGTCCTCGTCCAGGACCCGAAACAAAGACTGCATATCCTCCCTCTCCACATCCATCAAACGCATCTGTTCTTGGAACTCCGGTAAGCTGTCGTAGCCCCCCAGCAGCTCCTCGAAAGAGAGAGAGCCGCTCTTGTCCTCATCCAGCAGCTCACATAAGTACAGAAGACTTCGCTTAGCACCCTCGAAAGCAGCCTGCCGCTGCGTCAGTTGGAATTTGACGTCTTCCTGCTGTGCTTGGTGTGCTTTATCCACGATGACGGACAGGATGAGGTTTAGAAGCCCCAGATCAATGGTTATGAAGACCATGGCGAAATAGGGAGCTGTTAAGGGGTATTCTTCCATGATTGGAATGGTTATTCTTCCCCATGAATCTCCAGCAACAATTTGCTGCCAAAAGGTAAGTGCCGCCATCCACACCGTCTGGAAAGCACGATGGCACCGCTCACAGTCGCCATACACTCCACGTTCGTGTAAAATCTGGGCCAATGGGTGCACCATCTCTACCGCCATGATGCCCAGAATCAGCAGCATTAAAAGCCTCAATTGAGAGCGTGTGGTGTATCAAGAGTAAGAAACAAGTTGATGCTGAAACCTAAATAAACTCACAAGCACGCAGGAATACAAGAAGAGCGACAGCAGAACAGCAGCCCAGCCGATGGCCTTCAAGGCATTGAGAAAGCCGTAAAGCATGATGTAGAGCTCGCGGAATAAGTGCAGCGTACGAATACTTCGCAGAACCCGAAGGGCTCGAATGACCCGCAGAGCCTTGAAAACATCCGAGGTCTGAATGTCAGCTGCTGTCCAGTTGATGATCTGCAGCGTCCAGTCGGCTGACAGGATGAAGGTGTCCAGCAAGTTCCAATAAGATCGCCAGAAGTCGAATCGGAAAGCGTAGAGTCGAAGCAAACCTTCCAGTGTATAGAGAATAAGGAAGACCACATTGGCAGCTTCTATGGCAAAGTCTGGCTCCATGCCCAGGCCCGATTGGTTTGTCTGGTGCACAATGAGACCGATGTTCACCAACACCACGACCCCGATGACCATATCGAACAAGGCACTGGACAAGACCGTGGCTATGCATACTCGGCTCCTGGACCAATGTTTCGGAAAGGAAGCGAGCTGGGAGAGGCTGCCCGGCACATCACCACGTGCGACGTCACCTTCCAGTCCACTCCGGCTCTGGCCTAGAGTCGGCGGCAGGGCGGGGTTGTCCACTCCCAACCCGAAGGATGTCTGTCTGTGCACCTCCGGCGATTTCTGTAGTTGCGCATTTTCTGCCTTGACCATGTCCTTTCGGATGTGGTCGCATCGGCTCGGACTAGGCTTGAGCCCCTTGTATGGCACAGGTTCCAAGAGCAAGGTGCAGCCACATGAATCTTCTATAGTCTATAGCTATCTGCACCTGCCCCTCCTCTCCGCGACGGCGCTTTAAGGCTCTACACATCTACACAGGCTTCACAGGCCCCGAGCGGCGTTGAACTTGGTGCGAGGCCATGAGACGATCCCACACAAAGGTCCCCACGAGCGAAAGCAGAAGCGTGAAAATGACCTTCGAGAGAGGCGAAGGTCATTTTCTCGAGACCCCACTGGTTAGCATCGAGACGCCTTCATCCGCAGCTCTTCGGGGACCACTTCGAGGTTCAAGAGGTCATTGAGCCAGGGCAAGATCCCCCAGGCACAGACAGCGACCTGGCTCGGTGCTGTCCGAACCGCCGGAGAGAGAGGGCTTCTTGGTGGCTTCTCTGGAGGGTGTTGGGCTGGGGTCAGGGTCACTTCGAGTCAAGCGTACGACCTCCCGAACGACATCGCCACAGTCTTCAATGTCGGGACTGTGAGCGAAACCTATGAGACATGGAGGCAAAAGCTTCTCCGGAAAACTCTGGGCTCTTGTCAGTCCGAGCAAGACCGGCCCTGCACTCTGTTCTGCTGTCCTGTAAGGCCAACACCATGGCAATACACGAGAAGAGCGACAAGAAAAGCCTCAGGGGGTCAACGGCAGCACATGATGCCGGATGCCTCTACGAAACCAGAACCATGTGTCAGGTGTTACAGTTGCAGCATTCGAAGACAGTCAGACATTGCGGCTATCCATCCCCACGACCGGTCCACAGGCACCCCTTGCGCCTGGAGCTATTTGTCACCTGATGTGCACGACCTTGCCATCTCAATGCGGGCACGCTGCGGCTGGTTCTCCAGGAGCCCCTTCATCCAAGGCCTGCCTCAATTCGTGCGACCAGGAAGCACTTGCTTGACAAAAAAGAATACCCTAACAGGGATCAGGTGCCTTTGTAGTTCACGAAAATGACGGACACCTGCAGCAGTGGCTCCGGTCGATACTACGCCTATACTACGCACATTTAGCCGTAAGCTGTCCAACAACTCGACGTGACTCAATGCCATGCTAGGTCTGCAGGTAAACTGGGCTTTGGGTGTGCATATACATTGCACTTTGAGCACTCGCGCTCGAGCAATTCAGGCCAGGTGCACATTACATTGCACCACATTGCATTGCAATACAATGCATTGCGTTGCGTGCACTGCCTACTGATCGCATGTATACATTCCCACACATGTCAAAATCGACATGCTGCATGACATCGCGTATGTATGCATGTATGTGTGTTTGTGTCTTTGTTTGCACGCTTGCACGTATGTCTGCTTTTGTTTGCATTTGTATTCGTATGTATACCACGTATACATGTACATATACATGGAACACCCATAAAAACTCCAGCGCATCGTCTCCTTCATAATATATATATATATATATATATATGCATACCCACATATGTGTATTATATACATATACATGCTTGTGTAGTGCAATTCGATATAGTTCGCTATAGACTTGAGCATGTGCATGTGGTCATTTCAACATACACAGACCACCAAAACAAGTCAAAAACCTAAGTTGTTTTTTCTGTGCTTCGACCATTGAAGACCGGAGGTTTCACGGAAATCTTTGCGACGAATCTTCAATGCTCAGACTACCAAACTTTCTATATCATATAAGCATAGTATATGTAGAAGCATCCGTGCGGAAACAAGTATTATGTGAAGATACAACGATATAGTCCTATTACATGTAAAGTATGAAGGGAAAGGGGGAGTGATAAAGGACATATTACATGCAAACACACAAGCACATCGACCGACCAACGAACATGAACCTTGGATTGGCACGGGTGACTGAGAAGAAGATGTGACAGGACCGACGAAAGCAGGTTTGGCGCGTGCGCATACCAGACACCAGAATGAAGATCAGTGCGGATTGGGTTCTGCCCGGGTGTGCTACGCTGCTACACACGCACAGAGCCCGTCCGCACTCCCTCTGTCCCCCTGCAGACAACTCACGACACCGGACGAAATTACCGAGAAATACGTTGACAATCCCAACAGAAGCACCGGGCAAACTACAAACACGCCTCCACCTACATAGGGGGGGAAAGAGGAAGCAAATCCACTCAAGAGGAACATAACACGCTGCATGAAATTTGCATTTATTGCATCAACATTCGACAGGAATCATTTCAGCCTGATTAGGGACAGAAAAAACAAAAAACTAAAGCAGTCCTATGCTAGACATAGGTTTGGTGTTTTTGGTGTGCGTTGTTTGTCGTGCTTGTGCTTGTTTGCTTTAGCTGTTTTGTTTCTTTTGGCTCCAACTTGGCACGCGCATTGCAGGCTTCAAGTCTGGCAAGCTTCACGCAACTCTACAGCAAGTGAGGTTTGCCGTGAGGTTGCAAACCTCACTTACTGGTGACTTTTGGTTTCTCGTGCGATCCAGGAGAAAGTTGCAACGTGGATTTAACTTGTTCGTCGCTCCAATGTCCAGTGTTGAAAAACTGCACTGCTCTTAAGTAGTTTCTGCGAAGCTGATTCCATACCACTAAAGGTCTTCATCCTTTCGGCTGTTCCTATCCACGTATAGGTATACATTTACCCACGTATACATACGCTTACAGGAAAAAGGGTTGAGGCATATATGCTCTCGGGTCCCGGGCCGCCACCCCCCCCCCAATGGTATCCCCCCGAACCCCCCCTCCTCCCCTCCTGCTGCACGCCTGCCCCTTGACCTTGTGCGCGGATCGGGAGTGTCGCACTATGCCCTGCCGTGTGCGGAAAGTGGCAATCGGCTCAGTAGTTTCTAGCATCTGACATGAATTGCAATGCTGAATTATATGAGGGTTGTATGGCGATGGTGATGGTGGCACATATTCTTTTGAAGGCATTAATGATGAATGATGATGACGACGACAAGGATGATGTTGAGCATGGTCTGATTGTCGACTCATGTCCCGGTCTAGAGCAGCACAACATCATGAGCAGTATCACCGGTGCCACAGCAAGAGGGAAGACAAGGAGTAACACATAAGAACGTCGCGGCAAAACAAGTACCACCACAGGCCCCACACCACAGGGGGGGGGGCGGGGGGGAAGGGGGGAGGATACCATGGGGTGGGGGGGGGGAGGGGGGGTGTGGCAGCCCTGCATCATATATGTACCCATTTACTCCTGGGTGTATCCATGTGTATCTTGATAGTTCTTACAGGTGCTTCCACGTATGTACATATCTGCAGTATTGCCGGTCTTTACCAAGATAGATATGCAGCATTTCGAGATATTCCCATAGAGCGATGTGCAGACGTTGGTTGCAAAGTTCACACGCCTGCATAGATAGAGCCAAAGCTAAAAGACTGTACCAATATGCGGCTACATGCAATACTTTTTATTCGTGCCCCTATGACAGCCCTGATTCTACATATAGATGCATGTGTGTAACTCTCTCTCTCCCGGGCATAGGGGTCGGTCAAGACCCCCGAGCATCATGCCCACCCGCACAATGTTTGTGCAGGAAAGGGGTGTGAAGAACAAGTACACTTTATCTTTCTGGCTAAAGCCTTAAAGAATGCGATGACGAGTACAGAGCAGTGTGCACTCTCTGGACATGAAATGAAAAAAACTCTCTCTTGCTTGCTTGCTTGCTTGCGAAGGGGTGTGGGTCCCCCGGGGAGACCCTCGAAGGCCTACCCCCACAACGGTTCCGCGGCAGTTCGTCTCTCTGTCTCTCTCGCTCTCTCTCCCTCCCTCTCTGTTATCCATGTGCACTCACTCTTAGATTCCATTCAGTTCTGGACCGTCCCATAGAGTCCGGAGCTCCGCCCAGGGCGGAGGGACTACGACGCAGCTGTGGCAGCCCACAGGCCCACAGCCTGCTGGGCTGTCTCGACCAACCAGCAGCACGTGTTCAGCAAGTTGGTCCTGGGCGAAGATCCCGCAAATGCAATCTGCATCTCTCGCTGTTGGTGCATCTTGGAATTGGTTGTCTGCCTATCCATGCCTTGTTCGTGCCAGGAATCTGATGTGCTACTGCAGAACGTCCTCTATGATTGCTTTTCAACGCTGAGATGACACACCGGGATGTTCTACGTCCTGCTGACGCATGCTTCAGAATGTCTGATTTCAACCTGTGCTGCATTTCACCAGGACTACGGCCCAATACATCCTGACAACTGCGAACATGCACTCCATCTGTCAACACGTGCAACATACATATCAAGAGACAGTCCATGTACCTTGCGGGTACCGTGCGTACATATAGCATACACAGACATGCATTTACGCATGTGCGTACGCATGTAAGTATTCACGCGTGAGTGCCACTGCGCATGTGGTTAGGAACTGTGAGGCAGTGGTCAGGAAAAGACTGAACACCGGCTTCGGTATAAGAAGCCGAAGGCTTCAACCGGCATGCAAACCAATGTGATGCTGCTGCCACAGGCCCCGTCACCGCAGGCTTCATGACTGTGGGAATGACACAACTTAACACTGTGCTAGACTACATCCCTCACATCCTCATACATCCACGGTGCTGTCCAAGATGCTTGAATGGGATCGAGCTGAACCAGTTCCATTCGGACATCTCCTCCTGCAGCTTTGCAAGGCTTAAGGCCTCGACACTCTCGAACAGCGGATCTTCCGGTTCTTCTGCGCTTTGCAACTGAAGTCTGCATGGGGTCTACGAATAGCCCGGGCCAGGCTGTCAGGCAGATAACCCTGGCAAGGCCGAAGGAGGGGCCAGCCACACAAGATTTCAACAGTCACAACTGAGCCTCGCTCAGCGCCGCGATGCGCTTGTCCCGCTCCTCTCAGCCAGGGAGTCAGGCAGGTCACGGAGCTGTCGGAGCACCAAGTCTCGAGTTCTTTGCAGTACAGCCCTATCGCACTCTCGACGCTGACAGATTAGCCATGATGGAGTCGGTAACCCTGGCAGCAGCTGCGCAAATGGTCCTTCTCGAAGTCGATGACTTCCTTGACACCCTCTTCGCCCATGATCTCTTTTGCGAGGTTGGCAATGTAGACCATGCAGAACAAGTGAATCAACAGTTGCCCCATCATGCCTGTGCACGAGCAGGGGAAGGACTCTGTTTGTAAAAAACCTTCAAGAGTGATGCGAGCAAGTCGCTCAGCAGATTCGCAGGGTGGAACACTGAGGACAATGGCCGAACTCGATGCATCCGGTCCACTGGCTTGGCAAAGGAGAAAGCCAGGGAGGCGACTCCAATCATCGTCCCGCTTGCCATCATCTGCGGTTCGGACGGACGGGTGCCGTCTACCGACATGGTGGACATGGTATAAGCAGCAATCATGGATTCCAGCATCATGATTTGCATTTGCTGTACCGCGGACAGTAAGGTGCAGCGACCTTGCCGGATGATATCCACCACCGAGCCGATGGAAGGAGTTCTCGAGGTGAATGGAGCTGCTGTGGAGGCATCCCCAAGCTGCACCATTGGGGTGTCCTCCATTGAGTCTAAGCCTTCCGCCCACTTCGCTGCACCGGCCGCAAAGGCATTGCCGTGTTTCTTCTGCTGCAACTCCTGTTCTTTCTTCATCTCCGTCTGAAGCCGGCCCATGACCGACTTCATGGCTGAAAATTGTGCCATGACACCCACATCCTCACCAGCCTGCCTCCTTTTTTCAAGCTCCTCTTGAATCCACTCCTGCTGCTTGGAAACCAAATCCTTCTTCTTCCGCTCAAGCTCCACTTTGGACTTTTGCATGATTTCCTGAGCTTTCTGCTGGTTCTCCTGCCGGATCGCTTCCAGCTGATCTTCTGCCTTGCCCTCCTGAGGCGAGCCGTTTTCATCCGACTTCGATGCATCAACATTGGCGTTGCCAAAGCCACTCAACAAAGCGAGCCCAACATCTGCCTCTTTCAGGGCACCCACGTCATTCCCACCATCTCCGCACATGAAAGAAAAGCTTTTCTCACTTTTCCGCACAGCTTGAATGACCTGCTCCTTCTGGAAGGGCGACATTCTGGCGAATATCTTCACACAGCTCAGCTGAGACTGGAACTTTTCACCGAATCCCTGCCATGCCTTTTCCAGTGGGGCCCCAGTGATGATTAAGTCGCGCGACTGGCTAAGAGCTTTGACGCCCGTAGCGTCAAAACTTACAGATTCAGCCTGCTTCCCATGCGACGTTATCGCTGCACGCCACTCAAGATCACCGTCGTCCTTCTCTGATAAAACCAAAGCCTGTTCTGGGTTGTGCTGGGCGATGCCTACTTCCACTGCCACACTGAGAGCCGTCAGCGGTGCATCGCCTGTAAGCATAACACACGCATGGCTCGAATCCTGAAGAGATCGGATCACCAGCATGGAGTCCTTGCGTGTCTCGCATTTGAATGCGATGAAGCCTCCGAACGTCAGCTTACATTCGATCTCGGATCGCGGCCGATTGCCCACGTCGGATGCATCGCTTAACTTCGAGTATGCCAAGGCGAGCACTCGCTGACCCTGCTCGGCCATGCGCTTGTAAGCCCCATCGTACCAGCCCGGCTTCTCCACCAGGAGCTGGCCAATGGCCTCTGGGGAGCCCTTCACCAAGCTGTACATCCCACTTTGGCATTTCCCATCAGACGACGTGACTTTGCAAATCGTACTCATCCTTTGAAGGTCGGAGGAGAAGTGGAAGCGATGCTTGATAGCTACACTCAGCTTGCTCGCTTCTAGCCTGTCCTGCTTGAGGCTCCTTAGTTGTTTTTTTACCCTGGTCCGCGCCCCCGCCCCCCACCCCACCCCCGATCTCCGAGATTCCGAGCTGTTTTCATACTTCGAAAACACTACTCCACAGTTACAGAGGGCGAGGCTCTTTTCCAGCTCCGCTATCTTCTTGGCGACTTCCTCCTTTTCCTTTTTGTCTGACTCAACTTCATCTTTCAGATTTGCCATAAACTCCTTCTGCCGAAGGATCGTGATCTCTTTGGCTCTCCAATTGGAGGGCGAGGCAGTGCTAGTGCTGGGCTGATAGCTCCAACTAATACCTCTCAATGCAGCAACCTCGATGGGGTCACCCAAGAGCTTGTTGTCCACCTCTATCCTCAGCAAACGACATAAACACTCCACCCACCAAGCTGTTGCAGAGGTAGCTACTGTATGAGCACCATTGCCATGTGCTCTTGCCTGCAACTCCACTTGCTCCACGCTGCTGCACAAGGTGCCTTAACCCTTTGTGACTTTATGCATACTTCGGCCAGGTCGCAAGGAATGGCAACCGGCTAGAACAACGCAGGCCATAGTGGAAGCCTCGTTGACGGCCGTCTCTTTTGGCTCCTTCCCGGTGCCGGCATTCACCATCCCAACGGCCACCATCTGGTCCGAGGTCAAGGTACCGGTCCTTCGGATCGGACACAACAAGGGAGAAGCCTGCCTTGCCCTTCGCATACTAATACCCCAACTATCCCCAAGTCCCAAAATGCAATGAGCAGCAGCAACATTGCGGCTCGAGTCTCTTATCAAAGAAGCAATGGGAGACGCGTCCGGCAAAAGGCACCCGGAAGGGTTCAGTGCAGTAAATTCCAGCTTTTAGCAAGCTCATTAATGCCGTGTTGACAGCAAATGCCATCTGCATTGGGAGCGATGGCGGCACTACCGACGTGATAATCTGAGTACATCGGATCAGCGTCTTATACGTCGGTCGCGTCGGGTCTTTGAGCGCCGCATTCATGACATAGCCGGCCGCGGCCAAAGCAAAAACTAGAAGGAACATGAGCTGCAGGGTCGTCTCTACTGTGTCGGCACTGACATTCTCCGTTGAGAACTCGATCATGCGCATGAGCTCGCCCTGCGAGGAGTTGAAGCCAGTTCGGAGGACGAAGCAAAGGATGCCATCATCTGGCGGGCTGCTTGCATCCCCGTCGACTTTCTTCCTGCTTCTTTCAGGAGCCGTCGTCTGGATTAGAGACGTGCCGCTGAAAAGAGCGTGTATCCTCAGGGCTCTGGGATATGAGGACAAAGTCACAAGGTCACAAGTGTCACAAGCAGCAGCGATTACTCCAGGATGCCAGACTCTCAGACCGGCTAAGTTGGACAGACCACCAGGAGAGCTGCTACGCCCTGGACCCCGCCTGTGCTTGCCAAAACAGTCCACGATCAACTCGGAGTCCGTTCCGGCGCCCATCGCATCCTTCATCTGTGGCACGGATTCGCCTGACATCACCGAAAGGGACTGGAGGCAACCGCAAGAAGGCGACCCACTGCCTGTAAGCGTTGCTTCGTTGACAATGGCGCTGCCACTCACGATCAGACAGTCGCACGGCACCAAGGTCTCCTGCGAAGTGCTCAGACGGAGACAATTCGGGGAACAAATGACACACATGTACTGCACTTGGCGCAACACGGCAAGCTTGACCTTCTTCTCGTGGTTCTCGGTCCCAGGTTCTGCCTTCTTCTCTTCTGCCCTGTCCAATCTTTGAGGCAGCGACTTGAAGATGCCACACTTCGAGCCAAGCTGCTTTGTGTGCAGAGAGATCAAGTCGCCGGGCAGGAGATCCTCTATGGGTTTGTTCTCCCACTTCCCACATCGGAAGACGAAGACCTGAGCAGCAATGCGAGAAGAGTGTGGCAAAACAAAACATTTGGATTTGTGGATGGCTAAGGAGCAGGCATTGAAGCCTCGGGAAAGTTAAGGAATGCCATGAAAAGCGCCCAACCATATCACCATGTGTTGAAGAAAGTCAAAAGCGAAAAGTGCAACCGGCGGGGCTCTTCGTGCTCATCCCACGAAGGGTTGACATGGACTTCAAGCGTTGGAAGACCGTCGAGGCTTCAAACATGAGGATGCTCCCCAATGTGAAGCAGGTGTACTTCCTGAGCTTCATACTACAAAGCTGGATACAGAGCCCAGTACCCCGTGAACCTCACCGCAGCTGAGGCACCACATCGTGTCCATAACCCACAGGGCAGCTGAGAAAAGCTGAAAGATCACGAGCGGTGATATCAGCTGCTTCTGAAAAAGCCTCGGCGTCACAAATCGTGGAAGCAACGCCAGATCGTCTCGAAAGGGCAACCCGAGCAAGGCTCCATACAAGCCTCGGCACTGCATAAAGGTCGGCTTGGGAAGGTCGAAGATATTGGACCCATACTTGTCCTCGAACCATGTCGTCAAGTCCAGTCTAGTGACACCCTGACTGTAGCACCCCCCCCCCCTCCCTCGCACCACAAGATCTGCCTGGGCCAACCCAACCTTGCCGGAGGTGTCCAGTCCTGTGGAGGATGCCCACAGGAAGCAAGACATGCAATGTCATCAACGCTGGTCCTTTGCAGTCCCGGTATGTTTTCCAAGGTAGATTGGTTGGGCATTGAATCAACCGAACACCTGGGATCGTGCATGACTGCACCATTTGCATGACGAAGCTCGACGAAACCCTGACACGGCCCTCGACACAGTATGCCATGCAGTCAAGTCACCCGGAAGATCTAGGTCCTTTCCACAAAGACCCACATGGAATGTCTGACACCACATGACAAGCTGCTTCAGCTTGCGCCAGGTTTAGAGGCGGGAAACGAAGTTTGGCTGCGAGCTTGCGGCTGCAGTTCACCAACTCACACTTAAAGACATCTTAGAGACCACCCGAAACAAGCAAACTAACAAATGGATGCAGCCTCAGGAGTTCGATCAAGCCACAGCAAAATCTTTCAAAGCAGGTGCTGGGTAGGTGCTACTCCAGCCGAACTATCGAAACACACTCGGCACCAACCAAAGACGAATGCAAACAAAAAAGTCACCTAACTCGCTGCGGGGCTAAGGGAGAGCATGAATCCTGTGACGCCGAGACATGCAGATGATTGACTCACACTGGGAAAGGACAGCTGGCAGAGCTGCATGCACGCTGTTGGTAGGCGAAAGATGGTTTAAAAACAACAGGTTTTCGGAAAATTTGCGTCCAAGCCGCTCCGAGAAGGTCTGGGTCTTCAGTTCCAGCCTCTACGAACTCAAAGTTCTGGTACCTTCAGCACTGGTCTTGCACACGCTGCCTGTAACTTGTAGCAGCGCAGTAGCAGGTACAGAGCAGCCTGGAGCCCGCTTCTGCTCCGCTAGGTTACTAGATGCCCATTGCATAAGCTGCACGTTCAGCACAACGTCAGCCAAGATGCTGAAACTTGAAGTGGCAATTCAAAGTGACCTACAGGCGACACGGGCTAACAGCCCGTCATGTTTCCGTCGAGGTGCGCAGGTAAGGGAGCCAGATGTTCTCCGTGACAGCTATTCAGGACACGTAATCGGAGCAACATTGTGCAAACATTACCAAGTAAACATGTCATGGCCATCATCCAACATTTCAGCGAATTCACCTGAACGGCTCCCTCCCAGCCGGCCAACAAAATCGGATGTGACTTCAAGTAGGCTTCAAGCGTCACCATGTGGTAGCACGTCCCGCCATGCTTCCTTTGCTGTGACTGAAACGAACAAGTACTGTAGAGCCCATGAGCAGCGAGGATGGTTGTCGCTTGATTCATGCGTTCATCATCACGTTGGAGGTACAGTTCGCTCAGCTTCATAGCGTGTCGTCCCGGTCATACCCCACTGACTCTTTCCACAGCTCGCACGATGTCTTCACTTTACTAAAGGTATGCACACGTGTGTGTCAGAGAGCCTTTTTCACCGACCGCATCGGAAACTGCGAAGCTTCAGTTTCACTTAAGGCCATGCTGTGCTGATTGCTGAGGAGCTGTCGACTTGTGGCACAGCTTGCACAGGGTTTTGTAAGAGATTTTGGCAGACTGATTGAAGGGTTCTTCGGGGCTTGAAGCCAGAAGCCAAACTCGGCAAGCTGTTCCCTTCTTCGGCACTCGCACCGGCCTCTGATTCGTGGACTTCGCAAATGTCCGGCTTCCCCTTGTTGGCGTGCGGCGTAACACGCACAAAACCTCAGTGCTGCATGTGCCGATCACAGAAACATGCTCAGAGAACGACAACTCGGCGCTAGCCTCTTCACTTGTCACCAGGCCGCTGCCGCTTTGGACTCGTTTGGACGGCTGGAAGAGGAAGAGGGCTCGAAAAGAGATGGACCAAATGCACATTAGGTGAAAGAGCACGTGCACCTGGAGACCCAGAACGGTGCAGCATGAGACGTGGCAAACCAGACATGGTTGTATTGTCGCAAGTTTCCAGTCGAAACTTTGCTGGCAAAGCTTGCTGTGATCTCTGCATAAGACGGCCGAGGCACCACTATGTTCCTCAGCAGCAACATGACTGGCACAGAATGGAACATACTCACCCAACGGACCCGCGCATTCTTTGCAGCATCAGGTGTCGCCGCTATGCTACACGCAGGAGGTGCAGGGGTCTTGCGGCCAGGCTGCAGGAAAATGAAAACGCATGCAACAGCACTGGGCATCATCTGAGAGGGCAGAGACTCCTGTCACAGTGGCTGTTTAACCGCTCCCCGAAACTACGTCAAGGCAACCGCTCCTCGTCGATCCCGAGCTCGGTCTCCTGAAGGGGCAAGGCGATTCGGACATTGGATCTGAGACCATCGGATACCATCGGAATCCATCGCTTCTCCTTCTGATCTTGCTGTCCACTTGTGAAGGAAACCCCTTTCTCCTCCCAAGGGGCCAAGGTTCCGCAGCTACTTCCCCAGGCCAACAACGACATGCGCCATGCCTTCGCGCCTTCGCAGCCTCAGCCTTCTCTTTGATGAGCCGCTTCTGCTCTTCCAAGGCCCACTGGTGCGGCTGGCCGACCTGAGCTGCGACGTCGAGGAGGAAAGACCCAGAAATGAAATTCCTTGAAACCAGAGAACTTACCATCGGAAGCGGAATCTACTCGAACGTTCGAAGATCGAAGCTGTTTTCTCCGGGCCCTGACTCCGACAAGAACTCTACGCTGTCACTGGGGTCTTGTTGACTTTCACAGATGCAACATATGTTGGGTTTTCCCGTGCCTATCAACAGGCTCTCGTAGCTGCAGCGAGCTTGGCTTTGCTGGCTTCCTCTATTGCTGGCTGGGCACTGTGTCCTGCCACAGTTTTAGTGAACAGGCATAGTATGCCACAAAGAACGCGGCCACCTTGGTCGGAACTTTCAATGCGACAAGGAGAGAAGCAAGGCTTCTCTCGGTGATGTCAGGTTGAGCCCTCATGCAGTCTGCCATGCCCAGGCACGATGTATCTCTTCCATGGAGCTCTGACGAGGAGTCTCACATGAGCTACGCTGCTCGGATGGCGCAGGCGCATCCTGCCTCCGATTCAGTGCCGCAACGATTCCGGTAACCATTCTGGGATGGTCACCCGAGATGACAAGATGAAACGAATCTCGCATGGCGCAGTGTTGAAAACCGAGGCTGTCGAAACTCTGACGACATCTCAGTAATGACATCGACTTTTGCGCGTTCATGCAATCAAAACCGGACCTAGCAAAGCATGAAGGAGAACCCTGTTAGTGACTGGTCACATCATGTCACATCGTAGATCGAGATCTGATTCATAGATGATATGACCTGCCAGACCATTGTTCAAAACAGTGGTGTATGACAATTGAGGGCGATGAGAGAAGTGAGAAATAGTGAGAATATGATGATCATGAAACGAGGTTATCGTAAAAGAGGATTCTTCCCACCCGCTCAGCTGACTGAGGATGTAAGAGATTGCGTGAAGGCGCAGGACGAGGTCAGGCTGGACGGTGCTGCGCAACAAAGAACAGGACATCATGGAACTGCGTCCTATGTGAACTCGGAGGCATTGCAAGGTGCACAGTTTCCAGCAAGGCAAAGCGGGAGGCCTAGGGCAGGACCTGCCCCTCCAAGCCAAGCGATTTGGGCGCCCTCGTGGGGCCCCGGCGCTCAAAGCGCTCAAAGCTTTCGGGCCAAAGGAGGGCGCAGCGCATCAGAAACGTTGCTTCTGACATGCTTAAAGAGGCTGGGCCTAAAGCAAGAGGCAACTGTGCACACCATGACTCTCAACGTCACCAGCCAGCCGAAATGCTCTGTGGCCGGAACGTCTGATTCCGGACCCAGCTTTGCAAACCTGTCAGCCAACACACGGCCATGGCGGCCAACATGCTATGAATTGGCAACTCCCCTCCCAGAGCAGCGCACCGTGCATCCCAGGCTTGGCGCCTCGCACAACGTCGCGCAGACGGGACAATTATGACAACTCCAGAACTTCCCCTCTTTGCCTGCTGGAAGCGGAGCCGAAATGCTCCGAGGCCCAGTCGGCTCCAGGCGAAGCCGGGGCTGTCGAGGGGCGATCCTGCAAGCAAGCTTCAACAGGGCAGCCTCCAATTACTCGTTTTGATTTTTTTCGAGCGGCAGCCACCCCACCGCTGCGTGGCAGAAGCAGTTAACCCCGAATTTCTCTCTGTCCCGCACCGGACTTTCACCATATGCATGCATGACACGGCAGGGTTTCAAGCAGACAATGATTTTCCGAACCTTTGTGCGTCCCGAATGGGATCTGCATATTTATGTGGCACGCCAGAGTCTGATACTTAATTCTCTCTCCTCGTCTGCTTCTTGTTTCTCGTCTCCTTCTCTCAACTTGAGACTTGCACGAGCACGGCCACGATCTGCAAGGCCCGCCTGGCCCATCCCTGGCCAGTCGGCTCGAGGTGGCGCGGAGGACGACCTCCGCGTCCTTGCTTTGGCTTTGCACTACCCTGCACTGCACTGCCTGCTTTCCAACACTTTCAGTCACCGACCTCATCCGTCCTGGGCTTGTGGCAGGGCGGCCTCGGCGGCAGCAGCCAGGGCCATGGCTCTCGTGTCGGACGCCCAACCACATGGAGCTCTGCACCTTCCGTCCAGCCAGCGTCCTGGAACTTTGGCAACGGCCTGAGTTGCTAGAGAAGCCAGGTGAGTTGCTTGCACCCGACATGTGTGCGAGTGTGTCGCCTATCATCAGCCTGCGAGTGACGTGCGCTGAGGTCGGAGGCTCGGGACCATGGCTTGGCTCACATGGCTCCTCGTCAGAAAGCCTCAGCTGCGTCGCTGCGTCGCTGCGCAGCTGCGGAGCGGAGCTGAGACGCTCGAGCCGATGGTTCGCGTGGTTCGCACAGCTCGGACCTGGACCCTTCGACCTCCAGAGAAGTGCTCGAGGCTCCCTTCCACCACAACCCCCTCGGTACAAGCGCCATGTACGCGCTTGCAGGCTCAGGCCATTCTGAGGCCACAGCCCGTGGGCACATCGCCAGTGGGTATCTGGAGGTGGTCCTTCCCGGGCAACCACCTCCGGTGCAGACATCGAAATCTTCGCTGAAACCTCCAATCGAGCTGCAGATGTCAGCGGGCCTTTCTCGCTCGCACTTTCCAGGCACCTGGCCAAGTTGGGAGTCGCCCAGAAAACCGTCAACACGGGAGCGGCGCGTCTTTTGGGCCGCGGCAAGACGAGGACTTCCTGCAAAGGCACCAGGACTCACGAACAGAACCACCCGAATGCAGTACGGTCACCTCTGGTCGTGCTCTCGACTCCCAACGAGAGCAGCCCAGCCAGTCTGCACCCTTCGTCCTGCAGTACCAGGCCAGGCAGCCCAGGACGGCCAAGATGCCCGAGACCAGCATGAGCCTGGGCCGGGGCTTGCGCAGCTTCAGCACAAACGGCCAAGCTCAATGCACCCAGAGCGGCCAAAGCATCGGCCCGGCAGGATCCTGTCAGAACAAAAACCCAAAAACCTGCATCTTTCGCCTTTTTCGGCCCCTTCTTCTTCCCTTATCTTCCCCCTTCGCCTCGCTGAGCAGCCGCCGGCCCGGGCGGCCCTGGCCCTGCAGTTCAACTGCCTCCCAGTTCGTCTGCAGGGTCCTTCTCCTTACGGGTCCAAAGAAGTCCAAAGCCCAAAGTGGTCTTTCACAGACATGCGTCGGGATGGCTTAGCTGGATGGAACCGAAGTGACACACTTGGGCAGCGGCAAACTCTTCCCAAATAAGCCAGACTTCGTGGCGACAGCCTGGAACATCCATGGTGTTCATGGCGCTTCTAGCCCATAATTCTCGGTGGTGACAACCCTGCAGTTGCTGCGTCCACATATGCTTCTTTCAGCTTTGGACTCTTGTCTTGAAACGCCCGGAGCAAGCGCACCCAGAAAATGCGAGCCTGTCTGGATCTGAGGCAGGAGCCTCGCGTGCTCTGCATGCAGACAAGGCACTTCAACCAAAGCTGTGGCGCCAGAAACGGCGGCATTTCATCGGTCAAAAGCTGCTCAGGATCCGCCGGGGCCCATACGCAACCACTCCACGGAATGGCCTTGGCTCGGACCCAAATCTCAAGATGCAGTTGAGTGCATGTGAGATAGGCACGTGCACTGCCTCACGAAAGTCGCAGACGGACGGGGATTTCCTTTACCATACCGCCAAAGACACTTCAGCATCGCAGCGTGGCCACGACACTTCAGCTCGCAAAGGATTGGCACAACTGATCGTCGACCGTGTCCGATAACAAACTCACTTAGACTCAAACGGCGAAGTGTGCATCCCCGTGATTTAGAGAGGTGAAACACGAGAAGCCTCGATGTGTACAAGGCGTTTCCTACCGGTAATGGCGGGGACATCAACAAGACTTGTTCGCAAAGCGGGCAGGCCTATCGCATGCCTCCTTCACTGGTGGCCAAGATTACGTAGCCTTCAACATTTAACATATGACACAACCCGCCTGCAGAGAGCTTCTACCCTCCACGACCGAATTAGCTGCAAGACCAGGCTCTTGCGAATTTCTGCGCTGGGCGCTCTCTGCGAAATGCGCGAAACACCCACCCCGGATCCGCCTGTTCCCCTGGTCTTGAGCATAAGGGTGGACGGGCTGCCTTGAGCCCATCATTTCTCCAAAAAACCTTAGGAGCACAACAGATGAGGTGCACAGTTTGATGCGGCCACCCTACAGCCTAGGCCTGCTCTGATGTTTCCAGAATTTCCAGCTTAGCAACGAAAACTCCATCAAGTTGCATAAGCCGAAGATTTTCTCACACGAGCTGGTGGCGGCTAGCCTCAAGTTGTCAGGCTTTGACGTGCAAAGCTCCTCCGCACTGCGATCGTGCAGGCCTGATGAGGGCTGGACCACCAGCTACCGGGTTAACGCGATGTATAGCTGGCATAATCTTTTCCTCTCCTGCGGCACGGGGCAACAGCGACATGGTGAGAACAGGGCACCAGCCAGTTGCTGTGACTTCTCAACATCAAAATGACAAAAAAATGCGTCTCTCTGTTGGGTGCGACGTGCGCCGACCGCTCCATGCTGGCACTGGCTTGCATTTTTAGAACTGTGACAGAGCCGCTCCTCCCCGAGAAGATTCCTTAGCCACAGACTCGCACTCCTCTATGTGGTCAGGTCATGAGTGTCATGAAGCCACAGCACCACTACAGCGTCCTTCGTGCAATCACCATTACGCAACTCGCACTTGGGTTCGGAAACTCTGGAACCCTCTGGCGCCAAGGGTCTGGAGCTCATGACGTCCAGCACCTGCAGGGGTCACACCTCTAGTTTGCCCTGCAGTTCCATCGAGATGAATATCCCGTCTGCTGTTTACAGAGGAGGGCGTGAGCTAGATTGAGCTTCCTCAGCCCGGGTATGGGTGTTGTTGGTTGGGCAGCTCGAAGAATTCCCGCCACCTCGTGGTGCTGCTTCATGCTCGGCTTAGCGCGATCGTACTTCTCGTCGAAGACTTTGAAGTGCAAGCGGTGAACGTAGACTTAGATCAAGAACTGCGAGGACACCGTCGGACAGCAAACAACCTCAAGCCCTTTGCGCCCGCCGAAACTTGACCCGAGTCTGAACTACCTGGGTTTCGGAAACTGAACGATTCGTCGACTCTGCTGCGCTGGTTGCAGGAAGCAACCTACGATCACGGCCATGAGTGAGAAGTAGATCAACCTGAGCTGCCCCCATGATACATGAACCTGGACTCATAACTTGGGCTGCGACTGTGAATTTGAATGCGATCTCGTAGGTAATATATCAAAGGCACATGATGACGCCAAGAATTTTGGAACCGGAATCAGGATGGCTGCCACTCGGGTCAGGATAGTCGTAGTTTTCCTCACTTGCCGAACAGCGGGACTCTGTACCGGAGTCCGCCATCCCCCATCCCTCTTCCCTAGTCCCTAATAGGCATGCAGCCGAGTCGCCCGGTCAAACTTCACCACCATGCCTTAGAAGAGACAGGGCGGGCAGTGAGCTCTGGGCTTGTTGATGGTGTCCGGACGGCCAAAACTCATTGCAAGCACAGGCACGCAGACCACTGCTCGCCAAGAAGAGAGGCATGGAGACCAGCGCCATAGAGACTGCGAAGTGCCTCCACGTGCTGATGTTCGGATTTAAGTAGTAACCTCAGCTTGCTCTGCAGCCAAACCAACTGGAGGGCTGCATGCTGCAGTCAAGGAACAAACTGAGGCATCGAATCCTCGAGATCACTCGCATGGCACTGCTTGTCTGCTTCATGTAGTATCCTACATGCTTCCTGCACGGTTCTGAAATACTGATCTTGCGAGTCCTGCAGGGCCTGCGGTCATTAGCCGAATGGTGTGATAGGGCTGCGCTACACCCACCTGGGTGTCCCAGCATATTGCACGGCATGCCACGGGTCTCTACAGAACGACATGTAAGTCTGGCACATATGTTGCGATGACATTGAACAACTGGACAATTCCAAGCAAGAAGAACCCGGCAAGCTGACAGGCTCCATCCTGGCAGGGTGCGACGAACAAGGGAATCATACACCAACGCTAAATCACTGTGGCTGAAAGGCATGGAAGCCAAGGGTCGACAACATCTCCGTTGAATGGATTCATTCTCTTCTGCATATCAAAAAGGTGATCCTGCAGAATCGCTGCAGGCTTGGAATACTTTGCACCCCTGTCACGTGACCACTTGGACAGTTATCTTCAGTGCGTGGACTTGCACGTACCACCACGGCGGTAGATCTCGTAATACATACATATCTAGATATCTAGAAACCTAGATATATAGACATCCAGGTATATAGATACTTAGACATCAAGATATATAGATATATAGAACAAAGATATATAGGCATGTGCCTATTCAGGTGTCTCGATACGTAGATTTATAGATACATCGGTATATAGGTATTTAGATATATAGATATAGAGACATTTTGATATATAGGTATAAAAATAACTCAAAAATAAAGAGCCCTCGTTGCCGTTGCTATGTGTATATATATATATATATATATATATATATATATATATGTGTGTGTGTGTGTGTATCTGTGTATAAATATAAATAAACATATATATATATATATATATATATATATATATATACATATATATGTGTGTGTGTGTACACGTGTCCATATGTATATGTGTGCGTGTGTGTGCGTACGTGCATACATTCACACATACACGTGTGTGCCAACCAAGTGTGCCACAGTTTTCATGCAAACATAAACTGAGCCCTGGGACACAACACGATGCACATTGACTGTCATTGTTCGAGTACAACTGTTTTGCACCATGTTGCACCGAAGGTCCGAACACGAGGTAGGGCCCTGTCGGTCATGCATCACCGTGCTTCTAATCATCCTCCCGACTCTAAGAGGAATCATCCACATGTCGACGGGTCGAGGCGGCCCCGTCCCTTTTCGCGACTGCCAAGCGCATACGGAATCTCACGACATGATCCGGGAACAAGTTGATGCTATCGGTGCAGAGCTGCAAGGAAGCTTGTGTGACTCAGCAGCATATGCAAAGGAGGGTCCAAGGAGTTCTGCACCATGAGGCCGGCGACGATGCCCAGACTTGCGAATGCAGTGAGCCGAGCTGTCAAGACGTTCTCCTGCACACATTGCAGTCACTTCTTGCCGAATGATGAGCTCCTCGTCATCTCCAGCTTTCGACCGATAAGCGACTCCAAATACTGACATGGGCCGAAGCTGTCCGTGAAAAAACGCGGATCGTTCGTGATGTCCATTGAGTCTGAGCGTGACAAGCCACCTGATGCAGGGCCCTTACTCTCGGCAACGCACATCACATCAATCCCACACACCTCCCATGAAAACCAAGCAATCTAAATGCATGTCGACAGTGTCTGCACTGATCTTTGGAAAACACCATGTCGCTTGAACTTGACCCTGGAGTTTTGCATGGGCACCATCCTAGTACGGCAGTGGCCTGACTCCAACACCATCTCCGGCACGCCCAGGTGTTCATTTGGGCCAGCACCCAGCCGTGGTACTTGGATAAACCCCAATGGACGGTTTCGTGTGGCACCAAACAACACTGTGGAAACTTCAAACCTAAGGCACGGCAAATGGCGTGCAGCAAAGCATCTGCCCTCGTCATCCGGCTCTGATAGCGGCATGCTTGAATACCTTACGGACCTGAAACACAGCTTTTGAGTTCATCAGCGGGTTGATGCATGCTCGTCGTGAACTTTCAACGCCAAGTGGCATGTTTCGACCGTGCACGCCACGCGAAAGGCCGCTTTTGCGGGGCTTCCGGGCAGGTCTCTAGCTAGAAGAGTGCTGCAGCGACAGTAAATCGGCAGAGTTGTTTGTCCAGACAAACTCCTGCATGCTGCAAGCGTGGCACAGCAAGATGCAGTGCTGAATCTGATGCAACGTAAACAACCACCCAGCCTTTCTCGCTCCTTGTGTAGGTGTACAGGCAAGGTGCACGGGCAGTTCCAAGAGGTTATAGCCGCTAAACATTTACACTCATTCATGCAAGTGTCGCCAGGCAGGCATTGCCGCAGCGTTGGCACAAAATTCTGGAAGCCCCGGCAGGCCAAAATGAATGCTTTCAGCGAGTGCAAACAAACTTCTTGGTTCGCCGCAGGCATGAGAAACACCGACCGCACGGTCGAATTTGCTGGCTTACACCTCCTTGGGTGCTGCTGGGGGCATCTAGCCTTCCGATATCAATGTTGTCTGGTTTCTGCAGCTCAAGTTTAGACTGCCCTCCAGCCTTGCCAGAAGGTGAAACATCTCTGTCTACCTGCCGCAAAGCCACTCACTGCCAATTCTACCAAAAGAGCCCTCACCTGTCCAGGAATGTCGCCATGCAGTAATTACAGAGATCATTGCAGTAAAGCACTGGACGAGCCATGTCAAGCTCCAATTCTCACCGACCCACCTGGCAGTGTTTCTCTGTGACATCGTAACAAGGACGTCTTTGTGTTGCTGAAGGTTCGCTTCCAACTGCGCGTAGCGCTCGTCGAAAATGTTGAAGTGCTTCCGATGAATGTAGACTTGGGTTCAAGCAGCAACCAAATCACAGTTTCGGCAAGGCATCATGGAAATTGCTTCTCCGGACTAGTCCGCGCAACGAACGAAGTGGCTTTCAGGATGCTTCAAGCTAGGAAATTGTGGACCTAGACAAACCTCAACAACTAGGGTAAACGGACACAGGACTTTCATTGTCGCAGACATGCATGCCGCACTTGGTGCCAGCCAAGTGGCACACACAGCATGCCATGAACATGAACATTGAACACCTGGGTGGCTGAGCTGCTTGAGACATTGCATTCATCCACGAATGGCGGACCCAAAGTGTCAGGCAGGCTACGCACCGAAGCCCAGGTGACGGCACGTGTCCGGCAGGTTCTCAGGCGGATCCGGCTCGGCCATATTTTCCTCGGCTGCGTCGCACTTGGCTGGCAGCATCTACAGTGCCGTTAAACCACCTCCTCTGCCCTGCCACGCGAAGCACCCGGCAGTGCCACGCTGAGCCCTGATCTGGACTAACTGCTGCCCAGAGCTCTCTGTCGAACTTGACCACCATGCCTTACAGCGACAGGCTCACAATGCACCACATGCCTTGATACTGCCGCCAGCTTTCAATGTGTAGATTTCAACGTCTATGCCATTCTGTTCAGTCTTCAGGGCTCACATGGCACGTGTCACATGGCCTTTTTAGCCCAGGCTGCGGAGCCCAGTGCTGGCCACAAACATCGGCAGGCTGATAAGGGCGCCTTTGATGGCAAAGTGCCGCCAGGCGATGATGTTCTTGTTGAGGTAGTAACCTTGCTGGGCCCCCTTGCCGGAACCCATTCTTGAAATCTTCTGAACACTCCATCTCCCTTGTTTGCCGAGCTTGTCTTCCTGCTTGTCAAGTCGCAGGCAGCTGACTCAAATCCTCAATGACTGTTGCTTCTGGAGAAGGGGATGACACATGGAATTTCACTTCACACAACCAGCTGATGTCTGACTGCCAACACTGGCCATCAGCCACAAAATCTAAGTTTCGGCCAGGCTTCCGGTCGGGCCGGCTGTCATAAGACGCACTGTGTGGTAGGGCTGCGCAACACCAACGTATGTGGCGATGACGTTCAATAAATGCACCAGCCCGAGCAGAACGAAGGCAATGAATTGGCAGGTGCTGTCCAGGTGCTGATGTGGCTTATACCATTCACACATGTCTTTTCTCATGTCGAACAAATGGTCCTGGGCGAAGGGGTGACATCGAGACACGGAATAATTGCAGCTGCCAATTCAGAGTGAACGCAAGAGCTGCTAGCGGTTCGGCAAAGCATCCATCGAGTTCTGGACCATAAGCCCCGCCACGACACCGAGGCCCGCGAAGGCTGCCAGCCGATAGTTGATCACGTTGTCCTCCAAGCCACTGGTTTCATGCAAAATACAAAACCACTCCGGCACAGAGGGACCATGTGCAGTGGCGAATTTGCTGCATTCTCGACTCTTCCTGAAAGAAACGCGGATCGTTCGTAATCTCCATGGATTCAACGTGGGTGAGCGGCGCAGGGCCTCACGATCAGCTTCGGAAAAGGATCGGGAGCTAATGGATGGAAGACGATGGAAGCCCCTTGTACTCCCCTTGTGTTCAATACCCGTTCCTGCTGGGCGCTTTGATTTGGACTCCTGCCTTGGGCTGCCGTAGCAAAAAGACTAAAGAAGATCAAACAAATAAGTGTAGCGGGTCAATGAAAAGGCAACAACAAAAAAATAATAATCAGGCCCTGTGCGGTTCTTCTTGCTTGTTGCAAATAGTGTAAACTGCCGCACATGCTACGGATGCTACGGTTTCAAGGCCCCATTTTTTCCAACATTTCTGGTGGCTCGAGGCTAGCAATGCTATGAGTGCGTACTCCGCGCATTGGAAAAGAAAACCGTGAAAAATTTTGTCAACTACTGCATTTCCGCTTTGTTCACATGCTGGAGCATTTTTAGCTTGACGTGCTTCGATAAAACTGTGCCGTGTCAACATGTTGGCATGTCTGAGGATAGGAGTATAGGGGTAGTAGTAGCAGTAGCTGTGGCAGCAGTCGCAGCCGCCGTCGTCGTAGTAGCAGTAGCAGTAGCACTGGTAGTGCCAACGGTGGTGGTGTTGGTGGTAGGAGTAGTAGTAGGAGTAGTAGTAGTAGTAGTAGTAGTAGTGGTGGTAGTAGTAGTAGCAGCAGTGGTAGTGGTAGTAGTAAGCAGTGGGAATTGTAGTTGTAGTCGTCGTCCTGGTGGTGGCGGTAGTAGGTAGTAGTAGTAGTCGTCGTCGTCGTAGTAGTAGTAGTACTACTACTACTGGTAGAAGTCGTCGTCGTCGTCCTCGCCATGGTGATGATGGCGATAGCAATGATGCTGGTAGTAGTAGTAGTCGTCGTGGTCGTCGTGGTGGTGGTAGGAGGAGTAGTAGAAGTAGGAATAAAGGAGCAGTAGTATAAGTGGTAGTCGTCGTCGTAGTCGTAGTAGTAGAAGTAGTCGTAGTAGAAGTAGGAATAGGAGTAGTATTAGTAGTAGTAGTTTTTGTCACCCACCTAGTAGTAGTAGTAGTAGTAGTAGTAGTAGTAGTAGTAGTAGTAGTAGTAGTAGTAGTAGTAGTAGTAGTAGTACTAGTAGTAGTAGTAGTAGTAGTAGTAGTAGTAGTAGTAGTAGTAGTAGTAGTAGTAGTAGTACTAGTAGTAGTAGTAGTAGTAGTAGTAGTAGTAGTAGCAGTAGCAGTAAGCGTAGAAGTACTAGTAGCAGCAGCAGCAACTTCAGTAGCAGTAGCGGTAGTAATAGTTGTTGTCACCCACATGGCACACCAACGGCGGCTCTGCGCGGCCTCATCTGACAACGAGGCTCAGTTACCAGATCAGCTAGCCAGGATCAAATAGCCCAAAAACCAACAGTAAGTGCGACCAAAAGCAATCCGACGGCTTGAAGTCGAAGTGTGAAACCAGTGCAGGACAAAATCAGCTTCGGCATACTAGAGTCCGTCAGGGGCAACACGTTCATTGCGTGTCTGTCTGAGACCAATCAAAGATTTATAGCGGCTGAAGCTCCAGACAAACTCAAATCAAACAGCAACATAAACGAAAAAACAGAAGTTACAGGCTCACCAACAGACCCGTGTGCTTGGAGCTAATCAAGTCCAACAGGAGCCTTGACGTCAGGCGTCTTGGAAGAACAACCAGCAGTGGAAAAACCTATGCTAAAAAGGCTCACCAACAGCTGGCCAAGGAAACCCGCTCAAGCGACTACAACTGGGTCAATACACGACCTCAAAGCGAGTTAACGGATACAGCCGTCGAAGCAGTAGTAGTAGTAGTCGTCGTCGTAGTGTAGTAGTAGAAATAGAAGTAGAGAGCAGGGTTCGTAACAATGGCAATAGGACTGGAACAACAACAGTGGTAATGGTAACGGTGATGATAATGAGAACAGTAGTATTATTCATAAGAGTAGTAGTAGTAGTAGTAGTAGTAGTAGTAGTAGTAGTAGTAGTAGTAGTAGTAGTAGTAGCAGGAGTAGTAGTAGTAGTAGTAGTAGTAGTAGTAGTAGTAGTAGTAGTAGTAACAATAGTAGTACGAATCAAAGTACAATTCACAATAGTATCAGTGGTGATAAACGTAATACAGAAATAACTGCAATCATGATACCATAGTGGTCATGGTAATAATATATAGCAATTAAAATAACAGCCATACTGATAACTAGCGTAATCATAATCATGGCACTAGTAATCTTATTAAGGACAACAATACCAATAAGAAGAAGAATTACAAGAAGAATAAGAATAACAATCAGAAAAGAAGACTGGTAAGTAACAAGAGTAATGATGATAAAGGAAGAAGAATAACAGCAATAACAAAACATCAATAATACTAATAACACCAATAGCAATACTGTGAAATAAATAGTGATAAGAAAAGCAAGAATACAAATTACTAGTAGCAACAATAGAAAAGATAGTGATTGTGGGAAAAACTGTGGTACTCTCAATATTCGCATTAAATAATCATGGTTATTTGCATAGTATTCGTGATGCTTTCTCTTTTTATTGATCCTGCCTTGAATTATGGTTGAGCATTTGCTGGTCCCTACCAGACACCCGCCCGCCTGCCGTTAGCACACGCTCGCTGCATCCGAGCTCGGCATAGTCCCCATCCCAAAGACGGGGCATGCCTCAGCGGGGCAGGCACCTGGACAGCTTGCACTGCCCTTCTCGCCGTCCCATCGCACCTCTGCGGTCTTCTCCCATGCCTCGGATGTTGGGTCCAGGCGCTCTCACGCAACGCACGGCTGCCCAGATCACTCGCTAAGGCACTGGCCGCAGCTGGGTTCGAGCGCTCTCCCAGCAAAGCTCGACTTGAGGAGAAAACTGCGGCTTGCGTCGGCCGGCGGCCAGCATGGCATGGCAGTGTCAATCTCAGAAGCCTCTCCCTACCAAACACAGAGTCACAGATTCCAGGGTAACGTAGAAGGCTCCGAGGCCCAGGCTCGGGCTTGGGTCGGTGTCTAGGCCTCGGGGGCCGGGCCGATGGGCCGGCCGAGAGGCAGACGGAGGCTTCAGCTTTCTCTTTCCAGGACTCGCACACTCCAACAGCGCCCTGACGCTTTGGCGCGCCTTACATTCAAACATGCAAGTACCACGACTCGGCGATGCAAGTGCCACTTTCGGAAAGCTGGGCTGCGAGCTCGTGAGGGGCTCTGCCCAGGAAGCGTACAAACGGTGACCTCGACTGCATCAAAAGGTTACTCCCCGGCTCATGCCACAGCATTATTATTTCTGTGCTCCAAGCGGAACTAAACGGCAGGAAGTCCAAGCCCAGGATCGCTGCCTCGGACAAATCCAAGCCTGTTCTGAGCAGCTGCGAGCAGCTGCTCGGCCTCGGATCCCGTGGAGCAGACCTCCACCTCAGAATCAGAGCGCAGGAGGAGGAGGATGGAGGAGGAGGCGCGGCGGAGGAGCCGCACTTTTGCACTGCCTCCCTTGGCCCCCCCGCGCAGAGCGCCGAGAGCGGGCTGAGCGGCGGGGAGCTCACGCTCGAGATCGCGGAGGTCTGCCAGGATTCCTGCGTTTGGAACCACCGGCGACCGCGGCAGACCCGCAGGTTCACCCTCTCCGTCGTCTGAGGCGACTGCCAAGTCCAAGTGCTGGCTTCGTAGCTGGCAGCTCGCTAGGAAAGCTTTGGCCTGGGCGCTCGCAGATACATCTTCAAGTCCCAACTTGCCCGATGAGGCCGTGCCGGAGTCACGGAGTTAGCTCTTTACGCGTTCTCAGATATAAAAGCTCCACACCCACCCACCCAGATGCATCCATTTGAAGCCAGGGCCTTCTTCCAGTACCAAACTCCCAAAAACCCTCATGCTCCTGGAGGACTTTCTTTCGAGTGTACATCCGCAGGCTAGAGCCTGAAGTTGATGGCCTGACCAAAACTCCTTGCACTTCAATATCACAGCTCCGAAAAAAATCCGTGCAGCAGTACTGAACCTTGGACGCACAACATATCAATGCGAAGTCGCTGGCAAGAAGATCCGCCTTGCTTCTGCGATCCTACCTGGTGCCTCGCCACGGCAACTAATTAATCCACGTACGACGATTAGGCACACTTCAAACCTGCCATCTCTGGACGTTGGATCGCATCACGGATGAGATGCACCACCAACAGCATGAAAAGCACTCGAGGGCTCCCTGCGAACTCCGAATACTCCGACAGCTCAGCAGTCCCTGTGGAGCACAGCCTCAATGCTCGCAAGCGCAACTCTCACTTCACCAGACAGCCAGGGCCCCGGGCGACGCAATCAGCAGCCAGCCTGGGCCGCTGTGCGGCGCTGTGCGGCGCTGTGCGGCTGCAACAGGAAGCAACTGGAATCACCGAGGCCGGGACGCTGCATTCGTCATTCGCACATGGCTCCACACTTTGCCCTTCCTCTTCTGCTACTCTGGCCAGTGTCTGTTTGAGTTACTGTTTACGTAAGGCGTACACTTGCGCTACAAATCACGTTAGGGCAAGACTCGCTGCATCGCAAACGGCGTTGCTTGGCTGGTTTGGGCCCTCCGCTTGGTGCTCCTAACAGGTGTTCTCCAAGCCAAGAACGGAGATGCAGGACCCCGGAGGCCGTTTGAGCGAAACAGCAACTTGTTTCAAAGAACACCTGTTACCCGTCTTACAGAGTTTTCCTTAGGCTCGACTTCAGGAAAGTTGAAACGTCAGGCATAACGTGCATAATGTGCCAAACGTACTGAACACTACACCAGGGAGCAGCTCGATGCTTGGCACAACAACTCACAAAGGACGGAGGACTTGTAATCTCAGCGCGGGTTTCAGCACTTGCGCTTCAGTTGAGTGACTTCAGGTCTGCTTGGAGTCAAGAAATGAAAGAATCAGGGCTTAGGATCGCAAGAACTGGGAATTCGAGGAGTCCATGCCTCTCATCTGTTTTGTACAAGTACTGCCTTATCATGTTGCTTTGCTAACTTCAAATCACTTGGTAAATCTACCCACCGTGTCGCAGTAGCATGCGGCAGCGCTTTGCGACATCATCCGGCGCAAACATATCCTCGCTCTATCCTCCCTTCACTCGGCGGCGCTGCTTCGCCGTTCCCCCAGACGGGCCGTTGACGGCTGCAGTGGCGGCTTTGGCCATGCACCCCATGGGATTTGCACGCTTCTCGAAAAAAATCGATGGCGAGAAAACAAGGCACTTCTACTAAAGCTCAGTCCCTGGAATCAGGCCTGGGTCTGACAGGGCGGAAGGCAGCCTCGGCCCTGGGCCTGAGGCCCTGACGCGAAAACCCGACGCAAAGGAGCAGCACCTCTGCCACAACCAAGCCGAGCATAGTCAGGCGAAGCCCTTCGAAGCCACCTCGGAGGGCAAAAGCCCACAGAGCTTGATGGACCAAGGACGATGGAGGTGCCCCAGCCTGAAGTGGCCACGTGGCTCCCCAGGATTGGGCCCACGAAATTGGCGAAGGAGAAGGCTGCCTCCGAGATGCCCTGCATGGTGCCCTGTCATCTGACACTTTCTATGCTCCCTCGGGCACCCAAGCGTGCACCCAACCGTGCACCTGCACGTGTTTCGGCAGATGACTCGTGTAAAGAGTCCGCGCGGGTGTGCGTAGGAGTGGCGCAGGTGCCACGGCAAGCACCTCGTGCCAAAATCGCTTTGTGGGATCAATCCCTTCTGGCCAGCTCTGGGTGCGGAGCTAGCCATGGCAGCACGAAGTCCTTAGGAAAAGGCACACGCTGGCAAGATCGATGCCTGGGCTCCTGGTACTTTGCTGTTAAGCTGCGAGGAAGGATGAACCTGTTGCAGATTGCTGAGCTAACTTTAGCTGCAATCCGCTTGGGAGGCAACACGTACGACCAGCCTAACTTCCAACTTGTCTGCGCCCAAAGGGCGCCGCAGGAGACGAGCAGGACCCCAGCAGTCCTAAGCAAAAACGCCAGCGTGGAAGAGCTTTCTAGATTCTAGATTCAGTACGCATCCTCAGTCCGGCACATCAAGCTTCGCCCGCTGACCTTGCGACTCAGGACCTGCTCAGAAGCGGCAGAAGACCGGCGCGTCAGCGTGTCGGTGCGTTGCGCAGCTGCCCCCCACCTCCACCAACGCGAAGAGCGCGATGACTGCCAGGGACGCAATGCCGAAGAGGATCGAGGTGGCCGCCGGCGGCAGCCGAAACTCGGGGAGCCGCAGCAATGTGCTGCTTTCTGCACGAGTCTGGGGCTGGGGCTGCAAAGCAGCAAAGATGCCTCGCCTCGTCTGTGAGAACGATCGGCGGAACCACTTCAAGCACTGCCAGGAGCAGCGCTGTCGTTACCTAGCACAAAGTCTCTCACAGCCTGCCCACCTTTGCAGCTAAGTCAGAAGCCTGGAACAGGAGGCATGTCCAGATCACTGGAGTGGTCGGAAAGCTGCGGGCTGCTGTGACCTGATTGCTTTGACAGGCCAGGTACATCCGGAGCTCAACACGAAGGCCGGAACGGGAGGCTGCCCATGCTGCCCACGCTCCACGGCAGAGACCTTCAGTCTCTCCGGAAGGACCGTCAAAAAAGTCCGAGGCCGAAACGATTCGGCTTCTGAGAGTATGCAACTCGCACACAAGCACAGACTCGCAATGATTCTCTCTGGCCAAGTCTAATCGGCACAATGGCTTGCGTTCAACGGCGTCTGCCCTGCAGCACCTATGACATAGTGACATAGTTTCTGAAGGTCTCATCGGTCGCAACCCGCCGCTTGGCCGTGTTTTGCCCGCCCTGCTGCCCCCCCCACTTTGCACGACTGCTCTTGTTTCTTTCGTAGGATCCCAGTGATTCTTGGGAAGGAAGCGGAACATGACAAGCAGTCTGCCTCTGCTCAAACACGATGTGTCACTGCATGGCCACTTCAGAGACACCCAACTTACCCGCAATGCTGTAGCTCTTGGCCGCTGGCCCGCGGCTCACTCGGCACAGCTGGGTCGGTAAGCCGATCTCAGCTCGAGCACTCGGCTCGAGTGCTCAGCTGGGGCAGGAAGCTGAGAACTCCGCAGCAACACAGCACTACACCAAGCAGGTTCGCGGCAGCGATCGCCCAGCCTGCTTTGGCAGGGTGCTTACTCAAACCATTTCCGTGAAAGACCGCCGTGTCAATGGCATGCGCTTGGCGTGTGGGCATGTACCTGCCGAGTTGAGCTCGTTGAACAGCCCTTCCTTTCGCAGCAAGTTTCAGGGCACAATCTACCATTCATTCGATGGTTATCTTGTTGTGATGCGAATGCGTGGTTTGACTGCCCTTATCAACAGCTCACTCTCTGTCGCAGACCCGAACTGCCACCCAGCCTTCGGCAGCACACACAGCAGAGTGCTCCCGAAGGGTCCAATGAAGGTGCCCAACGAACGCATGGTGTTCAGCCGGACCTGCTTGGCACAGCTCTCATGAACCCGAGAATGCAGGCAAGGGCCTGTGCCGCAGCCACCTCCTGCACGCCGGAGTAAGCCTCTTGTAAATCAGGAAGTGAATGGTTTTGGAATGTATTTGCTATGATATGGTTTCCTTCGCCTCCTCCCCTCCTCCCGTCTTCCTTCGCTGCTGCTCCTGGTGCCACACTCACTCGCCTCTACTGTTACTCCTACCGTGCCTCCTACGCCAGCTGCTCCTCCTCCCACCGCAGCTGCTATTGCTACAGTGCTCTACAGTGCTCTCTCTTTGCATTGGGCCCAAGGAAAATCCCTCTCCCGGCCGGGAGCCTGGCACGCGCGGTCCAGGCGAAGAGCAGCGGAGTACAGGAGGCTCCCACCCCGCAGATGATCCGAGACCTGAGCAGAAATTCCTCGCGCTCTGCCGAGGCTTAAGAGGTGACGATGGCTATGGCCAACCAGCTAAGAGAAAGGACAGAGAACAGAGCGTGCACGCGTAACATGTCTACTGTCTACTAGTCATGGGTGTGCTGTATGTATGCTCGAGAGAGAGAGAGAGCGAGAGATATATATATATATATATGTATATAGAAATCTATCTCTCTGCCTCTATCTCTCTGGAGGACTCAGAGGTCTGTCAGTGCGATCGTCTAGCACAAGACCAGACGTACAAGACAGGAACTACAGTGTACAGTGACTACAACGACAACCTACTCCTGAGGAACTAGCTCCAGCAATAAACGTGGAGCATCACCAGCGTTGATGTGTTGCATCGCAGAGGTAACATGCGCTAGACCCGTGCGACCATCCACAGAGGCCATGAGCAGTTGCGACAGACAAGGTGCAAAGGAGGGGTCGTCGATGCCATGGACAGACTCTACATATATATATATATATATACATACATACATACATATATACACATATACATATGGGGTGCCCCCCCCATGGATATGCATACACGCATGCACGTGTATACATACATACATACATACATACATACATACATATACATATATATCTATCTATCTGTGTGTGTGTGTGCGCGTGGGTATGTGCGCGTGGGTGTGTGTGTGTGTGTGTGTGTGTGTGTGTGTGTGTGTGTGTGTGTGTGTGTGTGTGTGTGTGTGTGTGTGTGTGTGTGTGTGTGTGGGGGTGTGTGTGTGTGTGTGTGTGTGTGTGTGTGTGTGTGTGTGGGTGTGTGTGTGTGTGTGTGTGTGTGTGTGTGTGTGTGTGTGTGTGTGTGTGTGTGTGTGTGTGTGTGTGTGTGTGTGTGTGTGTGTGTGTGAGAGTGAACCTCCCTAGCACATGGGAGCAGAGGGTCACTCCTTCACGATTGCAGGGGGGCAGGACATCTTTAGCAGTGCCTGCCCAACGAAGAGGCTGCTAAGAGATGCTGATGCGACAGAGGACGCTCTGTTGTGTACCTGAAAAACACAGCTGAGGCCCCTGAGCCAGCAAGATTAGAAGGCCCCTGTGCCAAGATTAGAGAAACATACAACATACTCTCCTCTTCTCACTCTCTTGGCCGAATCAGTCAGTGTGACTAGCGTGGGTCGTTGAGACTCCAGAGCAACGGCTTTCCGTCATGGCGCCGTGGTGACCCTCCGGGGAGACCGGTGATGAACCGGGTGTTCAGCCTTCGTTCAGATCGTTCAGATTCTCCCGATGCTACTTTATCTCTCTCTCTGATGCTCGCATGTGCGTCTGACATGAGTGCAGGTGCGGTAATGGACGGCTAATGCGGTAAGTGCGTCTAGTGTGCAGGTGCTACCTCCCTAGTCTGTCCCGTAGTCGACCGCTTCTTTATTTCTCAGGGAATGCAAGGGCATGTGCATCCGACATGAGTGCAGTTTCAGTAATCGACGGCTAGTGCAAGTGAAACAGCGCTCTCTTCGGAGAGTACTCGGCCTCTCGCTTTTCTCTCCCCCTAACCCCACACCCTAAGTTGATGACCACGCAGGACGTGGTACC